AGTCCCCTTTTATCTGCCCGTTCTAATTATCGTTCGTGCTGCTAACTATTAATTTATATTGCTATTTCCTTAAGTTTATAGAGTATTAAAGGCCTTTCGCCTTATATAATTTTATTTTTAATATCTTCCTTAAGACCTTTATAGTACTGTGCTTATAGAGCTTTATCTTCCTATAATAGCTTAAACGCGATTTGCATAAATTCTAAAGTATAGCGGCTGGTTAAGCTTTTTTACTTTAGAACTGCTATTTTCTATTCTACTGTCCGTTCTTTATCGGTGTCTCTAAAGGTTATTTAAAGTACTAACTTAAAGTATTTATAATTACTAAACATAATATTAGTTTCTAGTTTCTAATTATCTGCGTTGGTGTTGCTAAGCTAGTTTATAAGCATCGGGTTAAACCAGTTAAATACTTTTTTTTTTAAGAAGATAGCTACTATACAGACCTTATCCGATTCGAATTTAAGGTTGCTCTAGTTCGTGCGCAGGTATAGCCTTATTTATATTATAAACGCTTGTAAAGCTCCTCTATTACTAGTAAACTCTTCGGGTTTATTTATTTTATAGCCTCTATAGCTAACCGTTCTGCTAGTAGTAAGCTTTTTTTAAACGGTCTAGAAATTTCCCTATAGGGCCGCAATCTTTTTATTTTTAGTATTGCTAGCTTCTTCTAGTACTTATAGCCGTGTAAGCAATACCTATATATATATTACTACCTTAGGTATAGTTAAAGTTGGTCTAGTAGTTATACTGCCTAAAAAAGTTAGTAGGGCTATTTTAATTAATTGTTTATATATAACTCCTTTAATATAGCAGTATTTAAAGTATAATAGGTTATTTCTTCTATATCTTTTAAGTGTTACATACTAAGGCAGGGTATAGGTTAAGTTATTATCGGGGTGTAATAGTTTTTAAAAGGTAAGGTAAGATTAATCTTAGGTATAAGACAGGGTTATTACTTCTAATAGGTAGTATTAAAGTTTTAAGTTAAATATAAGGTTTCTATTTATATAAAGGAGCGTTTTTATATATAAAAGCTCTGTTCTAAAAAACCTATATACTTATTATACTTGTCTATAAGCCGGGCGAGTCCGTTCTTTACCTGCTTTTCTATAAGTTTATTAAGCCAGCTCGTTCCTGCTCGCTGCAAGCTTCTTAAGCCGGCATATAACCTTTTATCCTGTAATATCTTATCCTTAGATTATTCCTATCTACTAGCAGTTTATAGGGGAATCTAGGATCTCTATACGTTTTATATATAACCCTTTTAGTTCTGTAACCTAGTTCTATATAATTAGTCTTATTTACTTACTTATTTCCGCGAGTGCTTCTGCGCTTAGGTGGTTTATATTACGGGTTGTAACACTTTATAAGCTTTTTTAAATTAGGCTTATAATCGCGTTAAGTAGTAGTTCCGGCGCGTTAGTTTTAGAGCGTGCTTCTAGAAACGTTATACGTTGCAACAGCGCATTGTTCGCTTTAAAGTTAATTCTTATTAATTGCTAAGATAGCTAGGTAGATTCGGCCTTTTTTTTTTAGATTAATTATATATTGCGTTATTAAAATATAGTAGTTAAAAGCTAATAGAGCGCGTTTTAGTAATAAGGTAGCCGGCTTACTTAGGTAGCCGGCTTACTTATATTGCACGTTAGGTAGTATTAAAGTTTTAAGTTAAATATAAGGTTTCTATCTATATAAAAAAGTATACTTAAATATAAAAGGTAATTCCTAAGAAATCTATATACTTATAGCTTATTTCTTAAGCTAGTAAGCTATACTTATTTACTTGCTTTTAATTCTATAAGCCGGCTTATTATACTTACTATAAGCCGCTTAATCTATTATATAACTTTAGTTCTATAATATCCTATTTTTAGATTATTTCTATCTACTAGCAGTTTATAGGGGAATCTAAGATTTCTATATATTTAACCCTTAATTTTTAAGATCCTGTAACCTAATCCTATATAATTAGTTTATCTACTTACTAGTTTCTATAAATACCTTTATACTTAAGTAGTTTATATTATAGGTTATAATACTAAAGCGCTTTATATATTCTAATAGTTGCTTTTAGTATAATAGTTGCAGTAAAATAGCAGAGCCTTCTAAAAAGGAGAATATTAGTCGAATAGAAGTATTATTAGAAACGCTTTATTTTATGCAAATAGTATTTCTTTTATCTATATTTACTTCTTAAATTAAAAAACTTCTATTTATCTTTTATTGCTGCTAAGCGCTTTACTTATACCGGAACCTAAAAAAAACGCAAACTACTTTATAGTAATATTCTAACTATAGTATATATATATCCGGATTTAGATTTCTAGTTTATTTAGTATATATATTTGATTTTTATAAAGCTAGATTATTGTATACGTAGTTTTTATTACGGATTATATATTTTATAGCATAGTAAATTATTAGCAGCTTAGCGGCAGCTTATAAATATCACGGCTTAAACGGTGAAGCTTGCTGCACAGCGTAACACGTAATATTAGGACCCGGCGAGAGGCTTTATTATAAGGGCCTATGCGAGCCTTAGTAGGAGTATACCTGCTAACTACTGCCCTGCCTTCTTATAGCTCCTTAAGCTACGTTTTATTATTTAACCTGCCTGCCTGCCGTGTATTATAGAACACGTAGTAAATTTAGTTATTACTTCTACCTACTTGCCTAAGCTAGCTAGGGCAATTCTACTGCCCAAGACCGTAATAATAAATGTTTTAGCGCTTATTATTTATATTTTCTACCTCTTTATTATACTATACTACTCTAGGGCACGTTTCCTTTATTACTAGTATTTACTATATCTAATAAGTATATAAATATTAGATTATTAGATCGCGGGGCTAAGTTAGTACGCTAGGGGTAAGCGTTCGGCGGTTTATAAAAAGGAGAATAGTTCGTGTACTTTGCACCTATATTTCGATATAGCTAACTATAGTATAGTAGCGATGCCTAATATAAATATTATAGTAATAAATAAGAACTTTACTAGCAGCTTAGTTAGATAAATATAGAAAAAATCCGGGTAAAGGCCCTAAAAGCGTTATAACGATTAGGGGAGCTTATATAAGCGGCGGCTAACTATATACTTACTTAGCGCACTAAAAAAAATATAGAGCTAGGGTATTAGCTTACTAAAAGTAAGATTTTTAAGAAAGAAATAGAGCGGCTAAGGCTACTAAAATTACGTGTTAAGCAGAATACTATAGCTTAGAGCTGGACTTTAATAAGGCCTAATAGGTAGAAAATAGTAAGCAGCGTTCTTTATATACGGCTTCGGGCTTTACTAATATTTTAATATAGCCCTATTATATAGCAGGTTATAAGGCGCAGCCTAGGCAGGTTATTAAGAACTAGAATAACTTTTAGTATACTATTTCTAAGTTAAAAAAATAGACTAATAAGGATAAAAAGAAGTAAAGGTAGTAAAAAAGTAGATTATAAGCAATATATTATCTATAGCTATAGCTGTAGCTAAAATACTAATAGATTTATAGTTATAACTCCGGGTTTAACCTATAGAATTTAATAGGTGCTCTAGTATATCCGGATAATAATAAACTACTAATAATTGCCTTCCGGCTAGCTGCTATACTAGCTAAGCCTGTAGTAGCTGTACTAACTTATCCTATAGTAGTACTAGCGGGTATATAGGCGCAGGGTATACTAAAAGCGGTAGTACTAGCTTTAGTACTAATTAAAGCTCTATTAAAAGCGCTAACTAGGCCTATAGTATAAGGTAGAAGATTATAGCAGCCGGGTTATTTAAACCCTATAAAGGAATACCTAGGTCGGCTATATAGAAATAGCAGGAATACTATATTATTTAATAAGCAGTAGAAGCAGGCTAGAAAATTCCTATACAAGCCTTATAGGAAAGTAAACTAGAATATTTACTATAATAAGTTTTTTTAGAAGGGCGGCTATAAAGTATACTTATATACTTTAAAGTATACTTTTTTAGTAGAATAGGTAAGTTTAATTAAGGATACTAACTTCGCTGCTAGGTATAGGCGGCGACTATAAGCATCTCGGCCGAATATTCTAGAAGTATATTCTGCTAGAGTGTTTAAGTTAGTCCGGGAAAAAGGTAGAGGTTAGGGGAGTAAAAAAGGCTAAGGTAGTAGGTAAGGAGCCTATAATCCTTCTTAGCAATAGGTAGGGCCTACTAATACCCGGAGGAAGGTTAGATATCTATAGAACCTTAATCCGCAGTAGTAGGCTGCTATTTAGAATACCGATCTACTTTTAGGGAATATAGAAAGGCGGGAGATTTTAGAGAACTAGTAGAATTTAGGGTACTATATATAGCAGTTTACGTAAAAAGGTAGTAGAAATAAAAGAGTAAAGGAGGTCTACTATAACAACGATTAAAACTACTTTAGGAAAATAAACCTTAACTAGTAGAGGTTGCTTTACTAGGGCTTTATACTTTAGATTTACTAAAACTTATATTTTAGATATACTAGAGCTTTATATTCTAGAGTTACTAAAGCTTTATATTCTAAACTTGCTAAAACTTTATACTTTAGAATAAATAGGGTTAGTAAATTAGAATAGAGAAATTGTTTAAATTATAATTTGTATAAAATAATATTCCTATATATAGTCTACCTAGCAGGTACTAATTAAAAGCGCTTTTATTTTAATTAAAAAGAAATTAAATTTAAAGTTTACCAGCGCAGTATAATTCTTATTAGTCGCAGAAAAAATAGAACCTAGTGCGGGGGTAAGTGCGAATATTATAAAGATATCTTTAGATTATAAGTTCTAAAATAAGGCCAGGGTTATAACAGTAATAAATTAAAATAATATAAAAGGGAACGTAAATAAGTAAGATAAGAGGAGATATATAAACGCAGCGAAGCTGAAACACAGGTTAATAGCAGACGAGAAAGATTTAAGGACCAAGTTGCCGAGTTTAATATTTTCTTTCATAAGGTTAACAAACCTTTTTGTCCCCAGTTAAAACCGCGAGGTTAAGCGCAACAATGGCGCAAACGAAATAGTAAGCGAATTAAAGCTTGATGGTAGAGGCTTTGAAGGCGCCTTGTTGGAATCGTTTCAATGCCGACTGTTCCCGCTCCTGCTGCGTATGTCGAAGTTTCCATCGCGAGCGCTCGGAGTCAATCGGGGCTAGAAAAGGGCTTCTTGGGCGGTTTAGCCCGCCTCTTCTCTGGGTTCCTAGATACAAGCTGGACCCGAACGGTAATGGAAGCACGAGGAAACATGTGTTGATTTGTTGGGAGCAACTTGTTTCCAGACACTGGGGGCAGAGGAAGCCGGGCGTACGTCCGTCCTATCATTGCGGAGGAATCCGGCAGGAGCTGCCACATCGGCTTCTCGATAGTTGCTAGAAATCACTTTCATATGCAGTGTTATTATGCCAAAGCCAAACCCAACGAGATGCAGAAGCCTAGAAGAGTGATGGAGAAGAAAGAGAGAGGATTGACACGACGTGGAGCTGAGAGGCACCGGTGCACGGGCTTTTCAGCACCTCCCGCGCGACTCAGCTCTCTCCCTCAACTCTTCCACCTCAACCATCGCCTTACTCCTTCAATACGCTATAATCATCTCTCCACGAAGAGACCACTGTAAGTCGGAATAGCCTGTGCGCGGTACTTCAGTAGCGCTAAGCGCCATGCCCTTATTCTTCAATCGCGTGATGCTGTCGATATTCCAGTCGTATGCGGAGTCGATATCTTCGTCGCCCCGTAACGCACTCGATTGATTCTATTAAAGGGATATGCTAGCTGATTGTTCATACATAGATTGCTAGCGCCGTATTCTTTGCCTGACTGAATTCACTTGGTCGTGATATCCCCTCAAGGCATCTTCCCATCACACATTCACCATGTCCCTAGTACTTTGGAGCCGGGACTGCTACCACTTCCTCGAAAGCCTTCGGTTTCGTTGGCGGATTGTCATATTCGCTTCCCGCAGTCAAACTGCCACTTTGACTAGACGCATCGCTTTCATTACCTTCCACCAAGCTTTTCCTTTGCCTACCAGTAAAGGTGAGTGAATGATTTTACCAGATTTAATTACTCGAAAAAGACTTACTCTCTCCGATGGAGAACGACCGCTGCGATGAAACCCAACCATAGCAACGTCCAGAAGGCGATAACGGTCGGCCATCCTTTCGACCATCTTGGCGCACCATACTTGCCCACTGTGGGGAAAAGGAACAGCGGTACCCAGATGTTGAAGGAGTAACCTATGGACATCATGGACCCCTAGGACACGCATTAGCCGAATATTCTTCAAACCGAATGCCGGATGTTTCCTTACAATCACCAGAGCTCTTTCTTCTGCATCGCCTTTGATAACGGTGTTGACGGTAGAATACAGAATTGGACTCGCGCATCCAGATAAGCCAAGCAAGTACCATGCAACGAACTTGAGGCCGGTCGGTATCATCCACACCGTCATACAAATGCAGGAGAAAACCATTGATGCCATGGAAATGGAGTATATTATCCACGACGGATAGATCGATGCAAGAGTAGTGCCTAGCCAGGAAGAGACGGCGGTGATCGCATATATGACCGTTGGATACGTGTTCACTTCTGACACTGGGTACTTTTCCTGCTTCAGCCAGAGACCCATATAGCCGGCTGGGTAACTGGCGATGATCATGCAACTTTGACGCCGTCAGCACTGAAAGGTCCGCTGTCTCCGAGTCGGACACTTACATGTAGCACAAAACAAAGATGTACCAATGCCACCTCGACAGCGTTCTTTTGAAAACGTCAAGGCTCAGCCGACCAGCCTTCTTTACCTTGGCTTTCGCCATTCGTTGCTTTGCTAACACGATGTCGCTGTCCTTGAAATACCACACCTTCGGCGAATCCGGAACTCCAGGGAAAACGACGAATCCAATCAGCGCGATTGGAATCGTAATGATCCCATCGATAATGAACAGCCATCTCCACCCGGACATTCCCCCAACACCAGAGAGGTTCTTGTAGGCCGCTGCCTGTAAATACCCGCTGAACATGGATCCAAGGGAGTTGCAGATGAACCACGTTCCAGCGCGCTTGAAGAGTTCGGGACCACTGTACCAAGATCCGAGAATGAAATGCGTCCCAGCGAAAACGGGCGTTTCTGCCATACCAACGAGGAAACGGAGTGCGTATAATTGCTTAGCACTCGTGACGCGGCTTTGGGCAAAGGTGAGGACACCCCATATCACCTCGAGAGATGGGAGAAGCCAGCGCGATCTTTGATGGTCAGCTGTTTGATTTATCGAAGATGCAGACAACGAACCACTTACATCTTCGGTCGGGATATCAAGAGCATGAACGGGATTTGAGAAATAACATAGGCGATGTAGTAGTAGGTGTTAAACCAGTTCAGCTCATTGCCGTAGAGATGGAGCTCTTCTTTCATGCCGCTGACGAAGGCATTGCTGATGTTGGTTTGGTCGAGGAATTTGGTGAAGACTAGCCATCATGAGGTCAGCTCAACTCATCGAATTCCAGTGCGCCTGTCCGGGGTTTACTCACAACATAGGCAGGCAAAGATCAGAATCGATAGGTCGAGCTTGAACAGCAATCTAGTCTCTGTCAGTTTCACCCTTTTGAAATTGAAGCACCGATGCCCGTACTTTCGCTCTTCCGCCGGATACTCAGATGGATACCAGTTGAAAACCTCCTTGATCGCCCCCCATGGAGTGATCTTCTTTCCCTGAGAGTCGGACATGATGTCGAGACCAGTTCAAACCTTTACTCAAGAATGCAGTATAATTCATCTCGGCAGAGGACTACTCAGATATACATGTTCCAAATGCCAGGGGCTGGAGATAGGCCTCCCAGAGCGAAGAGACGTGCATATGGCGACATGACCGCTAAAGTGGCGGCTGTGGGAACCGCAAAAGCCTCGTCTCGAAGCCGGATGAGCGTCTACGTTCAGTACACAGGCAGAATCTCGGTATCGGAGGTTTTCAACGCACCTAGGTATGGAGCCGTGGTGTGGGGTTGGTGTCGATGTTGCGAGGAAGTCCCCGCATCGCGTGCTTGCCCCACCATACTCTATTTGTCCACGTGACATCAACCAATTAATGTGTATCTTGGCTCCAGGAAAGAGCAGAACTGCTGATAAAGAACGGGTAATCGGCACATCTTTATCAATATGTGGTTGGGTGGAAGCAAATTGAGGTTAAAGCGATGTCGGGCGCTACGGAGTCTGCGTGGAGGTGAGTCTACTTCGCACCATACTCCGCATTTGGCAACATGAATTGCAGATTGTAGATGTTCGGGCACACGCACTCACGACATGCCATTAATAGGTCAGTGTATTGTATCCTAAGCCGGCATTAACCCGACTCTTGCTCCCCTGGCGCTTCCCATCGTCAGCCTCACTAAGTGCCGTCCTAAACTCCTCCGCCTCAATACTCTGTAGCTAACATTGAGAATCCTCAAAAACTTCACCGAAGTATTACTGTTTCTCGTCCTCGTTAGTTACTGCGCTGGGCAATACCTTGGACGACCACTAAAAGATAGAGTTCTCAGTTTGGACGAGAGTCTTCTCAGCATTTGTAGTGAAGGACGTCGACTTCTTCTCCAAAATAGATCACGAAGCTAGCGAAGTTCCTATATTGAACTGGAGATCTCACCTGCGCGGACGAGAGTGGTAGGAGCAACGCCAGGTCCGCCGCCAGTAGACGGGGTAGTATGCTCCAAAGACAGCACCGCGAGTTGTTTACTACGATAGAGTGGAGCGATGGGCAGCTTAGCGATTGCGATCCGTGTTTCCAATAAAACCTCACTCCGACTGACGATATGGCGAAGATATTTGAGCGCCTTGAGAATCCCACACGTCAATTCGGCATCGCCGAGTTCTAAGACTCTTTGGCGCAGCTTCTTTCACATCGTAAGATGTCGAGAGGATGAATATAATAGCTGTAAATGCAATAGCCGCGCTATAATGAGCAGCGGATAATATGCTTGATAGCTATTTCGCATGATGTCGCGATTGATGTCTACATCCGCGATCTCCGCTGCAAGCATGTAACTTCCATCTCCGCGGTATCTCACTTTACATGATCTTTTACGACGTGGGCGCACCCACGCAGACTGAGTGATTGTTCGAGCAACAATTGCTCAAGTCCTCTTATTCACCACACGGCATAAATCATGACATTTACACTCGCGGACCCGCGGTGAAGGAAACGCAGCCTTGCAAAGAAAAACCCGCCCCAGCACCACTTTAGCCGGATTCAAACTGATTTACAACTTTGCTAGCAACTCTGCTGCATTCAGACCTAATCGCCGCGAGAAGAGGCTCTAGAGTATGGTGAAGAAGATTTTAGATGAAAGAGCTACTGAAAATGAGATCATGGCGGCGAGGAGATTGGAACAGCATAGATTCATTCGAACCTGGAGCACGAGGCAGGTTACCAAGCGCCACTACTTGTCTCAGCCTAGCTTTATCGCCATACTTTTATGGGTAGGATATCTCTCAACGCAATACCCGAAGGTTTGAAGCTCGAGAGTCTGAGGCACAGCAACGCCCCTAGACGTCGTACTAGTCTGGGCCGCAGTTTACGGCCATTCTCGAACGATCAACCCTCACATCCTCTTGATTTATAATGTATGCAGCTTGGCAGGGAAAGGAATCCTCCCAACGGCTATGGCGCCTGCAGGTCCCAGGTGTTGGTCGGAAGCCGATGAAGCTTGCTCTGTCGATCCCGTCCCTTGGTGTCGGTACTCACTGGTTTTTAACTTCGCCATCTTCCAGTCTTATGCAGAAAGATTCGATCGTCGAAAGGCAAACTTGGGGTCCAATTCACGTTTCAGTTGTCACTGACAGCGCCTAGATACGATGCTCCGATATATTTTACCTTTAAGAAATGCCATGAATCAAGGGCATGACGAGTGGAAGAGGAGTGAATAGGTTGAGGGCATCTTGTATAGGAGTCTGAGGTAGATCGTGAAGACGTTTGAGAGTTGAGGATGTTGAGCACGCTATCATTTTCTAATATATTCATTGTTTCGTGCAACTTCTACAGTCTTGCTTCTATTCCCGACGTCTTCTTGTCTGCCGCTAATGCGTCTCGTAACGCAGCAACAACGTCGTGTTCATGTATCCAAGTCGGATCTCCCCTATTCTTCATCCTAGCTCTCAATTCCTCATCCGTCTCCACTTTCCCAATCCTCTCAACCTTCGCCTTGTTCCCCGAATGCACGGTATGCAACACTCGATCTGTATGTGGCTTCCTGGTCCTACCATAAACCCTCAAAGCTTTCGCGATATCCTCATCCCCCGGCAACTTCGTCGCGGAGGGCGGGAACACGTTCAATACAGATTGCGCAAATGACCATCCATCATCAATCGCCAGACTCCCTCCAGCCGCAAACGCGCCGCCATGAGCATGTGCTGCATCGCCCGCCAGCGTAACCCTCCCATAACCTAGTGTCCACGAGTCGAGTCCCTGCGCCGCGACATTAGGATAGATGCGCGTGTGCGGGACCGCGTCTACGATGGCGCGGATAAGAGGGCTCCAGTCTTTGTAATACTCTCGCAAGACTGAAACATCACCGTCAGAATCCCAGACCGCGTCTCTGTACGGTGACTCAGCCGCATCGGGATCGCTTTGGTAGGATCCCACGACAGTGAAGAGGTCTTTTCCCAAGTTGGAAACAAAGAGTGTGCGGTCGTGCCCCCAGAAATGAGTCGCCTCATCCGGCAGATCTGGAATGTGGGAGACGTGGGAAAATGGGAAGACGGAACGGAAGGTGACCCAGCCTGTCCATTTGGGTTGAGAACTGGGGACGAAGAAACGGCGGACGGCAGAGTTTATGCCGTCAGCACCAAGGAGAAGGTCAGCCGTAGTTGTTGAGCCGTCGAGAAACTTGATGGTAAGTTCTTTGGGGCTTTTGCTATAAGCAACGGAGAGAAACGCCTTTCCGAGATGGAGTTGCGCAGGGTCCACATGCTCGAGGAGGGCTTGCTGGAGATGTGCGCGGTAGTATCGAGATGTGAGATGGCGGTCTTCGACCTGGCCTTTGTGATTGTCCGCGGAGACGACTTCGTTCGTCTTGTAATGTCTAGTCATCCGCCAGCTTAGCTTCAACACATTGATACTTGGAAGCAATCACGTGAGGTTCACGTGCTTACCGATAGATCATTGGCAACTTCGTCTTGAGGTTTCGAAACGCAATCGAACCATCAATCGCATTATCAAGACCCAGTCGGTCCAAGGTTCTCAATCCGTTCGGTCCCAATGCAATCGAAGCTCCAATCTCGGTCAACTTCGTCGCTCGCTCATAGATCTGGACATCGATGCCTGGATGGTTCTTGAGCGCGATCGCGGCGGTGAGGCCAGCAATACCGGCGCCCACGACGGCGATGCGGAGGATTGGTGTTTCTGACATGGTTAACGAAGAGGTAGAATGTCTCTTGGACAGGTTCTTTATACGCAGGTTGTCTTACCTGCCGCTACAGTCTTACAAAGGTAGCTGGGATGCGCGTTTCCGTCTAGCTTCGAACCCCACACCGGCCTCAAGTCGGGAATTCTACACCAACCACCAACATCACGCAAGATGCAACTACAATTTCGTATGCCTTCACTATCTGATTACCGACATGCTCCCTGAAACCCGTCTATCGTAGATCGTAGGATGCAGGCACCCTACGCCTGGGACGAGGGGTCTATCAATTACACTTTACGGAGACGATGACTTTTCGGGCAAAACGTGCAGTGCATCATTGATGCCTGCCATGATGAGTGCCGGGGGAGAGCCGGTAATACAGAGCATGAATCGAGACTTGCTGTTCTCCTGCAGGGCGGGGTCGTCGTAGGACAGTCGTGATATTTAAGGCCACGACAGAAAGCAGGTTGCATTTCCAGCGCAATTTAGACCCAAACTTCAGGACCAAGGCATATCATTATCCTACCATGCCATCGGATTCTTTGAAAGGCGGCGACTCGACAATTACGACCAAGAATGTGGCGCCTCCCAAGTTACCCGACAAATTCGCAGATGAAAGCTACAAGCTCTTCTCTCAGTTTACCGTCGAGGAATCAACGCCAGAAGAAGCCAAGAGGATTCAGAAGAAGCTTGTCCGACGAATTTTGCCCTTCATTTGTATTGGATACCATTTGATGTATGTGGACAAGCAGACTGTGAGTAGCAAATCTGTGCTCTTTGCAAAACACCAAGCTCACCTCGTCTAGCTGGGAAGTTCCGCAATTTTAGGCATCTTGAAAGATGGACATCTAAATGCAAACCAATACAATTGGCTCTCATCTATCTTCTACCTAGGATATCTTGTAGCTGAATGGCCGCAGAATCTAGCATTGCAGCGCTTTCCCGTAGCGAAATGGTTGGCCGGAAATCTGATTGTTTGGTGAGATGGACGTTCGACCTCCATAGTACTACCCGCTAACTCTCAATCAGGGGGTGCATCCTGCTTCTTCATATTCCATGCAAAAACTTCGCGTCCCTCTTCGTCGTGCGATTTTTTCTAGGCCTCGCAGAAGCTTGCATCGTACCCTCATTCTTGCTTATCCTCGGCATGTTCTTTACATACGACGAGCAGTCTGTCTTGATGCCACTCATGTGGGCAGCTGGGAACTCCAGTCCGATTACCTCCGGGCTGCTGTCGTACGGCGTTCTTTGGATTGACACAGGTAGCTTCTCGTCGTGGAAATGGTTCATGGGTAAGAAACTACTTCCGTAACTCCAATCAAGTTGTGAAGAGGACTAATATTATGTATTACAGTCATCACTGGCTCCTTGACCGTTATCTTCGGCATCTCAGTGTGGTTCTTCTTCCCCGACAGTCCGCTCACAGCGCGCTTTCTCACCCTTGAGGAACGCGCGCAAGCCATCCTTCGGATCCAATCAAATCATTCCGGTATCGAGCAGAAGCACTTCAAACGGTACCAGTTTATCGAAGCCATTCGCGACCCAAAAACTTTTCTGTTCTTCTTGCACGCTTGGTCCCAGGAGATGGCAAACGGGCTCACCAATCAATACTCCCTGATCATCAAATCTTTCGGCTTCACTACTCTCCAGACCACGCTACTCGGATGTATCACAGGACTGACCTCCCTCGTCTCTCTTGTCGCAGCTGCGGTCATACTGGCGAAGACACGGAACTGTCGAGCTTGGCTGAGTGTCGTTGCTTACATCCCTCCCATTATCTCTTGTATTCTCCTCATTGCGCTCCCGTGGAGCAATCGCTGGGGTCTGTTATCAGCGATCTGGATTCGCTCCACTGGCGGTATCCCATACGCCGTCGTCATGATTTGGGCTGCGAATTGCTCCGCTGGTCATACTAAGAAGACGGCGGTCATCGCACTCTACCACGTTGGATACGGCCTAGGAAACATCCTCTCCCCACAACTCTTCCAGCCGCAGTATGCGCCTCGTTACATTGTGACTTGGGCTGTGATCCTGGGAGTTGCGTGTGTACTGCCGTCGGCCATTATACTGTACTTGAGATGGTATTTGGTGAAGGAGAACAGGAGACGAGACGAACTTGATCAGCAAGGAAAAGTTCAAGAGATTGGGATTGTGGAGCATCTGGATGAGAGCGGGGAGAGGACGGAAAATGTGGTCGATGCGAGACAACTCGATCTAACGGATCGGGAGAATTTGGCGTTTCGATACGTCCTGTGAAGAGAAGAGATGCGCCCTGATGTTCTCCATATATGTTGTCTTGAGAGACGAGGAATGGGCGTCAACCCAGCACAACACCAGCGGCTCTGAACGCTGCGCCTCTGTAGTTCCAGGCAGAATTTGAAAGACAGGTCCAGACTCAGGTCACGTGTAGGAACGCTCATCGCTCAAGCTCGAACATCGGCATAAGATTTTCCCATCAACGCAGAAAGTCGCATGCTTGTACCCGCCCCCTGCCTTATCGAAGCTTCGATTGTTCGCCTCCGAGTCAGCGGACGCCCTGCATATCATGGTATGTCGATGTGCGACATGTTCAAATCGCGCCATCAACACCATGCAACTCGCAACACTGACATCGCGAAAACTAAGCATCGGCTAGCAAACACCGTCTCCAACTCCACTGTAACAGTAGAACAATTGACTGTTGAACAGAGTCAGTTCGGGCCGATCTTTTGCTAGCTCTGGAGTCGCGGTGTTCATAATGCAAACGGCCTGCTCAAGTGCGTTGAATCTTCAACCTTTTGCGAAATACCTCGCACATCATTTCTGCGCTGTCAGGCCTCCCGGAATTTTCAAGAAGTAGATCAAGTTTGATTTTCCTCTATGGCCGCCAACGAGAAAGATGAAAATGTCAACGCTGCTTCTTCGTCCCCATCGACCTCCGATCATGAGCCCGACTCGCGACCTACAGCGAAGGAAAATGCATGGATCAAGCTGATGACCTACCTTCATTGGTACCCGCACGACATGCCCAGCGATGAGAAGGCTTTGATCCTAAAGCTTGATCTGAGTGTTCTAATCTTCGGATGCTTGTCTTTCTTCACCAAGTATCTAGACCAGCAGTCGTTAACAAATGCCTATGTCAGGTAAGGACATTCCAGAAAACAAAACCCATACCCCGACTAACGTTCTCCAGTGGCATGAGAGAAGATTTGGACCTACACGGCAAAGAAATCAACTACTTAACCGCCACGTTTTGGGCCTCATACTGCACTTTCATGATTCCCGCCTGCTACTTTCTAACTCACTACCCGGCGAACATCGTACTTCCCGTTTTGGAAGTGGGATGGGGTCTCTCTACTTTTGGCCTCGCGTGGGCGCAGAATGTGCAGACAGTGTATGCGATGCGCTTCTTCACCGGCATATTCGAGTGCTGTAGTTTCACTGGAACTATCTATGTTATTGGGAGTTGGTACAAGCCGCAAGAGATTGGGAGACGTGTGGCGCTTTTCTTCATTGCGAGTCCACTGGGTACCATGTTTGCGGGCTACTTGCAGGCTGCGGCGTACACCAATCTGAATGGAGTTCATAGGCTTGCTGGCTGGAGGTAAGACCCTAAAGAATTCCACTATGTCTAAGTAGGAGCTCTACATACTAAAAGCATGCAGGTGGCTCTTCATCGTCGACGCAATCATCACCCTGCCCATCTGCCTTCTAGGATTCTTCGTCTTCCCCGACGTCCCATCGCGCAGGAAGCCGCGATTCCTCACAGCCATCGACCAGGATTTCGCGCAGAAGCGTCTCCAAGGCCTCACAGCACCACCGCAGCTCCGAATCTCGAGGTCTATCTTCCGACGCGTCTTCACCCGCTGGCACTGGTACCTCTTCGTCACGCAATGGGCCATCATGGACCAGAACTTCCTCCCAAGCGCGCAGCCCTTCTCGCTGTACCTCAAAGCAAAGAGCCATATCTACTCCATCGTCCGCATCAACACTCTGCCCACAATCGCGACGGCTGTGAGTGTTGTCGCTGCTCTCACGTGCGGGATTGTCGCGGATAGGACGGGAAGGTTCTGGGTCCCGGCCTATTTAGTTACGCTACCGGTAATCGTGGGGACGGCATTGCTCGTAGCATGGGATGTGGGCGAGAGTGGAAGGCTGGCGGGCTTTATACTGACCGGGTTTGAGGGAGGTGAGTTCATCCTATTTTCAGGTGTGCAACTAAGCAATTTGCTAATATTCTCTAGCTATGTCCCCATTAACCATGGGATGGGCGACCGTGACCATGGCGGGTGATGCTGAGGAGCGTGCAGTCGTGACAGCGAGTATGAATGCGATCGGGCAAGGTATCATGGCCGGGACGCAGGTGGTGCAGTATTCGGCGACGAGTGCGCCCAACTTTCATGGAGGATTCAGCAGCAATTTGGCGACGTCAGTGGTGCAGTTAGTTCTCATCACTGCCATCTTGTTCCTTACTGCCAGAGACAAGAAGAAGGCTGGAAACGGAGATTTGAAGAGTAGAGATGTTGAGGTTGGTGAGCCGGCTATCGTGGTTGCAGAAAAGCTGTGAAGAGTGGGAGATTGTGGAATATCGTTTTAAGAAGTAGACCCGATGCTTAGGAAAGAGGCTGATGGATGAGGGAATAGTCCGCAAACTGAAATATTCGCCGACCCCGAGGGGGTCGGTCTAAGCTGAAGTAGAAAATGTCAAGGCTCAATCAGCTGTAATCCGAACAGTGCCGATTTCGACGTCTCATCAGTCGATACGCCACCTAGAACCACTGAAGGTAATAATGTACGTAGTCTGCAACCTATTACACCTTCAAACACCGCGTATTATAGTCAAGTAACGCACAGTCCCCTCTTCCCATTCGTAGCTGACGTTATCTTAAGCGTTCCCTCTCTACGAATTAATGTCCTCATCCATCGTAGGGTTCCCGCTTGTCAGTTCCCGCTTGTCATCTTGAACGAGAGCTGAACCAGCACTGAATCACTTCAGGTTCAGAGGCATCGTAAATGACACTCTGTAGCTCTTCAGGCTCGCAATCAAAGAGGCAAAGTATGGTATCCACGGCCAGTAATCTCTGCACAAGGATGAACGGAGCGGCCTTCTCCTTCTCCTTCTCCTTCTCCTTCTCCTTCTCCTTCTCCTTCTCCGACAGTGCTTCAGAAGCCAGCCTTGCCGCCACGGCGATATGTGGAAACTTGGCGAACAACTGTGATCGTAGCAAGAAACCATATTTTGGGATTTGGGATCGCAATCCGAGTGTTGGGTCTGGCTTATTGAGGTACTCATTGATGGCCTCCGTGATCGCCGTTCTAGCTTCATCATCCTGAGGTGAAGTCGCTGCCGCGGAATGGTTTCCAATACTAAGGGCCCCATCTATCAAAAAATCTATCCAATTCTTATCAACGTGGAGGAATCGCAGTGTCTCTCCCGGGAGACTTCTTGGGTTGGATAGCAGATAATTCGCGGGAACGCTATCGAAGTGAAGTTTTTCAATCACCCAATTAAGGATTTCGCCGAAGTCTGGGCTGTTCGGCGAGCTATCCAGGAGATTTTCTAATGATGAATGCTTGGTGCCCTCGCTAGGGAGCTCCTCTGGCGGAACTCCAGAATTGATACCATGGAGCCCGGATACTAGGCCATCGAGACCGCGGAGGCTATCCCCGCGGGTCTGCTTTTGGCACTCCGTTTTCGACCCTTTCGGCGCCTCACCGTGAATTGCCTTCCGCAACCTCGAAAGAGCCACAGTGAATGCCTGGTCACGCAAAGCCAGCTCTTTTCCCAGCCGCCAGGCTTCGACATACGAAACATCCATCATAGCCAAATCCGGATCTCAAATCTCGAGATCAGTGCCACGGTTTGATTGGATCCCGAAGCCAGGTTGAGGGGACGTGTGACTGCGGTCAGTATCAATGGACCCCGCAGCAATGCTGTTGTGGTTTCGCCAGTAATTGCTCGGTGTCGGACTAGGGTGAACCCATCCTCTTGTCTTTTTTCATGAGACCCGCTAGACGATCTTGACCTTCTTCTGGGTCCGTCTGGAGACTCGACACGGTGTTTACTTTGAAGAGTTTGATACCGCTGGAATCGGGAGACATATTGAATCGCAATGCTTCCGCGATCGATTTCGGGGTATCCAGTGCAATCTCGGTCGCATTTAGTTGATCGTGGGCTTTTGGTCCTGGGTCTAGGACCGACTGTTCAGCTGCCATGGTGTGCCGGCCGCTTTGTAGAGACGAAGGGTAAAGAAATGAGAACCTATGTCGCCAGGCAAAAGATTGGAAACTTGTCGCAGAGAGGCAGCCCCCGCCCTGCAATAGGCCTATGTATTCGAAATACTAGACACAGATTTGGACTACACTGTCGCTGATCATTCACAACGCAAAGAGAGCTGCTGAGACCTCCCCTATGAGTACGCTGTTGAAGATCAATGGGCCAGGCGGGCATCGAGAACGAGGACCAGAGTCCGTTTTACCCTCTAGCTAGGAGCCCACAATAATGATGCCACGTGGCGTACCGTCCCAGTAAGAACAAGGCTGGATGTAGCTTAAAAAGGCGAGCTGAAACTACCGCTAGCGTTGTGGGGAATACGCAGACACTAGCAAAATACTTGGTATTCTTCAGGATTTGGCCGAATTTAAAAGATGTCACGAATCACGAGGTTAGTGAGGCTTTCATGATGGACTTCTACCGTCAGGCTTTGTCAAACATAGAGCGGCGGTCCAACACCGTCTTTGGCGATCTGGATAGCTGTAAGGCTTGCCAAAAATGGCACTTTACAGTTTTGATACCACACCAGAGGACCTTAAACGGCGGCAGACACAAGCACAGACAAACTGTTTACCTCAAGGACAAAACATTTCTATATCGAATCCACTGGCTCGTGGACTGCCACGCTTTGCTCAAAGGAGCCTGGCTGTCTTACCCGCTGAAAAGAACCCTTCGCCAAATTTCTGTGCCTTCGATTGCTAAAGCTAATACTCTCCAACGGGGCAGCAACGCTACCAGGACGCCGTTCAGTCAAGAAGCAGATCAGATTCCGTCGAGGTGAATTTGACATCGTCCCTCGCTTTTGAAAGCCCCGCGGGAGCACCCCTGGCAGTGCCAAACGAGAGTACACAGACGTATAGCCTGTCATCGATGAAGCTCAGCTAGCCGCTGTCTTCTAAAGATATCTCCTAATCTTTCCATGAATGTGGAATGGTACGTAGTGCTTTTTGGTGACAGGCACGCCCGCTTCGAGGAGCATGATAGCCGTTTGAACTTTCCCGTAGTCCATGGCGTGTTGGAGAGCTTTTTGACCAGTCGGCACGTCGTCGCCCATGTCGTTCCAGACTTTGTTCTTGTAGACTTGGTGGACGTCTACGCCGGCTGCCAATATGAGGCCGAGTTGGGTAATTCGTCGAGCTCGATCGGTATCGCGAACCACTTCGAGTAGTATTGGATCGTGATCTTCATGGAACCAGCTTAGATCCGCTCCGTGTTCGATGAGTAGCTTGAACAGGTCGGGATTCTGGAACCGAGCTACTCTGTGGAGGAATGACGACGGAATTACCGTGGTTGCATCTGTCAAGCATCAGTTGTAGGTTTTGCGCTAGTGCATTGTTTTGCTACTACATGAGAAGATTTAGGACACCTTAAGGAGACGGAAGTTCATCTCTTTCTACAATGTACAAGCTCCCTGAGGCGCCTCAGACGGCGGTTTGTTTAGTGCGATGCAGTCTACGAATTAAGGCATCTCAAAAACACGTGCCTCGCACGCTCTCAGGTGTCCTAACATAGGCTTCTGCACAGCAGTACACCGACTTTCATAACCGCTATAGCGGTACAAAAGTGTAGACACACGTAAGGAAGTTATAAAAAGACTTACATGACGTAGTCGAATCTGGTGGTGCATTCTCCGTTGAATTCGCGGCATACTTGGATAGAAGCAATTCGATGATCTCAACGACAGTCTCAACGCTGTTTCCCTAGCTGTCCGATCCAGAAGCAAGAAGACTCATCTTATCCACCAATCTAGTAGCTTCATCCGGAGCGATCCTTCCAAGCGCCCCTGCTTTGACGACGAACATGCGGACGATATCCACCTGCTCGTAATATCCGCCGATAACGCAATTATATAAATACCAGTGCCCAAGGCCACCAGGGCCAGTGTCGCCGTTTTCGAGGAGGTATCGCACGAGTGCCGTCTTGAATTGATGTACCGCCCAATCCAATGCAGGAAGAGTTGCTGAGGATGTATAGTCAAGCCTGGGGGCATTGGCTCTCTTGTGTAAGTCAGTGTAAAGAAGATTGTTGAATTGCCAATTAAGGCTGGAAAGTCGACTGAAAGATGTGTCAAGATGTGTCGTCAAGGTACCCGGCGATCTCTAATAGTAACTCGTTCGGCATTGCGCTCAGTTCCATGACGGGTGGTGTGCCTATTGATGCAGTGGTGGTGCGAGGAAGTCGAGTATCAATGTTGGTAGAGAGCGTGAAGAGGAACCTTAAAAAGATTTGTTTCTGGAAGTGAGTTCATCGGATGCCAGATTCCATTCACCTCTCTGGTCTTAAGCCCCACTTATTTTGGCTGCGAGTTTTCCAGCACAGCCTTCCTCACTTTGCCATCACAGCTGATCCACCAACCTTTCCCCTAGATCGAGCTTTTCACTCCGAGACTTCTGTTTCGGTAACGAAATATCTACTCCCACACTCCAAAACGCAGTACAACCGCATGACGCATTTTCGGATCATTGCATCTCCTCTGCTATAGCGCTAGGCCATAAGTCGGGGCACACGAACTGAATTATGGCCCGTCTCTTTCCACCTCATTCTCCCTCCTCTGCACTTCTAAAATCTCTCTCTGGAGCTGTGTTTCCAGCGTCTCCAGCTCCGCGAGCCGATTCAGCCGCTCCCTTTCCGCCCGTACAGCATCAATGCGAGCGCGGAGAAATTCAAGATGAGCGGAGTCGACCTGAGTAGATTGGATTGAATCCGCGCGAGCCTGTGGCGCGGCGCTCGGATGATCATCAGCAGGGAAGTACTCAGCAGGGTCAACTGCCGATGCCGAATCCAGGGACCTGCGGTGGTCCGTTCCTATCTCATGCGTGTTTACTTGGGTGGGTAGTTCCACGGAGGCTGGGACACTGGACGATCTCGATGAACTCCGGGCGTGACTGGAAGCTTCCTCATCATTATAAGCAGGTCTTTCGTTGACATGACCGTCCATTATATGGGAGGATTCATGGAGGGATGGTGCTTGCGCGCCCAAGCTGGTAGGAGCAGCGGTCGGGTCCATGTTGAGTATGGTTGGTTTCTCCTCTGTTGTAGAGAGCGGCGAAAGCAACTCGGGAAGATTGGGATTGTTTCCGTTCTCGTTTGAGGCGTGCAGATCTCCGGTCCTCCCCCACCTCCGATTCCGTACGAAGAGGAACAGCACAGCTTTCAGCATGAACACACCAGCAATAACACCAATTGCAATGCCAGCTTTTGCGCCTCCGGAGAGGCCGCCTTTTTGTTGGCGTATTGCTACATCGTTTGAGGGGGTAGCCGAAGGAGCGAGGGACGACGTTGTAGAGACAAGCTTGGTTGTATTTGTAGAGACAAGCTTGGTTGTGGCCGTTGCAGTCGTCTTAGCAATCGTGGAAGACGGCACAGCGGTAACGCTTCCTATACTCGATAAGGCAGTTCTAGACGTTATCGCCATTAGAGACAGTACTTCCTTGTCAGTGGCCTCCCAAAGAACTGGAATAGCTGGAGCGTATACATCGATAGGCGCCAAGAAGGATGTAGCTGTGAGAACAACGAAGAAGACGCTGCTGCCCGAGCCGGTGGTTGAGACATCCGCGTTGCTCATATCGCCAGACACGGTGCGTAGGCAAGACGGCGAATAATTGTAGTTGGTAGTATCGCAGGTGAAGCCACTGGAATGGGAGAGAAGTCAGAAACGAGGTTACCCTTCGCGCATTCCCAGTCATATGGGCTTACGAGGGGCAGCACAAGGCTTGTGTTGTTCCACTACTGAGACTAACACCGACAGTGCTATAGAATATATTGCCATTCATTGTTGTCGGCCCGCATGCCGAAGAGAAGCCCTGGGGACACACTGCCGGGGAGTAGAAGAAGAACCCGTAATCCACACTTGTAGTGCTTGTCGGAAGGCACAAACTCTGCAGTATCCACCCACCAGTATCTCTGTAGGTCATGATCCCGCCCCAAGTAGACACTGAAAGGGTGTCGGATCCGAAGGTCCTCGTAAATATCTTGGTGGTCCCAAAACAGGAATCGGGAGGTGTGAAGATAGTGGTCACTGGGCCGGCATTGTAGTGTTGAATGTCGGCAGAATTCGTGAGCTGTCCCACTGGCGCCGTAGCCATGATGAAGGTGTCTGAAAGAATAGGCCGCTCGAGTGTTCACTGAGGCAAAGCGCGTGGCTTGGAATGGCGAAGTTGGGACAAGGCTGGATACGAGAGTGGAATTGGGGCTCGCACGGCGAAGAGGAGGCGGGGCTGGTGGCTACCTAGGTATCTTATCTTTTGAAGATGCGTGCAGCAAGCTAAGCCGTCATACATGCAAGCTTCCTGCATCCTTGGCTTTAGTCTGTCCAATTGTTCTTCGTTTTTTCTCAGCCTTGCGGCTACCTCTGCCCACCCCCGCATTCGAAACGGCTGTAATGGCGATTGGCCAGCAACGCAGACACTCGACTATTCCTGCCAATTCGTGGACGAACCCCACAACATCATCTCAACCATAACCCCATAGTCTCTGTACGTAGTGATTACAGAGTTAATGGCTATCCTGTAGTTGAAACCGAGGTGGACGTCTTCAACAATGCGGGATCGAGGGGGCCGGTATGAATAGCATTCTGCCATCCAGCCAGAAGTGGTAGTTGAGCTTGAGGAGTACATCATCTTACCACATGTCTCAACCGACACGCTCATTATGATACTGCCACTCCGAACCAGGCTCGCAGCTTGGAAAATCGCTGTGGTTTGAAACATGACTCCGGCGGTGTGAGGCTGTGGTCAATGGGCTAAGATTGTAAAACTGGACGTCGGTAGGCGCTGCGAGAATGCCGACGGGCCAGGTAGCTATGGAAACGAGTTTCGAGGCCATGGGCGTTGTTAAAGTCATGTCTTCAATCGAATTGTAGTTCTCGGATATTAATGGATATGGTTAGATAGCGAACGTCAGAAGAAGAGGCGATAGACGGGAAAAAATGGGTGTAGGAAGAGGCGCGCGTGGAGGAATATCGAGAGACTCGAGGCAGGTACTTGTTTTATTACATTGCGCAGGCCCCGAGATACAAGGCCCCGGATCCCAGTTGTGTTGGTATTCAAGTCCCCTGCACTCGTCTATTCTACCTTGAAGGAGCGAGCCGCGGATGGGGCCAAACCCAGGATGAAGAAGCGAGAAGGTGGAACGACTCTCTTCCAGTCTGAAGTGGTTGCTTGGGATCTCGAAAGTCCTTCTTCTCCGATGTTGTCGCGATGGGATGCGTCGCGATGGGGTTCAGCATATCCTAACGACGCTTGGACCTAGATCACAGTAAGTACGGTGAGTAGGAAGTGTTACCAAAACCGTAGACATTACTGAAATCTCGTCGAAGTCGTCCCTAGCTCCATAGCCCGCAGTCATCTCTAAATTAGTTCCAAATCCAATTTCGTTCCAGTCTCTTTCCAGCCTCTTTTCAATTGGTTTTCTGCGTTTCCCGTATTCTATCTTTACAGCGTCTTTCTAATTTATTTCGAACTGCTTTCCCATTTCTTTCCGAGCTCATTCAAATTCTTCTCCAGTGTCGTCATTGCTATCTCATTCATCTCAAATCGGTTCATCCCTCGGCTCAATCAACACCTCATTGACCGCCACATGCGCCGGTTGTCGAAGTGCATACACGACACTATTCGCAACATCTTCCGCATCCAGAATCTTCGCGCCACTCGGCTCGCCGTACTTCTTAACAGCCTCTTGATCGCGGCTCATACCCAGCAGCGCGGTCGCGGTATTACCCGGCTGCACGCTCGTGACCCTCAGCCCAGTTCCGGCAGTTTCCAGACGGAGAGATTGGAGCGTAGCTTCAACGAAAAACTTGCTCGCGCTGTACACGCCCAAGCCGGGGAAGACCTTCCGGCCAGCATCGGATGAGATAGCAACGATGTGTCCGCTTCCCTTTGCTAGCATGTTGGGGACGGTGGAAGCCAGAACATGCAAAAGACCCTTGCAGTTCACATCCACGGTTCTGTCCCAGTCGTCTACGTGCGTGTTGGCCATCATGGTGAAATACATGACACCAGCGCATGAGACTACGATATCGACCGGGCCCAGCTCGTCATTGGCAGCCTTGAAGAGAGCAGTAACTTGCTCCGGGGAGGTGACATCGGTTGGGCAGATTATGGCGCGGCCTTCGCGGACGACGAGACGACGCTTCACATCTTCGAGCGCGTCGAGGCGGCGAGCAGCAAGGGCAACGTGGCAGCCTTCTCGAGCAAGGGCTGAAGCGACGGCAGCACCGATGCCTGAGGAAGCACCAGTGACAACAGCTACGCGGCCGCTGAGAGGCCCTTTGCGGATGGGCTGGGCAGACCCGCCGAGAGAGTGCTGGCGGGACGGTGCTCGGGAGAGCCAGCCACGAGCAAACCAATGGCGAGTGTAGGTTTCCAGGAGGATACTATCGACCTTTGGCCGTTCGACGACCAAGCGGAAAGGGCGGGTGGCAGCATTGTTGAGAACCACGATGCCGCGGAGGAACTCAACCGTAGGCATACCGCTGCGGAGAATGTCGACAGTGAATGAACCGTCGCCACCCTTGACGGATCCACGTTTCTCGGTCCAAAGGGAGACCCAGTCGTCAAAGCTTAGTCGCTGAGTTGAGTATCCAAGCTCTTTCAGGTCCTCAAACACCTGCTTGGTGTCAACAGGATCGGGGTCGCCGAGATGAAAAACGACCTGCTCTATGTCTGTTTGGCAGGAGAGATGGATGATAGCTTTGCTGACGAAGTCGACGGGAGTCATCTCAGCGCGCCATCCTTCAACGTCAGGGGCGTAGCCGAGTTGAATGGATTCCACAATCAGAGCAGTCAAAAGATCCCACGCGTTGGCAGCACCCGTCGCGCTGTGACCGCTGATTGTGCCTGCTCGGTGGATCTTCACTGGGAGCCCACGACGACCAGCCTCGAGCACAAGCTGCTCTGCTACCCATTTGGTCTGCCCGTAGCCGTCGAGTAGCTTCGTAGGTACATCGTCAACATCGAGCATTTCGGATTCTGGCCAGCCTTTCTCTGGAGACGGCGGTAGAACGCCATTAGTGGACACGTACTGCACGGTAGCACCACCTTGACATGCCAGGCGCAGAATCTCTCTCGTTCCTCCGACGTTGGGAGCTCGTAGTGGAGCATAGGGATACACCAAGTTGACAGTAGCGGCAGCGTGAACGATGACATCAACACGAGCAGCTAGCTTTTCGAAGGCCGCCGGTGAAAGACCAAATCGGTTTCGAGACAAGTTACCCGGGACAATCTCGACACGCTCCATGATTGAATCGCGCCACAAGCCCATATCGAGCAGATTTCGACGTATTCTCGCTATGCCTCCGGGCTGGTCATCCTCTTCAGGGTCATTGAATCGTACAAGACATAGTATCTGTGCTGCCGTGCTTTCCAATAGATCGTTCAGTAGAAAAGCGCCCAAGAATCCCGTGACACCAGTTAAGAGGACTGTCTTTGCTTGACTGACTGAGCATATTTTGGTATCGCTGGAGGGTCGAATGTCATCATCAAGGGTAGCATCAGCACGCAGCACAGCGGGAAGATCTGCTTGGACCGCCGCTGTGTGTCCGTCTCTCACATCACGCACTGTCTTCAGGTGGCCAAGGAGGGTCGTATCTCCGGCAAGACGAGCAATAGGAATGCGGAAGCCGAATGTCCTGGACAGCCTTGACGCAAGATCCGCGAGTGACAATGAATGTCCACCCAGGTCAAAGAAGTTGTCTTCCGGTTTGATGAGGTTCCGTGACGTCTTGAGGGCTGCTGCCCAAATTGTGGCGATATCATCGACTCCAATTGGGTCATCTTCAATTTTTTGACCGATACCATTGACAGGGCTGGAGCTCCGGGGCGCGGGTAGGCGTTTGAGATCAACCTTGCCGGAAACTTCGTGAGTAGGGAGTTCTTCGAGGTCAACCCACAGAGCGGGGATCATGTACGGTGCTAAATACGGCGCAAGGGTGCGACGTGCCGCTGGACTGTGACCAGACTCGTTGATCTCTATGGCGGGGCGATTCGCCTTGTCGTCCTTGTCTTGGACGATATACGCAACCAGCTGCCGCTCGAGGCCTTCGCCATGGGCAACTACTGCGCAGCGGCTGACAGCCAGGTGCTTGACAATGTCATTTTCAACCTTACCAGGAACGACGGAGTAGCCGCGGAGTTTGATCATAGCTCCAACGCGACCTGTAATCTCAAGGAGCCCTGAAGGGAGCAAGCGTGCGAGATCTCCGGTCCTATACATCAACGCTCCCGAAGTTGAATCGAATGGGTCAGGAAGGAATGCTTTCGCAGTGGTCTCGGGCCGGTTGAGGTACCCCCGAGCGAGTAAAGGGCCGCCGACGAAGAGCTCTCCACTGGTCCCCTCTTCCACTTTGTGGCCACTATCATTGAGGATGTAAGTGTGCTTCAGGTCTAGCGGGGGACCAACGGGACAGTAGGGGGCGTCTTCATCGAGCATCTCCTTGATGTCCCCGACAGCAACCTCATGGGTCTCACAGGCGCTGTAGCAGTTCAGCAGACGAGTCTTTGGAAGTCCTCTAATAGCTCGACGGGCCAAGTCAGTAGTGACAACCTCGCCATTTAGCCACAAAGTCTGTAACTCTGGAAGGCGATCCTCAAGATGCGGATTTCGAGCGAGCACGGTGGCCAGAAGGGTGGGAGTCATCAGAGTCTCGGTGATGTGCTTGGAAGCGAGCAGGTCCACCAGAGCAGCCGGGTCATAGCTGACCTCGTCTGGCACGGCTACAACAGTAGCTCCTCGGAAAAGCGGCCGCAGAATCTCCCAAATGAAGAAGACGTTGCAAGCTACCCGATCCCCCGGTTGGACGTCTTGGAAGCCAAATCTCAGCTCATACGAGAGGACTGGTGCTCTATGGGGGTTCGTAATGCCCTTCGGCTTCCCAGTAGTACCACTCGAATAAGCCACGAACCTAGAAAGATTTAGAATAGCCGTAATGATGAGTATCGTGGGCTTGCGAGAGGGACATACGCAAGTCTCTCGAGGTCATCGTCAACAGGTAAGGCAGAGGGCTCTTTCGCATGTCCATTGAGATCGGGTGTTGGCTCATCGAGGGTAATGAGAGGAACACCGCTCTTGATCTTACCAACCTCAGCCCTATACGTGACCACTACAGCCGGATTGGCATCCTCCAGGACGTCGGCCAGAAGACCTGGAGGATACGCAAGCTCTAGCACCAGGAATGCCCCTCCAGCACGGAGAGCTGCAAGACAGACAACCACATAGTGGGCGCTCCGCGGCAGCAGCACGCCGACGAGGCTGTCTCGACCGACTCCGTAGCCGCGAAGGCGTTGGGAAAGGCGGTTGACCTCGTCATCAAGCTCGGCGTACGTGTAGGTAGAGCTGTCGTCTTCCAAGGCCACAAGATCGGGTGTCTTTTTGACCTGCTGGCGGAAGAGGGCGGCCAGGTCCTTGGTGGTGTCAATGATGGCCATGGTGTCGTGAACGGGGAGAGGTTTGCGGCTTCACGATCTGAAAATGGGGTTGACATTCCAGACCCACTTTTGGTGTCCGCTCCCGTGGGCGGTGCGACCAGGGCCACATCGTCACAACCCGCCAGTACACCAGTGTCGTCACAGGTAGGCATGGCGTTATTCGAGCGAGCCCCGTTATTGGCAGCTGGCTGGCACGAGGGCAGCGAAAATTGACCTGGAGAGAGGGCTAGGCCGGTTCAGCCCGTTTGTAACGTTCTTTTGTTGGGCGAAAGAAACAAACTTGGCCGTGGCGCCCGCATTGGTGTTGAAAAAGCGTTATCAGGCCCGATGCGGCAAGGCGATCCGCCTAGTGTGTGCCGAGGTCCTGGGCATGGGGTAGGAGATCCTTGAAGATGTCTAGAGCCTCTTCTTTTACACAACAGAATTTCCCCATATTTACGTAAATTGAAAAGGGAATAATGACTTGCACGAGAGGTACTTGTACATCGTCTATTACTCCCTGCCCACGCGCAATCATTTTGCACGTGACGAGCCTCTCGACGCTGGGATACTCCTCCAATGCCAATTGCTAAAGTCATGCAGCATTACCACATTCACTGGGGTTTGGGGCGCGACCATTGTGAGGCATAGTAAGAGAACCGTAAAGAAAGACTATATGCTCATGGTTTTGTGGGTAGATTTTCTTACTCCAAGCAGTTTGAAGCCGCCTGACTGTGTCATGCTGTTAGAAAGCCTGAACTTCTGGTTGTTACTTTGCATATGGAATTCCTGTTAATGTTGTCACCACATCACCGTTGTGGCTGAATGGCGAGGCTATCTAGTTACACTGCAGGGGCGCGGAGGCGGTGCAAAGCTGAAGAACCTGGGAGTAACAAACCCCATCAATTTCGCTTTCTACCAATCTTCAATCATCTTCGTATTCCTCCCGATAAATATCCACGCCCCACTCAGAGCTCAAGACAGCTGAGATATTCCGCGCAATGCCGTACTTGAAGTTAATCTCTGAGGAACTCCTTCCAGTCCTGAAAGAGAATCTCGCCAGCCCGCTAATGTGGAGTCTTCTACTGAAACCCGACACACTTTCGTCACCCATCGTATACGAAAAAAAGTGCTGGATAAAGATGCGAAGGAGGCGTGGCGTTTAAAGGAATCGTACAAGGACAGCTTCGCCATGTTAGCCATCGTCGTGAGGCCCTCATCAGTGTGAGCTTGCAAACATCATCGCTAATCAGATAGCCCGCTCAAAGGCCGCCATCGTGGCCTAAATTGCCATCACCATGCTAAATCTCGCGGACTTCGGCACAAATCATTAGACTGCTACGGCCTTCGCCTACACAAGCCTCGTCAGCGGCCTGTTGTCTACCTTCTTCTCCTTCTACGTGCAGCAGGTCTTGAGTGAGCTACATCGCCCGGAAGACGTCTATGAGTGGCTCACAACACCACGCATGAGTTTCATGGGTCGCATCGTGGAAACCCTCGGCCGACGACAACGAACCCTAATGCCTGCGAATCGAGCTGAAAGGATTCCCTCGCTCACGGCTGCTGCGACACTAACGGCACCCAGTGGCTTGCTCACTTTCTCCATCGTAACGCTGTTCATTGTCCTAGGAGTCTACCTCGACTCCGTGTACAAGGAGAGACTCAGCGCGCTGAAAGGCAGAAATGCCAATTTGGCGGTGTTGTTGTTTTTCATCATCTTCGCAGCGAATTCCATTATCGGGGTCCTCTTACCGCTCTTTTCCAAGCGGGTGGAACAGTTTCGCTCGCTGCTAGCGCGGGACGAGGAGAACCCTGGGTTGCAGAGTATGGGTCTGCGCATCGAAAAGGCCGATGCAGGGGCGAGTGGGAAGGCAGCGGACTCAAGTGGAAGTTCAGACACAGATGCGGTCATCCGGCGGGCGTTGGAGGCATCAATCCATGCTCAAAAGGAGAGCTTGAAGGCACAGAAGGCGCTGTTGAAACTGTTACTTTAAGAGATTGGTGCAATTGAGCCATCTTCATGAGCGAGTCTCTCTCTAAGGGCCTTTGACGCGCTGTGCCGTCTTTGGAATATTGGAAGACCTGAAGATAATGCCGTTCGGTCTTGATCTGCATTGCCACCCACGGAGCGAGCTGGCTACCATCGGGTACTGCGCCGATGGCCATCTCTTTTGAGCAAGTAACCTAGGGGCATTACTGCTGCTACAGCGGATGCATCTGCATCTTCAAGGTTGATGGCGTCCTCGGGGGTGCTATGGGCATCTCTTTTGAGTAAGTCACCGAGGGCCATTGCAGCTTCAGCAACGGAGATGCCGACTGCATCTTTATCATCAAGGTTAATGGCGTTCTTGGGCGTGCTTCCTGCGGTAGTGTTGAGAAGGACTGCATCTTCATCATCAAGGTTGATGGCGTCCTCGGCTGTGCTTCCCGCGATAGTGTTGAGAGGTAGGTCCCGGCCAGAACGCTTCGTCTCACTTTCCGCCACGTCGTCATTGGCCTTCCTTTTGCGACTTCCAGGTTCATGGCCATCAGCTTTTGTCATGAGAAGCTCCGATATGCGTTGTCCAAGTGCGCCCGGAAATGCTCTGGTTATGTCAGGAACGAGATATTCCATATAGAAACCTAGTGATGCCCCCGTCCTAACGACTCTCTCAACAATCGTTGCCATGAATTTGAGCTTCTGCAAGCTTCTTGACCGATCTTCCAGGCCTTGAAGCTCTGTGCCGATGGCCTTGAGCAGAATTCTATAACTCATTCGATCCGTGCTGTTGGCCGTAAGCATGATCCCATACCTCATTCCATCCTTAGGTGAGACAATAAGTTGGTCGAGTACCTCAAGGCACATGGTAGGCGTTTTTAGAGGATAGAAGAAAAGAGCGTGCACGAAAGACCTGTATGCAGCACTTTTCTGAGCCCCGTGGTCCAGGAACGAGGAAAAGAGCCCCATTTCTATAGCAATCTGAAATTTATCGTTGTGTTCGTTTTTGCATGAGCGCTGAATGAAGGACGACCACGAGGTGTCTTGTGGAAACGATTGGGGTTTCGAGGCGTTGGGATTCTGTCCATGTTCTAGCAAATGGCGGATTGTCCGCACATGTCTTGCTGTCCACTTAGGCTGTTTCACAACTATATCCAATGGCAGCTCGGATAAGTTATCAAAGTATTCCAAGGTTTCCTCAAGCTTCCTTTCAATGTACTTTTCGACCCCAGCGCGTAGCAGTGCCTCCCGAAATCGGAGGTCCGGAATACCCCATTCAGGCGGCAGATACAGATGTTCGAGTCTCTCGAGCAGCTCAAACCCAACGTCCTCAGAATCTTCCAGCACTTCATTCGCATAATACATCGCTTCTTCCAAGAGGCCGGGTGCTACTGAGATCCTGGAAATTGTCTCGGGACTGCATTTCAGGACTGCCAGGGAAGCCTTGAGTGTTGAAATATTTGCCGAGAACCCAGGCCTCGTCTTCGCGCTGATATAGCTGCTCATCTCACGAGTGAGCAAAAAGTCTCGCACCGTTCGATGAAGAAATTCGACGTGACCAACTTTGATGCTCAATAGACCTCCACATCTAGCGTTCACACGTCGTCGACACTCGTCTTGCATAGCGTTGAACTGGTCTTGATAGAGTTGAGACACGGGCATCTTCACAGCATAATCTTCATCCTCATGCTCGCATTCGTGCATGCTGTAGAAGAGAAAATGAAGCGGCTGCCGGGCATTAACGGCTATGCTTAGAAAAGCGGATGTCTTCTCGTGGTAGATTGGATCGACCGCCTCTAGTATGTGTTTGAAAAAACGTTCGAGATCGACTGGCAGACTGTCTAGCCTTTTACGCAGGTCATGTATCGAGTCTCCGTTTGTTAGGCCGTCTCGGAGAGACTTCGTGACCAGAAACACCCATAAGAACACGCCTTGGGCCTTGTCACTGATATCATCGATGATAGATTGTTTGTCATCGGCCCTAAAAAGAGGGAGATTCCATCGTTTGTGCTCGGTCAGTCGACTTCGTGTATACCTCCGAATGTCGTCACGTGTGAGATCTTCCATGTAGATTTTCTGCAATAAATGATTGCCAAATGCGTCGACAAAGACGTTCCATGGTCGGCTGGCGATACACAGTTTTATGTTTGGTGATTGAGAAAGACCCTCGAGAATGTCGCAAAGTTTGAGATGATCGCCGTCGAATTCGTCAATCCCATCTATAAAGAAACAGTATCGGATATTCAGGCTTAAATGGCTGGAAAGTGTTTTCAACGTTGTAAGCAGCTCGGATGTGGTCCACTGAGTAGGATCATCATTCCTCACTGGGTTTGTCTCTGCCCAGCGAGCCGGACACACTTGAGGGATGAGCATCGGGCAGACACGCAACACATCGTAAATCAGAGTCTGGAATAGGCCTTCGTAAGACTTCTGCATTGGTGTGCCTGCGCTCCAGAAGTAATGCGCCGCAATAACCAATTTCACTCCGCCTGCCCACTTTTCAAGCAATGATTTGGTCGTTTCATGGTCTGCGAGAAACTTCATCAGAGTGGATTTTCCGGATCCGGGTTTACCGGAAACCCAGAATATTCCATTTCCGCTTTTCAGCCATTGGGGGTATTGATGGTCATGCTCTCCCTCTGAGACTTCAGGCGGGTCTAGCATCCATTGGAACGTCTTCTCGTGGGCGGGAGGAAGATTGTCGTGGCGCACCGGACGTGAAGGAAAGTGGAGGCTTCTAAGAAAGACTTGCTCCCTTGCGACAACTGCAATTTCTTTCTCTGTAAGATCAAGTTTTGATAGTTCGGTAGACAACATGTCAAGTTGCTCCAATGTCAATGCCGAAGACGGGCTTTGCTGAAAGGCGTCCCAAGCTTTTAACGAGAAAGCTTCTGCGGGCGTTGAACGCACGGGATTGGACGGGTTCGTCGAAAGCTGCTCACTGATTCCGTTCATTTTGGATGTCAAATCCTGGAGTGTTTTCGAGATGGCGTCAAGTTTGGAGTGTTGATCGACCCTCAAGATTGAGCTCTCGTCTTTAAGCGTAGCCACTATCTTCAGGACAGTAGACTGTTGCTCGCTGCATGTAATCAGACAGATTGCAGGTCAAATTTATGCCTCGTGGTTGCGAGTTTACCTGAATATAGGAAAGAAATGAAACGAAATCATTTTCTGGAACCGCTCCAGGCGGGATTCCAAGTCGGCGATCTTTTGACTGTCCCAAGCTGCCTCCAAAGCTGCCATAAAGCTTCGGAAGCGTCGCCACCGCCCGCCCTGTACCTTCACTTTTCGAAGCGTCTCTAAGATCTGGTCGCATAGATCCTTGCTCTCTTTTCCTAAACCCTTTAAAGCGTCTATGTGGATTGATAGATATTGAGGCATGCGAGCGGTGGCAAAAAGGCCTCGCGATGGTCCTCTACCATCAGTGGTGTCATGGTTGCTTAGGCTTGAACTAAGCTCGCGGAATCTTTCGTAGATTTTCTCCAGCTCAAAGGTCTTCTCGGAGGCACCACTAGCCGATTTATAGACCTCTGATCCCGTAGACAGAAGCCCAGAAGCGAAATGTATGAACTGGACGACGTTGCCAGCCAGCCCGAGGGCTGCTAAAGCCTCCATTGTTCCCTTGGTCTGGCGGGTCTCCGAAGAGCGAGTTGTAGCGAAATATTGCGAGGTTGAAGGAGACGGGGGCAGTCGACGGGCGGAATCCCACACATCACGTTGTGGTATTCTTCAGCCTCGAGGCTGCCTTGCTGCTTCGCCTCAATCCAGGGCGTATATGCAGCCAAGGTGGTGGCACTGGCTGGATTCGTCGCAAAGTAACGCGACACCCCGTAGCAACGCCCGGGCGTCCGCAAGTCGGATTCAGCATCGTGTTGACGGTTGATTTCTGTAATTACAATGGAGGCGCCTCTTGCTTGGGGATGCGATGCTGGCCAGCATGGTTGAAGTTTGAATGATGTGAATCTCAGAACGATGGTATCGTTAGAGTGTTGACACTAACGGGATGTGGATTAAATTGGTAGCGTTTAATGCCTCGGGGATTACCGCTTCATCCGCGACCTCCAGCCTGCAACCTTCATCTTTCATATAGCCTCTTCCTCCTCAAGCCTAAGGACAGCGCTCCGGGTCACGCACTCACACATACGCCGTCCGAACGACCGATAGAGCGTATCCTGGTATCCATACAACGACGTATCGATATCAGCGAGCGACCGGTTCGACCGGTTTCCGACTACAACACGACCAACATTGCACCGCATCTCTCGATCAATACGACAAGTCAGCGAGGCCACGTTGAAACCGCTTGACGCTGCCTGGGACAGCCCGGCAGACGGTCTTGAATTCTTGGGCATGGGGAGGAGGGCTTGACTAGGCTCACAAGATTTACCATCTTAGTCACGAATACAACAATATCCTTGTGGCCAGCAGGCTGGTCTAGGGGGTCACGAATACCACACTATCACGACTACATTATTATTACAATGTGGGCACGGTAGAGCCTAAGTAGGACTCCTAGACTCTTGGACTAGTGTTGATACGACGGGCCGCCCAGGGTAGTCTTTCTTGCTAATTGACTGCGTCTAGGCGCTTTGTACCGATAACTAGTAATAGAAGACCAGCTTTATCCTAGAATTAGCTTAGGATCTGTATCCTAACAGAGGCAAGTCCCCAGGTGCGCTATATATAGAAGATTCTAGTATGTATTTGGCAGATGTGGCAGATCTGTGCGTGCTAGCCGACCTGTGTTAGTGTGGACGCCGCTGGGCGGCGTCTGTACGTAGCTAGCCGAATGATAAAAGAAATTCATGCCGATATTCTACCTTACCAACACCTTCCCAAGCCCCTAGCGGGTTTCCAAGGCAACTGTCAGGATGCCTTCGTCAAGTCGCTCTACGCGTCTGAAAGGCCCAGTCGGCCAGGAAGCCATACCCAAGTAACCTTGTACAGTCATTAGGGGAAACAAAAAAAGAATTGTGTCTATCAAACTTGACACCTCAGTGTCTGCTAAGAATGTACTTAGTGAATTGACCTTGTTCTCCGTGTGAAGTTGACGTATGTTGAGAAAACGAAATAGTTTACACTAAACACGCGTCCCACAGATCAACAGAACCTTCGATAATTGAGCCTTTTATTAGAACCCCATAGCTTCAAATCCAGCTGACGTTCATCTGGCTGTCGTGACTCGAATTATCAGTTTTACGTACGATTTCACGTTTGCACTCGTTATACACAAACATCTCAAACATTTCTAGTACGTCCGTCCTTGAAAAAGACTCAGATTGATCTAGCATAATCTCAAAGAACCTTAGGTTCTATCATTCCATTAACCATCATACTGCGACAAAAACTCAAGCGCCCCGGCCTTCTCCCTCTTCACAGCCTGCAGCACCTCCTCGCTTCGCGGCACCACGCGTACCTCGAACGGCAACGGACTAACCAAAATACACGAGTTATAGGCATTCTCATCCAACGGTACCGTCTTCCCTGTTTTCGGATCTAGCGGTTCGTAAATATTGAATGCCCACAGGAGTTTCGCGACGATGCGCCACATGTTTCGTTCGGCCAGATGCAGGCCGGGACAGATACGGCGGCCGGCTCCGTAGCCGTAGTGATCTCGATTGTCGTAGTCTGGCGAGGAAGCGTACTCGTTGGCGAGCTTTGGATGATTGAGGAAACGATCGGGATTGAATCTCATGTGGTCAGGGTAGAGATTTTCGTCTTGATGCATAGCCCAAACGGCGACGAAGATGGTGCTGCCTTTTGGGATTAAGAAGCCGTTGTAATGATCATCTAGGAGTCATGAGCATTGCCCTGCATAGAACTAAGTGGATTATCGAGGAACGCGAACCTTTTGTTACTCTGTGGGGTAGACCCGAGCGTGCCCTATGACTAGTGTTAGTTTCGACGAGTTCATCAGCGGAACTGGAGACCTACGTTGGGCGCCATCGAAGCCCTTCCTTAACGATACAGTTTATATACGGCAATTTATCGAAATCATCAAAAGTAGGCGGATTATTCGGACCACAGACGCGATCAATTTCCGCCTGCGCCTTCTTCTGAACCCAGGGATACTTCGCCAACGCCATGATGAGTGTGAGAACCTGGTTCGCCGTCGTATCAGCACCCGCCTCTACAAGCTCACCCATCAGATTGTTGAAGGCGTAATTCGGGAAAGGCCAATTTCCTTGCTTTTCCATTTCGTCCAGCTTTTCATCAATCAGACAATCACGCTTTTCGCCCTTCTCCCTTCTCTTGTCGACGATATCTCGCGCTTTGTTCCAGAGAATTGAGCGAAGCTGTTTGGTTTCGTATATGCGCTTCTTCCAGTGTCCGGGGGTGTACCAGAGCAATGGAAACTCCTCGCTTGGTGGATTGGCGCCGGGCTCGAGCACCTCTCCCCACTATACGATGCGCTCATTAGCACGGAATGCAAGGACGACTAGATTGCATTACTGACGTTTTCCATCATGTGGTAGAAGTCTTTGAACCAGAAGGAGTCGAGATCCTTTGCACGATGCCCATATAGAAGCGAGCATGCTACGGAAACAGGGTACAAACGTGCGTAGTCGAACACACGGGCTGGATCGTCGAGCAGATTGTTCATGAAAATGACAGATCGGTAGATGTATCAATCACTCGATACGTTTGTCTTTTTTGGAATACACTTACTCCGCTTCTTGCACCTTGAAGTGATGTGTGTCGAGCTTTTGCGGGCTGAAGTGTCTCACTGCGATGGCGCGCTTGTGCTTCCACGACGGACTCTGCTGCTCAAACGAGAAGTGGTGGCCGTTTGTAATAAACATTGCCGCCTTATTTTCCGGCCGGTCCGAGTATATGACGCCGCGTTTGTCGAGCAACTGGCCAACGATCTGAGGGTCCGAGATCACGATGATGTTTGAATTGAACACCTTGAGGCAGTACATGCTGCCATACTTTTGGGCCCATTCATGGAACCTATGCCCAGATCAGTTTGCCGTTCGTGCAGAGAGTCGAATGGCCAAGGGTCGGTTGCGTACTTGAGGGCGATTCCAGTCTTGGGAATCAGATGCGCATTGCCTAAAATGGGGATTGTGGGAGGGCCAGGTGGAAGGCGAGGGTCTCTGCGGCCAACGCGGAGCAGTTTGAATCCATAGTATAGGAGAGGCACCACTAGAAATGTGACGAGAGGGATAGCGAGATTATCGATCATGGCGGTCGATTGTGGTATAAAGCTCGCAGGAGAATGCAGCACATGTTCGGAGTATTCCCGCTTTTATACCACATATTACCACGTACCAGATCTAGCGCAATCAACTATACTTCTTCTATTCCAAAGGTGCAATTAGCCCGGGGTGGGGCCGGTACATAGAAAATCCGGGGAATCTGGGAATTGTCTAATAGTGCGGAGGCGGGGTTGGGCGTATTCTCGGTCTGATTTCGAGCAGAACACGACGCCCCGGCCCTATTTACTATGTCAGTCACCACAGTCTGATCCATCTGCCGCCTTTGCTTTCAAAGCCCACGTTAAATACGATATCGCCCTCGCCGGCAAGCTCAAAACTCGCCTTTCCTCATCGTAGCTGAGTATCTAGATTTCGACCAGGATAATTACCACAGCATGGCTGCGCCAAAATATTATGTTGTTGCCCGCGTGGTGAGCAGAGACGGAGCATTAGATAAGGTATGCTGTCAGCCTATAAGATTAGTGGCTAAACATATTGCTTTACAACATTTAGCTAACTTTGTTATCTTAATTGCGATTGTAGTGGAGGGAGAGGCTTACGGCGCTGTGTGCTGTATCCAAGACGGAGCCGTTCTCCAACTCGTACTATTGGGGTTACGACCTTGATGGCGCGCCAGATACTCTCTGGGGTCTGGAAGGATACTACCACCCAGTCGGATTCCACATGAATCATGTCTCAGGAGAGATCTTCAAGGAGGAAATGGCCAAGGTGGACGACGACAAGTTGTTGCGCAATGTCCAGGGCCTCGGCAGTCCTGATTATGATTTGCACCATTACGACCTTGCTGATGGCTTTGTAAAACGCAAAGACGACCCAGACGCGGATGCTGTGAATAGCGTCGTCGTGATCGTGCATTTCTGGGCGAAGGAAGGCAAGCGAAAGCAGCTCTTAGGAACGCTTGCGGACGCCGCCGACAGAGTCCAGGCTTCGGAGAAGGCAGGCTCAATCACGGTCCAGAGCTTTGCAGTGCTTAAGGAGGTGAATGATTTCCAGCTGGCTACCGCATACATTCGGTACGTATTGCGCTGTCTTCCGATGCGTCATGACAAGCTAAGAAGGATACCACTGTAGAACCAAGACGTTGGCAGATTGGGAGAAGCTCGCAAATTCGAGCCTTTTTAAAGAACTTTTGGACGGCCTGGAGACTGTTGTTGCGAAGCAAGAAATTCACAGAGCTCAGAACTTTATTGGACATATTGATCAAGATGCGCCCATCGGCAATCCATAGGTAGAGAGCGATTGACGTCAAAGACGCCTTGGAGCAGACGTGCTCACTAAACGTGGAACAAATGCTGAATGTAAATAGATGGTCAAATAAGACATGTCCCCATTAACGAGGGAACTTTTCGCAGACTAGCCCTGTTGTACTCTCTGTCATGGTGCCTCGCATTGCCTCGAGGCTGCCTTGCTGCTTCGCCTCAATTAAGGGCGTAATGTGCCATTGGCTGGATTTGTCGCGAGTAACGCGACACCGCGTAGCAATGCCCGACTCACAGCCCGTACGCTCACACGGCATGGCTTCGTCGAATACGGTCGGCGATACTGCTGATAGCAAGAGGTTGAATATGAAAGTGTTGTGGTATGCAACGATGGTGGATCGATATTCTATTAGGTGCCCAGATGTTTCCTCACGGTCTGAAGCTTGAAGGCGGTTTGGGATCCAAGCTTGATGTGTTTGTCATTGAGCGGCAGTCAGAGGGAAAATGAATCAAGACGAGATGTGGGGCCAAAAACTATTGTATTGATGAAGGTGAGGGAGCACCCTTGCACAAGGGTAGCTATTGGCTATTGAGCGGAAGGAGGAAAGATACCTAGTTAGTTAGTTAGGTATACAGGATGATGAGTAAGCCTGCTAGACAGGAAGGGGGGCCGACATCATTAGACTAACTGCATACCGACTAGTTCTTACAGCCATATAATGCCGCTCGCGTCTGTCTTTCATTCTATGGCCTCCAACCTTCAATCGGATGAGATTGGCATCAAGATTCCATATTCCGCCCTGGAAACACCTTCCGACCTAGGCAGAATAGTGTTTGGTGAGGAACGCTTCGCCATGGAACTTTTCGCCAATATTCGAGAGGCATTCGTCAAGTCCATCTGCACTTGTCAAAGACCTAACCAGGACAGAGCCAGTCTCTGGTACCGTCTTGCGGAAAGATGAAACTAAATCGCTGTATATCAAGGCCCCATGCCTCATGAACTCAAGCCTCGGAGTGGAAATGGTCCGACATTCGTGGCTTGGAAAAGCAAATTCTCCTGCATCGAGGCTGTGTAAGGCTGAGCGCTTCCGCAGCGATAACTGCATCGATTCCACTTGCTTTTCCACCGCGCACTCCTGTCAACTTCTCTAGTCGCAATCTGTGCGTCCTCAGTTGTCTCCAATATATGTTGCCGGCGCGCAGATGAAGGATGGACCCGTTGAGCATCACCGCGTCGGTGGTAGGCCTCATAATGGCTGCGGGGAAGATTGCAGGCATCGTCGCAACCTTCACATCAAATGTCCAGGATGCACCTCAACTTGCGCATGCGGTGCTCTGTGATATCAACGACTTTCAAACTGCATTAGACGCTCTACATCACTTCCTTCTCCAGTTAGAGTCTGCTTCGGAAAGTCGAACGGCGCTCATTCAGCTCGACCAGCTCATTGTCCTTAACCGAGGCTGCACTCACTTTTTCAGAGCTAGAACTCTAATCAAGTCATTAACATCTTCCCCAAACTTTTCTTATCGAAATCGCGCTAAATGGGCGCGGAAAGAAGGGAAGATTTCGCTGCTCATAGAGCGTCTGCAGAGGCACAAATGATCCATATCGCTGATGCTGAACATTATTCAATGGCACGTCGCAGCCTTTTCCCTTCTCAAACCGTGGCGCCTCGCTAATAGCCCCAGTAAATCGGATCTGGAAGCGTCGCAATCTCAATCTCAACTCAACTTTCAAGTCGAGAAACTACTGTCAAACAACGAGGAACTTTGCAAACGACTCCGTAACCTAGAGGATACTTTTGATGCTCGGAATACCCTGACAAGGCGACTTGAAGATGCCAGCATATACGAGGATAATGAGGAAGCTGACTCTCAGACTATCACCACCAGGAGACCTATGACCGAACGATTGGGCGGGCCCGTCATGCAAACAGACATTATTCGATTTGCTTTTGAGAGCGATCTCGAGACCTCGAGGGTATACCGAAACGCGCAGAGCTCGCATTGCGATGCATCTTTCGCTAGCTCAGTCGCCCGAACGAATGCGTGGTCCATTTTCTCCGGACTTAGCCTTGCTGATGTCTCTGTAATATCAGTCATAGCGCTCCCCGTGTATTCTGTCGACATCGAAAATAGGCAATGGTATACCTTTGGAGACGTAGACAAAGTGTCCGATAGCCTCGCACCTGTGGCCGTCACAATGCCTTTAGAAAAGCTCCTACAAGCCGCCGCCACCAGCGACAAGGAAAAATCTGAGGTTGATTTAGATCAACGACCCCTTGAAGAACGAAAAAACACTGTCAGCCACGAAAGCGTACTCATTCATGAAAACGATCTATATCCATGTAGCAGTTGCGGGGATGTATGTATCACCCAATGCGGCGAAAGCCCGCGCAAAAACCCGTCGAACCTTAACTAGCCTTAAAGCACAGATTATGAGAAAAGCGGAATCCCTTGAGCATGGTAAATCACCCATCGTCATTCTAGTAAAGAAAAACGTTTAGAGCTAACGCTCTACGCAAGCTGGCAAGCGTTGGCACATAGATTGCTTTCGTAAACTCAATCATGAAGATGACGACGTTCAATATCTGCCGTGTCAGGGCTATGAAGAGGTATGTATCGCCCAATTCGGCGAAGCGCCTGCGAAAGATCTTCGAGAGCAGTGACTAACCTCAAATTATAGATACTGGTAGAAGGAAAGGCCTATGAGCTTGGTAGAGTTTCTCATTACGCTTTCTAGAGATTCACTACATGTGCTAACACTCTATCCCAGCGGGCAGACGTTGGCATATAGACTGCTTTCGCTGCAAAACCTGCGGCAGCCTTCTCGACTCGGATTCAACCCTCCTCCTCCTTGGCGACGGCTCCCTCATCTGCAACAACTGTACATACAGCTATAATCACTGCGGGAACAAGTTGAGGATTGGGCAATTCTCACTGCGGATCTGGCATTCTGTGCCGGTTGCTTCCGCTGTAGGAATTGCAAACACACGCTCGAAAAGTCGCGCTATGCGAGAACATCCCAAGGCGTTTTCTGCATGCCGCGCCATGAGTATCTAATGGCGCGGAGGAAGGTGAAGAGAAGGAAAGCTGAAACAGAGAAACGAATTACTTCGGCCCGCGATTCATTGTTGTTAAAAGACTCCAGCTTGTCGGAAACACGACACACCAGCTCTCTCCAGGCGCAACATCTACGCTACTGCCGGAAGTTCTAGGTACATCGTCCATAAAAATAATGCATTCCCCTATCCAGCTTGGAGATAAGCATCAGTAGTCATTTTCGCCTAGCTAGCTGCTACGTAACACCATTTAACCTTGTGCTTCTCGCTTCCAAAGCAACCCACTACTTCTACATCGGAAACACGAACCGTTCCGGCCCTACCCGCGGGTCGCAGGGTCGCGCGATTGATGGCACCTCTAGACGGACATTACAGCCGTCTGCGCAACATCTATAGCTAGTAGTATTGCGCAGAAAAGGGTTTAATAGGCATATTCAACTGATGGATGTATTGGACAATTTGAGAGCTGTGACAGGAGGACATTAAGAAACGCGTGCAGTCGGTCGAAGTTGCTAATTTCATTTCAATGCACTATCTATGACGCTGTCCGATAGGTTCTCTTATTCAACTTCCTTTTCGGGGTAATAACCGGTCCCATTACCATGCTCATCAAATACGTCCCAAGGATAACGCATGTGAAGACAAGCTTCCCTCGAGTTCCTAGTGGTATTACTCTCGATTACCAACTTGATTTCTCCACCTTCGCCGTCGTGCCACCATCGGCACTTGCTATGCTCCTCATTGCCGGGGCACTCACGGACCCCGATCAATGACCGCTACGAGGACCGGGGCTAACATCCGCCTCCTTAGGGTATCAACGTACGATCACAATCTTTTCGAGCGTCGTGGAATCCAGCTCCCATGACAGCTCTTTCTCGGGCCCAGACTGGCCCTTACGCTGTCGCTTCACTTCCCCCCTAACGAGATCCAAGTTAACCTGCATGGCAGAACGGTCACTCTGCTCAATCACCGAGATTGCTGGAAGGAACGAAAACTCTGCCCACTCGGCTATCTCGCCTTTCCACCCCAGAAGAGAGCAAAAGTGATCTGCTGCACCCGCAAAAACCGCTTCTTTCGTAATTGTACCATCTACGCTAGATTTGTGGAGAACGCTCTTGACCATGAACCAGCTGTGTCTCTTAGAAACTGCTATTTGAACATTTGCGGACCTGAGCGAAGGGAAGTGCGCTTCGATAGCGTTGCGATCTTGTTTATCAGCCCACGGGCGTCGTCGCGCGCCACTCTGCGAGCATGGGCACACAAACTCTATCTTTCGAATAAACCTCGCGCCGCTGTCTTGAAAAAGTTCCGGATGGAACTTTTAGATAGGGGTCGTTGTATCCATAAGCTTAGGGTATTCGCGGAAAGTGTTCTTCGTATAGAAAACTTGAAGGACCTCCGCGGTCATCTGACGGCATGCAAAGAACAACGACCAGTTTGGCATCGTCCTTGCATAAGAAGATTTCGAAACCGGTATGTAACCCTTCATGTGGTACTTCCCAACGCACCGTAGAACGATAAGTGCAACGGCCTCGGCGTAAATCATGTCTCAGATTTCTCGTGGGATGTTGACGAAGAAGGACCACTTGGTAGGGTCCGCAGGTTCAGGAAGACCTGGCTCGTTGGTGGCGAGGACGTTCGGAGGGTTGCAGTTCCATGTGATGTGACCGGGTTGGCTGCAATTATGGCATGGTGTCCCAGGGCATTGGTAAGGTTTATGCCATTCTTTGTGTTTATGCCATCCTCTGTGTTTCAGATGGGGGCATATGGTTTCGATCTCATTGTGGCGAAGTCCGACGTGGATAAGTGCGGTGTTATTAAAATGAGGCGAATGCGAATTTCGTGTCGTCGTTGCACAAGGAAGGAGTGACATAGAAAGTGCGGTGGAAGGAAGAAGTGGTCTTTAATTTGAGACGAGTGTGGAGTGTTTTAAGCTACAAGAGTCGTTCCATGGTTCCGTTTCGCGAATCCATGCCAAACATGTCCACCGCGATCCTTGGGTCGACCTGGCCAGGCACTAAGTCTTGTGCTCTAAACTCACAATCTTCCTAGTGGTCTCTGCATCCAAGTCCCAAAATAGTTCTCTCTCGGTGTTCTCGGCTCCATACCGTTCTTTTTGCTCTTTCCGTCGCTTCAATTCCTCCCAGAGGAGATCCAAGCCCACAGTCACCATCGACCCGTCTCTCTGCTTGATGCTAAAGAGCCGCGGAGAGATACGGAAGTCAACGTAATTTGTTAACCCGTTCTACCAGCCTAAGGGGACACAGAAGTACTTCACTGTCTCTACCAATGCCGCTTCTTTAGTGACAAGGCCAGCGGGTCCAAAATCGTCGAGGAATGTATCTAGCCGAGTTTTCCAGCTAAAGGGTACTTCTCGCTTCAACTCTGATGTTGCCTTAACCGTAATAAGCATCGATTTGAGCACAGGGAAATGTGTCTTGATTAGCCCCTGGTTTCTTTTCCATGCCCACGTACGCGGAACTACTCCCCTACAGTAATTGAGCAAGTAAGTCTTTTTTTTTCCGGACCACGCTGACTCGACTACCGAGACTTCGAATTCTATTTTCCGAATAGATCTGCCGTTCAAGAGTTGAGGAAGGAGATGACCATACGGTGGCCAGAGTGTTTTAGGGCAGGCCAAATAAAGGAGAGGCGTAGAGTCGACTGGCCTGAAGGTGTTCTCCCGATGGAAAGCCTGCTGTGCCTCTGCTGTCATCTGGCAACATACGAAGAACAAAGCGTAGTTAGGCTTAGGACACTTTTCGGCGAGTCGATAGAGCCCCCCATAGCCATGTAGGCCTGTAGATAAGTAGACGAGACTACAATTTCGAGTGTGTGTCCTCCAAGCGCTTCAGCATACATGGAATCTCGAATCTCCCGGGGAATGTCGAAGAACGTCCATTTCGTAGGATCAGCGGGCTGGGGAAGTCCCGGTTCGTTCATTATGAGATTCGCCAGAGGAGTGCACTGGCGTGCTACATGGCCAGTTTTGAGGCAATTGGAGCACTCTTTCCTTTGAGGGCGAGTTGGTATCTTGTCTTGGATGCGAGGTAGAGTTTGGAAGCAACGAACTGCAACACGACCGATGATGCCAAATTTACAGCAATTCTTCGAAGGCCACAGGAGAGTCCGAACGCGTTGGACTTGGGCACGTACGAAGCGGACGAACACAAGGACCAAACACCAGAGCCAACGTACGAAGCCAATTACTACGAGTGCTACCCGTCGTATCCAGCTAGTGGGAGTAGAAGAAAGAGAAGCGCGTCCAGATCGCTGTTCTTTCGACTACTCTTTGCGTAGGTGACGGCGAAGGGCGTTGTCCGACGGGAAGGTAACATTGCACGCATAACAAGTACGTTTGGGCTGTATTCCTGCTTATGCCACCGAAGTGTTAAGAGAATGCGTGTCTCCATCGGAGACCCATTTGTGTGCGAATTTCATCGTGGTGACAGCAGGCGTGGAAAGTGTCGTAATACGAGTGGGTTATTCTATGAAAAAGTGTGCAGCATCGCGAGAGGAAAGACCTTTCGCCGACGAGTTGGCCAGGTCTGCTTCTTTATAATGCGATAAGTCATTACCATGGTTGCACATTCAACGAAATCAAATTGTAATTGTGACGAGTCACCGGAACCGTGGTATAAGAATGCTCCTTTCCAAGGGGTGTGCGGAGACTAGGCCACCTCATCAAATTCGAGTATCAAGACGAACCACTGCTCAAGTCACGGACATCGCGCCACCGGGTATGTTAGGTAGATACATTGATTTCTTCGTCCCTGAGATGAAAAAGACTAGCACTCCCCCTATCATTGCTTGACCGTCGAGCATCTCACATGATCTCGAAAGTCACGTGTGACTTACTTGCGGCTTTTGCTCATTGGTATAAAACGTCGTCTACGATAACTTCTTCTAGGAAAACAGTCTGTCGAAGCTTGGGGTAGAAACTTCTTCGTTCAGTGGCTTCATGTTTTCGGAGGTTGAGCAAAATTCAACGCGCAAGTACACCATGTGGTGGCTTGCACAGGTTTCAAATCCTGGTACGGTACATATACAGGGTCACTGTGGTATCAAAAGTGTTGCAAGAGAGCGGTCATGGAGTCGCGCTCACTCCAACCGTCCTAGTAATGCTTCCCATCGCCTCCGAGAAATGCAAACGATCACTTCTATCCCCTCGCTCCAGCTGGCATCACCCATTTCGGATCAATCCCCTCCAGCTATCAATCCAGTGGACCTTATCTCATCTACCGCAAGCAGAGGACTATCAGCATCACGCTAGACTTAAGCCCCGCAAGCATAACCTCCACCACCGACCCCATGAAGATTTGCGAATCGCAGTTTTGAACTCCACCGAGCACCCTCACATGAGCTCGCCTTTCTCCTTCATCTAAATGCACCCAGCTTCCCACAGCATTCCACCAATTTCTCGCCGGAGTTTGACGATGCCAATCCCTTGCAAGCAACGCATGCTATGTTCATCCACCCCGTCTCCTGCAAGATCGCGGTGGAAGAAGAATTTATACCCCCCAAAGCCACCCAGCCACGTGAACGATTTAATGGCATGTTACTGAGTGCAAATCGCCGACTTGGTTAGTTCAGGAAAGCCATGGAAAGCATATCAAAACCCCACGTGTGGGTAACGTGACGTCCGTTGCGAAAAGGTATAAGACAGTCTTCTGCGCTTCAATCGGTGGCATGGAGGATGGGAGGAGACCCCAGCAAGTGATAAGCCAGATAGATGTCCCTCCGACTCGGCACTAAAATATAATGACGCCAAAGCGGAATGTGGCTGTAGTAGTGGATCAAGAGCGGCACAAAGAGATTAATGTTACAGTGATAGGTTAAATAGCTCAGCAAGCGCCGCAATGGTGTCTGCAAGTCTGGCGGAGTTGTCTCGTGGGTAACTTATAACCATGTTGACAGTCGTTATCTTAACTCACCGCTGAACAAAAGCACTAACAAAGAATTGTACTTACCGTTAGCAGGCTTGAAATATATCCTCCAACAGCAGCGGAAGACGATCACAGTCAAGACCGTAGCCTCTCATCGTCAAGTCCAGTCCAAACTTCACCGTGAACACCTCCTCTACTCCATCAGAAGTTTAGACATCTCTTATCCAAACTCCACATGCAGTCCCATAACGACTCCATTCCTGGTTCCTGGCTCGTATTTTATTCCACCATCGTCTCCATGCAAGGCCTCCTAAAGAAGGCACCTCAGCGCTCAAGCAGGAGAACTAATACACTCGCTGGGACGGGTTTCTCGTGGTGTACGCGAAAATGTCTCGATTTGTCCCCGGGCAGTGGCACTCGAAGTGGCACTCGAAGTGGCACTCCTCGGAAATTCAGCGAAAGACAAACCAGCTCGTGGACCACGTGACGCCGCTTCTCTCGGGGTAGAAAATCTTCTTTCGCTTGACGGTAAGGAGGAGGAGCGGGCTGATCAACAAGTATCGAGAAATGGTGGAATGGTTCTCGGTTGGCGTGCTCAAACCACCATGCGAATTGATATCATGGCGTGGTAGCGGAGGTGGAGCCATAATACGAAGAGATCAAAGAGCTTCATAACTCTGGTTGGTGTAAAACCACAAGAAGCAAAGTTCCATGTGACTGCCGGAGTTGTTGGATAAGAACAATCAACTACAGCACGCAATGCTGGTAGCAATTAGGGGTGATGGTAGCAGTCAAGGGGTGAATCATGTACATAATGTCCGGTTCTATCAATGTTCAGACGCTGCGGCCTGAAATCCAACCGGAGTGGGAAATCAAACCTGCGTCTCGCCATCTTCACATAGTGTTCCGAGTCCGGAGTAGTGTTCCGAGTCCGGAGGGAGGAAGCGTGGGTGTAGTCACCTGTTTGGTGATGGGTCTCAACAACTAGAAGAGGTCATTGAGAACCTCGCTGTGGGGAGATAGTATGATTCATTAGCGTTTACCAGAGGCGAGTAAAAATGGAGGGAAATGATGCACTGCATCACCAACCTCCACTGCCAACACCTCCGACGCTTCCACAGCTGCCCGACCACATGCGTTGGCGTAGTCCCTCAATTTGACCCCAAGCAATTCTACACACCACCTCTCACACGAGCGGTAGGGACGGGCCTTTTGATGCACACTCAGGCTCTCCACATGAGATATGGTGAGTATGGAAGTTGATCCACACCCAACTCCCTCCCACATAATCCAACAGGACTCGTAGTTGGTGCGAGCCCACTGCCCTCATATACCACTCAGGTTCGAGGCGTTTCTGATCGGCCACCAATCCAACGCCTCCCACCAGACTGTCGGTGGAGGCCGGGTTTCGACCAAGACCCAGACCAGGAGTCCAAAATATTCGCTATCTCGATCCACCACCCATGGCAGGACGCTTTCCTTGAATAAGAGAAGGTCCCAAAGGTGCAGGAGCAGGTTTTATATTTGATGGAGAGGACGGGCACGTGAGATAGGGCGATGCCACAGAACAGCCCTGACGACGATGATTGATGAAGGAAAGAAGGCGTAGGAGATGGCCACCACGGCATGAGACGAATCAAGACAGGAAAGTGAACAAACGACATACGATTTCATCTCAGAATTTACACCACAGTCTCGTAGTTTCCTCTTCCTGCATCTCATCCCTATCTCCCCTTCGCTAACCTCGCCAGCACGGCTTTCCCGGCATTCGCATCATTCCTCCTCCCCAGCTCCCCACTAATCCACTCCCCTACTTTACTAAGCTCCTCCAAGTCCACCCCCGTGCTCGCCCCCAGACTGTTCACCAAATGCACCAGATCCTCCGTCGCAACATTCCCCGTCGCGCCGGGGCTATACGGACACCCACCCAGCCCGCTCACGCTCGCGTCGAACGTCCTGACCCCATGCTCCAACGCCACCACTGTATTAACTAGTGCCATGCCATAGGTATCGTGGAAATGTAGAGCTAGGTCTTTCGTCTCGACGCCCGCCTCCTTCAACACTTTCAAGAGGGCAGCGGTTTTGGGCGCCGTGCCCATGCCCGTAGTGTCTCCAACGCTTATCTCGTCGGCGCCCATTTCGAGCAAGCTGACAGCTAACTCGGCGACGCGGTGGGGGTCTGTGTCCGGCCCTTCGTAGGGGCAGCCGAGCGCGACGGAGATGTAGGCGCGGACGGGGAGGGCGAGGCTTTTGGCGCGGGACATTATGGGTTCAAATCGTTTTAGGGACTCGGCGATCGAGCAGTTGGTGTTCTTTTGCGTGAAAGACTCGGTGGCGGCAGTAAAGAGGGAGAGTTCGATTTTGGGGGTTTGTTCGGGTGAGATTGAGGAGGCATTCGGGTCTTGCGAGGATGTGTTTTCAGCGGGAGGGGTGTTTGGGGGCGTTGGATACGAGTCTTCTGCTGATTTGGAGTTGTTGAAGGAGTCGTAGGTGGTCATGAAGTTGTCGAGGCCTTTGATGTTTGGGAGGAGGAACTGGTAGGTTATGGGTATTTTGGAGGGGGGAGGCGATTGGAGGATATGTTGGAGGATTTCGGAGGAGTTAGCCATCTATATGTGTTATTAGAAGACTGCTTCGAGAGGGTGTATTATTGGGTGAATGTTGTGTTGCTCACCTGAGGGACCCATTTTGGTGATACGAAAGACCCAGCTTCGATTGTCTCTAGTCCCGTCCGCGCCAGTCTCTCTATGAGCTGCATCTTTGTTGCCAGAGATATACTCTGCTTCTCATTCTGTAGTCCATCCCTCGGTCCGACTTCGACGATGCGGATGTGCTCTGAACTACGAGGCGCGGAGCCTGAGGTGACGGTCGCGAAGCTCCTCCGGCATGGGTGGCGTGCCGCGAGTCGCGCAAGGCGGAGACAGGTGTATCGAGACGACATGGCTCGTGGTTAGAGAGACGAAGAGTGAATGTAATGGGGAGGTTAGTGTCTTGTATAGGGAGCATATACAGCTTGGTGGTTCAAATTCGCCGCGGGGGTAAGGCCCGAATTGCGGGGCCGAAAATTGCCGCCGCAGACTTCATCCCACCTCGACAAAACACCAATACAGACGAAGATGGAGGAGGACAGGGCAGCTACGAATCTGGGGCCAGACGTGGAGGGAGATATGAATGAAGAGGAGAAGATAGTCCAGAAGCAGCCAAAGAGGAGGTTCGTGGGCAGGAAGACGGCGGAGAAGGCTGTTGGGCAGGCGGAGCCAAATGCGAATATCGAGGATAGCAGTGCTATACAAGGTGAGAATTGCTACTTATCCTATATTTCATGTATGTACTTATTAGAGGAAACAGTTGCCCAACCTCGAAGAACAGCCCGCGCTCTAAACAATATCCCCCCATCCATTCTAAACGACCCCGACGTCAACGATGCCATATCTCTCCTCCCTCCCAACTACAACTTCGAAATACACAAGACAATACACAGAATTCAAACTAGCGGAGCCAAAAATATTGCCCTCCAATTTCCGGAAGGCCTACTCCTCTTTGCGACCACCATCTCGGACATCTTGACTCAATTCTGCCCCGGCACCACAACCACCATCATGGGCGACGTAACCTATGGCGCCTGTTGCATTGACGACTTTACCGCACGAGCCTTGGGGTGCGACCTCTTGATCCACTATGCGCATAGCTGTTTAATACCCGTAGCTGTCACTAAAATCGCGACGTTATACATATTCGTTGCCATAAGTATAGACACATCGCACCTCTTAAGCACCATCACACGCAACTTCCCTATTGGAAAGACAATAGCCCTAATAGGAACCATCCAGTTCAACGCCACCATCCACGGTATCGCCCCCGAGCTACGCAAAGAAGGCTACAACGTTATCGTTCCCCAAACTTCCCCATTATCAAAAGGAGAGATCCTAGGGTGCACATCCCCAGCGATGTCTCTGAACCCCTCTCCATCTACCAACCCAAAGAGGCCGTCGAAGCCGGAAGATATGCTGGTCCCGGACTTGTTACTGTATTTGGGTGATGGTCGATTTCACCTAGAATCTGCCATGATCGCTAACCCGACTCTGCCTGCATACCGCTATGACCCTTATAGCCGCCGATTGACGCATGAGGTCTATGAGCATGCCTCCTTACACTCTCTTCGAAGTACGGCGATCCGTATAGCGCGGAAAGCGAAGACATGGGGCATCATTCTTGGGTCACTCGGTCGGCAGGGGAATCCCCACACCCTCACGCTCATCGAGAACCACCTGCGAGCGAGAGGGCTAAAATGGGTGAACCTACTTCTCAGCGAGATCTTCCCGGGTAAGCTAGCAATGATGGATGATGTGGAGGCCTGGGTCCAGATCGCCTGTCCGCGGCTGAGTATAGACTGGGGCTATGCGTTCGAGCGGCCGTTATTGAGTCCTTATGAAGCGCTTGTTGCTCTGGGGGTGAAGGAGGCGGGGTGGTTAATTGAGGAAGAAGGAGGGACAATAGGAGAAGTGGGAGGTGGTAAAACAAACGGAGTGTATCCCATGGATTTCTACTCGAAAGAAGGACTAGGGAGAACGACGGAGGCAGGAGCGGTGTTGGAGGTTGAGATCAAAGCGTAGTGCTGCAATGGGGTAAGCACATAGAGGTGTTGGGGACATTTTCACGCATTGAAGGACCGGCGCATCAAAAGGGGCAGATACCAAAATTCAGTTCGTGCAATCTCATCAAAACTCTTCAGCATTCCACGCAGTCAATTCCGCAACCCTTTGCGCCCAGAATGGGTCCTCCGCCAGACCACGCACCCCTTAGCTTCCTCGGCGTCTCACTGAAAAGCATCACACGGTGAGTTTTGAAACTTCTTGCAACAAAACCACCGAACACGGCCATCCTGCGCGTACCTGTTCGCGTCTTTCAACAAAGCTGTCGCAAGGCCAATTCTGGATCTTTTTGCAACACAATTATGCAAAGCCGTTGATGCAGCACAATAATAATTAACAATCTAATTAGTTCGGAATTCAATTCCGATGCCGAGATTCCAGTGAAGCACAAATGACCTATTTTTCTACACAAATACTGACCAACTCGCCCTAGATAGTGGTTTTTGGACATCATCAGTCGCCAAAATGCCGATTGACATCGAAAGCCACATCCTCATCTCCCACGTGCTGAATAGCTACAGCACGCCCTCCTCCGCCGCCGAAAAGACGGCTCTTTTCCCCCCCAACAGCACCCTCGTCGCCCACGGGAGATTCGAATACAAAGGGAAACCCACAATCGAGGCTTTTCTTGCTGCGTCTGAGAAAACGAAGAAGGCTGGACATCCTTTTCGTCATCACCTAAGCTCCATCAAGATAGTTACGGATGGCTCGGATCATGCTAGGGCGGTATCTTATTTCCTAGTGATGGGAAATACGGCACCGGATCATTGGGGCGTGTAAGGGATGTGTTCGTTAGGATTGGGGGCGAGTGGCTGTTTGAAGAGAGGAGGATTACGATTGACGGGGCTGATCCTCATGGGTGGATCGGGTCGGGAGCTGGACCGGTGAAGCTGTAGCTTCAGAAAGGGAAAATGATGGAATCACGAGTATATGGATATCCCGTTCAGCGGGATATCCTACTGTAATTTGAAAACGAGAAGCCAGCCGAGAATTAAGAAGAAAGATAAAAGAGCTTAGGCCATCGATTCCAGCCAGGGGCACGACAAAGAGGAAAAGTGCAGATACAGCGCTTCTTTAGGCCTCTTTACATACTCTCCTACAATTATTTGTGTACTTTGAAGCATTCAAAGTGAAATGCAGAATGCAAGTGAATGGTGGAGGTTCGGGACAGGCTGACTAATCTAGTCGTCTTGGCGAATTCAAGATCCGCGACCCTTGGACCTACTTCACTTCATCAATACAACATGGCGACCCTCAAATTTGGACTAAACGTCCAAAACAAGCAACAGAAGGTCCCAAATCGCCCAGCGCCTGCGAAACGAAAACCCATCTTCGACGAGGAGGACGAGGAAGACGAGTCCAATCGCCCCACCAAATCCTCAAATGGCGTTGAAGAAATCGCGGTCTTCGACCTTGACGAACCCAACCCTACACCATCGACCGCTCCTCCGAAGAATACCTCAAAATCACAACCTTCCAAGCTGTCCGGTGTTCCGAAGTTAAAGAAAATAGAGGACGACCCCACCGCTGGCTATGGGGATATATCAACTCTCCAAGCTTCCATGAAGCATGCCGAAGAAGCTCTCGCCGTCGATCCCTCCATTTATGACTACGACGCCGCGTATGATGCGATTCACACCAAAACCGCCGCCAAAGCTGCCGCCGAGCGCGACGATGCGGTGCAGCGCAGACCAAAGTACATGGAGAAAGTGATGGAGTCGGCGGAGGTTCGCAAGCGGGATCAGCTACGGGCGAAGGATAAACTGCTACAACGAGAGCGGGAAGCTGAAGGAGACGAGTTCGCGGACAAAGAGAAATTCGTGACGGAGGCGTACAAGGCGCAGCAGGAGGAGGTGCGAAAGGCCGAGGAAGAAGAGAAGGCGAGGCAGGAGTTGGAGGAAAAGAAAAGAAAAGGGAAGGGTATGACGGGTTTCTATCGTAAAATTATGGATGAGGATGAGGAGAGACATCGGGCGGCAATGGAGGCAGCAAGTCTGTCGGGGAAGATGGGGGGTGAGAAAGTGGAAGAGGCCCCGAAGGAGAAATCGGAGGCGGATATTGCGAGGGAGCTCAATCAGAAGGGCGGGAAGATCATCATCAATGAAGAAGGGCAGGTTGCGGATAAGAGACAGCTACTCACGGCTGGGCTCAATGTGGTCGCGAAACCTAAAGCACCTACTTCGGCGGCTACGGCGACTACTCGACCGGGTGGCCTTCAGCCAGGCTACAAGGGTCGTGAAGGTGTACAGAGATCGGTCAGAGAGAGGCAATCGAAGATGATGGAAGAGCAATTGGAGCAGGCGGCGAAGCGTGCTGCTGATGAGGAGGCTGAAGAGAGACGGAAGCTTGAACACACTTCGAAGAGCCGCAAGACGGACTCGGACATTAGCAGTGCAAAGGAGCGGTATCTCCAGCGGAAAAGGGACGCTGCTGCCGCTGCCGGAAAAGGATCGTAGAACAATCAAGGTATTACCTGGGGAATTACCGAATCAACCATCACTCGTTTTAAGGTTTCGGGCTCTCAGGTAGGAAATTTCTCATGGAATTTCGAGAAGACACTCTGTTCCCATCCTTAATATGCTCTTAAAATTTCATGAGCAAAGGTGATTTCATTTAGACAATCACACCTAAAAAATCACGTAGCTAACAAATACCCTCAGCCGTCCTTAAGCTCTGGAGTACTCAATCAAATACTTACCATTGGCCTGTCAATTTGGCATCTCCTGATGCTGCACCAATCCCTCTCCCTCCTTCAACCACCCCACACGATGCTTAACCCAAATCTCTCCTTCTGGCTTCACATACTCTACCCCCGATCCCACATTCAGCGCTCCCGCTTCCACAATCACGAGCCCCTTGAATCCCTCCGCCTGAGTCTCCTTACAGACCGTGGTGCCGCAGTTTCCACAGAAAGAGGTTGTGAACTCATCGCCCGCTTCCTGCGTAAAGACATAATGCTTAGGCGCTCCAGTGATGGAGAAAGAGGTTGCCGGAACGAACATGCTGGTTGTGAAGAATGAGGGGGTCAGCTTGCGGCATTCAAGGCAATGGCAGAGGACCTAAGTTGAATGTTAGTAAGCAGGCGTTCGAAATGAGAGGGATGGGCCCTTCATGGTCTTGACCGGCTCGCCGGTGATCTCGAACGTGAGCTTCTTGCAAGCGCAGCTTCCCTTTGCCATGGTGGGCTTCGGTTCTATTGGCGTTCCTTGAGTGGTCTGCGGTGCTGGTGTAGGTAGTTGAGGTATTGAAACGAAGCGCAGGTACATCATTATGATACGAATGGCACGGGCACCTCTCTTTTATATTCTAATTGTATATCTGTTCTCTCGAGTCTGTTTTGGCGTACAATGGCTCCGCATTCTCCACGGCCCTCCGCTCACCTCAGCTTGACCTAGGGTGCGGGCCAATGGGGGAATGGTGATGCATGGGGGGTTGAAGACTCGTAAGAGCTTGAGGCTGTCAAGAAATGGTGGATAACGAAGACAGTTTTGATCATCCACGAATTGACAGATCACCTCAATAGTGTTTCGTACCATCACAACGTTCAGTAAAACTTTTTTTAAAGCCTCTAATACGCCGCTTTACGGTACCACCGTGGGCTGTAGAGTACATATGCCCGTGTGATTCGACTACATAAAAAAGCGGCCAAGCACGTGACCAATCCTCTCTCAGTGATGACTAAGACTCTAGTCTTCACCCGGAGTAGTCCTATGGAGACGTTCTGTCATTTCTCTCGCTTTCATAAGACGGAATCCCTTCTGTAATTCCTCTAGTTCTACTGTGGCGTATGAAGCACGTGATGCGGCCAAAAGATACGTGCCCAAGGCAAACTCGACTTCATCTCCCACATTTACCAACCTCGTCTGTCCTGGCGCATCGACCTACAACGCCCCGGGAGCTGAGTTTCCCGTAGTAGCTCAATCGTATCTGAGCGAAAATCCACCTTCAGTCAGAAAGAAGAAGCCCCGGGCACGGTAGCTAAACTGGCGCTCTCTGTACCTCAGCGAAAGGGACAGCGCTCATGAAAGGTAGTCGTAATTCTAATGGCTGTGATGGAACTGTTGCCTCTTTTCAATGCAAAGATCTCATTGTTTATTGTGTAGTTTGACATCGCTCGTAGAACCCAAAAGCTCACGGCTATCTCGCTTTGACCATTCGGAACATTCACTACACAAACTGCGCTTATTCGTCACGGGCACTAGCATAGACCACCTGTCTGTTTCTAGATATTAGACCACTAGGAAGACATTTTAAGGTCGGTATTCGAGCCAACAACACAAACCTTCCCAACTGCGCGCACCCATACCGCCAACCTCTCCCAGCTGGTTTCATTCCCTCATTCGCTCTTTTGCACGCGCCCGAACACACCAAAAATATCGTACTACTAGGCACAGCGCAGCCCGGAAGGTGTTTGGGGACCCCACCGAGGTGAAAACTCAGCTTGAGAGCGTAGACTCGTCATTGTCTCAGGATTGCAGCACATCACTGCGTCTTAGACCTGTGTATTTCCATCCTATTTCAGAGTCTCTTTCGAAGGGAGTTCGTCACACGTACTTCACATCCTAAATACTGTCTGGACGCTCCACTGTAAGTCTCTACAGGCGTTTGAATCCTTTCACTCGAGCCTCTTTTCCAACAACGCTAGCCCCTCAAAACCATGGACAGTCCCGAGATGCCACAAGGCGAGGCTCTGGAGCTGTTCATGCCGATTTTTTCTGGCAATAAAGACGATTATGGCGGTGGGAAAGTCTCTCCTCGTCCGCTAGCGTTCGACCGCCTCAGTGAAGGAAGACACTCCGGCTCAACCTCGCGCCTGCTCACGCTACCCATCGAGATCCTAGGAGTGTTCTGGGCCATATTTCCAGCATATCATTGTCTTCCCTGGCTCTAGTGAATAGTGATTGTCGTCAGCTTGCTTGTTCTCGGCAATTCCGAAGCATTTTATTCGACTTCAGCCCTGCGAGCCGAAGGCTCCTGTCAGTTCTACAATCTGAGGGAAACGAACGCTCAGAGAACAACGGCCGCACACAGAAGCCGTCACTCGGCGCATGTATCCGGCGCATAACAGTGGCAACCAACCCTTATTGGCTTACAAAACGATATGGTATCAGCTCCGATGACTGGGGCAACGAAGACAAAGAGGTCAAAGCGGCAGTATCAAGTGCCAACCGCGCTTATTACCGTCATGTGTCCGGAATTGGCGCTGCAGCTTCGTCGACTTTGTCGTATCTAGAGCTTCTAGATTGGGAAGATAAGGTGACACTTCCGAAATCATTCTTTTCAGCAATCTCAGAGTCAGCGGTTCAACATCTAAAGCTCTTCCGCACGCAAGTCAACGATGAGTTTCAACTAGAATACTCAAAGGGAAACGTTCTACGTACGTGGCCTTTGCGTTCTCTTCACCACGAGCTTATATAGACTCTCCTAGGAGAAGAGGAAGGACATGTCTCCCCTCTTTACTCAAGCATTCTCCAACTTTGTGCGCGAACACTGGAATCTCTTGCCTGGACTAATATCGGGTTCCCGCGTAGAGAACGAGATATTGAAGACTTCAGCGGCAAGCTAGCATTGTCGAGCTTTCCCTCCCTACGAAACCTTCACCTTGGACACGGTATAAGCTGGACTCGTCTAGGCTGCAGAAAATCATTCCCTTTGGCTCAGAATGCGAACTACAGACTCTCGTTGTCAATACGAGCTCCAAGTTTATGGGCTCATTCTTTGGCAAGCGCGGCCAAATACTGTCTTTGAAGGCACTGATTCTGGAAAACTTTGAGTTCGAGGAGGAAGCTTTCCCATTTCCCGAAGCGAATCACCACGTTTCTAGGCTATGCCTCGTCGTAGCGCTTGCAGAGCATACCGCAGCGCATGTAACACGACTGATTGCTAGTTCCTTCTCAAATCTGACATCCTTACGTCTGCACTGGGAAGCCATCTCCATTCCTAAACCCCACCTAGAGCTCATTGGTAGAATTGGGACCTTACCTTAGAGCAGATATGATTGAGCGCTGGAAACCAATGTGGCTGGAAAAATGACTGGCTAGTGGACGACGCCGCTATCAAGAGACAGCTCACAGGACTGCAGCGCCTCAAAAAGCTCGCATTCGGTCGCCACTCGTGCTTGCCTTACGGTGATCCCGAGATATGGAGTTTCGTGAGGTGCTATGCAGACGAAGTTCCTCCTTATGGCCTTTTCCAACAGCTTCTAAGGCAACGAATGATAACAGAAGGCTGGGCCGACAATTTGTCCAACGTATCACGCAAGGAGAGGAACAAGATCCGTGGCGTCGCCTGGGAAGAGGCTCATCGAGGCCGCATGAAGAACATGGCCAAGAAATACGTGCGTCTCTTTCCCAACCTCGAATGGATGTATCTAGGGCAACTTCTCGTGGGTGTGCAAGATCTTGGAGGTGATGCTGGCAGGCAGGCGGAAATACTCTCTGGAGAGCGGGATGAGTGCTGGACATTGCTAAGACGCATTTTCGAGGCTACATCAGTCTTTGAATGAGATCGTTTTACAGCGCCTGGAACAAAAGCCTGCTCACTCGTACACGCCACTGCTCGGGGTCCTTCCTTGCGTTATTGGTATGAAAAGCCAGGATAACGCAGACTGGAGCGGTCCCAACCACTTCTAATCGACCTATTGCGCGGTTTCGTTCGTGGTGGCCCAGCGTTCTATCAGATTTCGGAAGCAAGATTACAGCTAGCTACAAGAGGTAAGAGGGAATGCATAACTCTAGAGGTGGTGCTTGCGGAACACCTTCTCGTCATGCACGAATTGCCCTGCCTTTTGCTTTTCTTTTCTTTTCTTTCACTTCCCTCTTTTCCCTTCTCCCATACCTCCTTTCCAAGTTTTCTCCCCTCGCTTGAGTTCGTACTCTAAGCTTCATAGCCAATAAAAAGGACTTCGAAGTCAGCATCAGCTAAATATACGAGAATTAGGAAACATCTGTGGGTCTGCTCAAGGTTGTTGGATTTGTTTGCCGGCCAAAGAACCGGGACGGAGACTACATGATTATTACCTACTCGGAGCGAGCTCAATTCGTGTTCCGCCGACTAGAACAGGGCAGTACTTCCCTTTACTGTAAGAGACTAACCGATGGGTAGGCATTTACTCGCGCAGCGACTCAACCAGTCGTATAGCCTCTAGCTTGACTCTTTAACCTGCATATCACGTTTTCTTGGTCCTTCATTCTTGGTCCAGGTACCTGAGCTGCCGTTCTTTATAGACGTGATCTCTCATTGCTCAGAGGTATTATTCTTAGACGATGTAGCTGAATTCACAACGAAGAACGTTCTACCCCGTCTCTAGCGACTTCAGAGAAGCAACGATGCAAGAAGTAAGTTCGGGCTATCAGAAGGGGAGCTGTTCTACGTTAATACCGGGCAGCGCCGAATCCACCCGATGCTTCACAAATTGCACAACTCACCAAAGATTCCGAGAGCCCGGTAGCACCCTACGATCACCATTTCCCCGCATCTTGATCCACACCCCGGGTTTTTCTCCGCATTTTCACCCCTTGGCAACAGTATCTTTGACAACGCAGGAATAATCTCACTCCCGTAACAACGTATCACGTTCCCACAAAATGCCCCTAGCGCTGATCGGCGTACGATCTAATGAGTAGGTACCTTGCACTATCTCTCTTCCTGGTCTAGATGATGAAATGGCGTGCTGAGAGCTTTTTCTTGATTTTGTGAAGGTGTACGGTAGAGCTGCTTTCTTCATTCCGATCCGGCTCAGCACGGCAAGTGTTCGGCGCGGAAACGAGGAATGAAGCCATTGAAGCTAGCGGAGGAGAGCATGCCCATACCCAAGGGGTTTCGCTCTATGGCGTTCTTCGGGCAAAGTACGGTGTGTATAAATACATTGGGGACGGTAGAGGGCCAATCGTCGTTGTCATCTCATTGAGCACGCTCTCCTTGATACATTTATTGTTTCAGTCATGCAGCTCAAAACTTTCATATCTCTCTGGGTCTGTCTTGCAGGTCCCTGCGCTGGCTGGCTTCGGACCGCCCCAGACATCAGCCCTTTCGATATAAGCTATACAGTAAGATATCAATGAAAATCAGCTCCGCAGCGGCACCAATCCGCTTGTTAACACCCCACCCCTAGGACGACATCGGCCTCCCCACCGTCGACGACCTCCTCGCCTACAACGGCACTAACGACGGCGCCGGCATCAAAAGCTACTGGTTCATCAGCTTTCTCTCCCTCGCCAACGGCCATGACTACTATCTCCTGCACAGCACCTCCAATGGCGGCCCCGGCAAACTGGCAACCTCCATCTCGCTCATGGACATCACAGACAAGACTTACTCCGGCCGCACGTGGTCGCGCCCCGGGCAGCTCTCCACCACCAAAGCCGACTCCCTCTCCCCAGACTTCCTCCACCTCTACGCCACCACCGAAGACAACTACTCGCAGTACAAAGCCGTCAGCGTAGTGCCCGCATTCCCCTTCAACCTCACCCACACGCCCAAAGGCGCGGGCTCCTACCAAGGCGGCGCGGGGACCTACATCTGGGGCGGCCTGCGCTGCTGGGCCTGGGACGCGCCGGAGGCCCTGACCACCGGCACGCTGACCATCGACGGCGCCGAGGTCGCCGTCATTCCCGAGAAGTCGATCACGTGGATGGACTGGCAGTACGGGCCGGGCTACGCGAGCGAGGGGTGGTACTCGTTCGTGATCGCGCTGACCAACGGCGTCAAGATCACGACCATGACGACGTACCCGAACTCCAAATATCCGACCGGCAGCGTCGCGACGCTCGGGTTCCCGGACGGGCATCACGAGGTGTATGCGCTGGACCGCGATTTCCACCCCGCGGACCCGTGGGTGTCGAAGGATACGAACGTGACGTACTACAAGTCGTACCAGGTGAACGTGCCGGCGAAGGGGATCTCGTTGAATGTGAGCCTGGCGATGGAGGGAGGGGAGTTGTACAATCCGGATACCGAGGGGATTATTATTGCGGATACGTTTTCGTATTTTGAGGGGACGTATGAGGGGTTGCCGGTCACGGGCTGGGGGAACTCGGAGCGCATGTCGGGGAATAGTCCAAATGTGTAGAGGGAGACTATGAATAAGTCTGTTTATGAGTACATGGTATAACAGAAAGCCTCCAAGACGACTGAGACTCTTATGAAATCGAATTTACAAAACTAATATACAAGTGTGCGGCTAGACGCTCCCGGAAGCTACATCCTCACGGGGTCCTCAATAGGAGCTTTTGAGTGCACATGCTTGAGAATCAAGCGTGTGTGACGTTTTTGCTAGATTTGTTCTCGACGAAGGATTTGTCTCTAAATCTGTTCTCGACGACAGAGCCGCAATCTCTCGGATGAGACTTGTGGTTGTTTCCGGCTACGGATACGCTGTCTCTTGGACAAATGCTGAACTTGTTTCAGGCTAGGGACACGCGATCTCTGCAACAAGTACTGAAGTCTCTGGTTCTCGATACGCAATCTCTTCAACAAGTTCTCAGCTTGCTCCCGTCTAAGGGAATGCAATCCCTTGAATGAGTATCGTTGCCTTCTTATAAGAAGTCCTGCGCGCTTGCGCCTGTTGATCACTTCCATCCGAATTTGCTTAAGGGCGCGAAATACGCTCAATAAGCTGGATCCGCGACGTTTGCATTCGAGTCGCCGCGCAATTCCGCGTGCAAAGGGCGACCTCAAAACGGTCAGCATCTCCACCAACCGCTCTCCTAGCAGCTGTACTTGCTGCGCCTGCTGAGAGAGTTTGACCTCGCAGCGAGCAATCCAAAGGGCATAGAACGTGTTCAGCCTGATCAAGCGGTCTTGGTGCATTTTGTGCGATAAAGGCTGCGAAGCAAGCGCTTTTCTCGATTTTCTCCTGGCTTGCTTCAGATTGACGATGAAATGCCGGTCAATACGCAATTCGCCATCTAGCACGGTTTGCACTACCCATTGGATGCCACGGAGATTGTTAATGCAACCATAGGCATAGAGAAACATCGTCATGAACCTGATGTCCACTGGAATTTCCCTCGCCCACGAGGATAGATACACATCAGTGAGTAATACCACTGCTTCGCGAGGTTTTCTCCGATGTACGAGATTGTGGGCTCCTACGACAGCGATGTAATGCGCTGGGGCCAGGTTGCCTTCACTCCGGTTCCGGAAAGAAGCGAAGACTGCATCGTGAATCTCTTGAGGAGACATCCTCGAAGAGATCATGTGGTGGTGGAGGATGGGTGCTTGCGCCCTTCGAACATCCATTCCTAGTTCTCGAGCCCTTTCGATGATGGGCGCAGCCTTCGAAGCATCGCCGCTGTTGCTTCGAAGGGCAGCTTCGACTGCTATTTCCATAGTGACCTGACTGCCTAGGAGCCCTTTATCCAAGAGCTGACTATACTCTTTCACCACCTCCTCGTTCTTCCCTTGATTTAAGGCAAACGTCATGGTCGCTTCAAGACTATTCCCGTATAATGTGGACGACGACTTCTCGGCAGACTGATCTACGTCCGCTATTTGTCTCTGGAGCTTCCTGACATACGCCAAAGTCGGTGAAACTCTGGCTAATTTCTCAAGCTGTGTAAGATCTTCTTCGAAGACATCTTCTTTGAGGGCGTCTTTTTGGAGGGCATCGTTTTGGAGGGCATCTTTTTGGAGGGCATCTTTTTGGAGGGCATCTTTTTGGAGGGCATCTTTTTGGAGGGCATCTTTTTGGAGGGCATCTTTCTCGAATGGCGGCGCGCATGGATGAGAATTCGCCCAACGTGGAGAGAGTGGAGGCGAAGTTTGTGTTGCATCTGGAGCCACTGGAAGCAAGAAAGGAGCATTTTCAATTCGTGTATAACGACTGACTGAAGGGTAAGTTCGCATCGGGAGAATTCGTGCCGAATGTTCCTCGAAGACATCTTCTTTGAGGGCATCTTTTTCGAGGACATCTTCTTTGAGGGCATCTTTTTGGAGGGTATCTTCTTCGACATCTTTTTCGAGAGTATCTTCGACGACAGCTCTTTCTATGATATTGTCATCAGTGATATGATCTCTCGGGGTAGGACCTTCCGTGATATGGTCTTCCATATCGTGTAGTTTTACGACGCCTTGTCCATACACCGCATCGAACTCTTTGCGCCCGCCTTGAGCTCTGACTCCGCGTTTGGCCTTAAGGTGGAAAGCCATGGAAGCCTGCAGCAAGGGGGCAATCCCGTCCGAAAGCAAGCCTTCGCGATGCCGAGCTCTCAGCTGGTTCCATCCTTGTGCGTATTTACGCTTAAGAACGGGGTCAGCCGAACACAGCTTGCGTGCAAGTCGAAGTAATGTTCCGTGGGGCGGTCGGTGTGTGAGGAAGAAGCGTCGGAGAACTGTGACAGCAGTCCGCGTGTTGACTGAGAGTCGGAAGCCTTTGGACCGTAAATATCCAACCCAGCCGCCGATAGCATCAACCCGTGAATCCTTGGTAAGCGCGTCTACCACAAGGTCCAAAGTCCTTTGAGTTGGGATCACTTGATACTTTTCGATGGCTTGGGAAACAAAACTTTGCGTTGCTTGAGAGTCATGGCCCCTCATGTAGATCTTGAGGACGGGATTGAAGACAGTCTGAGAGAACTTATGGATGGAAAGAAGCAGATCCGCTTGATGGGCGTCTTCCAGAACCTTTCCTAGAATTTGCCACTGAGCTTTGCCGGCAAGATATACCAGCATATCTGCTATAGTATCTGAGGTCCGTTCAGCCCATTCCGCTGGCGATATGTTTGGCTGGCCTTCCAAAGCTAAGCGCCGTATGGAGATCATTTCGCGCGAGACCGTCTTCAAGGGAAGATTTGCAAATCTTGCATGTGCGGTTATCTCCTGCGCTAGTGATTCCACCGATTCCATGTTTCGAGTCTCTCTCCAACAGCGTCGGAGTAGCTCTGGTAGGGATAGAAGACAGTACTCCTGTAAGCTATTCTCATCTAGAGGTCCAGGAAGAAAGCTCCCAATAGATTCCACCGCGACTGAATACGGAGCATGTAAGGCTAGCGCCCAGCAAACTGCTGGACGTATGCTTGTGGCTCCTCCAGATTCATAAAAGTTGGGATCGTCGTGGTGCTTCTGAAATAAGTCGATAATCGGGCCATAGTTCTTGTTGCTTGCATAAGCTCCTACTAACATTTTGCCCAGGATTCCTATGCTTTCCTTGTGGAATCGTTGAAACCATTCGTACATCTGGTGAAGAACATCGACTAATCCGTCTTCGAGGCCGCGCGATGCAAGCTTCCAAGCCAAATGCGAGATAGTCGTCTTACCCTTCCTATTTGCTGCCGGTGCCATGTTAATAGTGTAGAGACGAGCAGCCTCAGTAACACGGTCTGTTCTCAACAAGTGATCACACCGCTTCCGAACCTGGTGTAACCAGAGGGGCCTAAAAGTGGGTATGACTTTTTGCAAGAGTGTATTAGCCATCTGGTCCTCCAAGGTCATATCCAAGGCCTTCTGGTAGAAATGCTTAATGATCTCCTGTAGCAGCCTGTCGTCCTCTCGTTTTTTGGAAGTCGCCTCCAAGACCTGCCCGAAATAGTTTTTCAATGAGGCTCTTGCCGTCGTGCTAAACGTTCCGAAGGTCACCACAAGTAGTTGGAAGGCATCGTCTTCTCGAGTTGTCTGCAAGAGGCCCAAAGCAGCTTGGCATATAAGCTCAAGCAATGCAGGGGTTACGTAGTCCCACTGTCGTAATCGACGGGACAACGCAATCAGGGGATCAAGCAGGCGTTTCTCTGCAGCGAGTTCGAGAAGCACAATGGCTAGGTCTGGCACAAATGATGCTTTGAGTGAATTTTCAAGGGTTGCGTTGGCTGGGAAATGCTCCAGAAAAAAGGCGACAACTCTCCCCAGCTCTTCGTCCTTCAGATCTTGAATTGCAACTGTTTTCAGATTGACGGCTTCTTCGCCGAGTGAAATGGGAATGAGACGCCTCCATAAATCTTTTGTCGCGTCGCCCTTCCCTGATTCCAGGCGCTCAGCCTTATACCAGATGCAAAATTCTATTAATGCTGAGCCGAGGTTTTCAGCATTAGCAATTCTCTGCGCCCTTGGGAGAAGTGGTATCTGAAGGACCCGGTCTTGTTGAGAGTCTCGCCGCCCTTGGTGGCGCTGATGTCGTGCATGTAATTCAGACACAGTTTTCCGCAACTGAGGCATGATCTTCAACGTAGGTGAAGTTTTGGTAGATATAGAGCGTCTTTGAGCGGGCGCTAACTTAGAGAAGCCTTTCGGTAATGACTGCGTTATGGCCCGTAGTTTGTCGAGAGAAAGGAGTCGGTCCATGACTTGGGGTATTCTAGGCAAACTGTCGGCCAGGCGTGGCTTAGGAGGGTTGTCACTGATAGTAAGGACATCCCGTACGAAATCATGGCCATTGGGGCTCTGCTCGCTCTCTTTGCCCGTTCCTGGGAGTGATACCGATGCTGATCCCCCTAACTTCTCAAGATCACGACGACTTCTTTTGCTCCGCTTATTCCCTAACTCTTTTGCTAGCTGGTTTTCATAATTCAGCTCTATTTGGATTTCTCGGTTTATTCGATTGATAGCCTTTTCCTTCCGAGAATCGTTTCCGTGGCCTTTCTCTGGAATCGAGTATCCATACCCGTATCCGGTATGTAGCCGGCTGCTCGTATCCTTACTCGATTTGCCTGTGCTGGGTGGCTCTAGTGAAGAGGGCCCGATGACGGAAGAGGCATCCGGCGCTGGTTTGACCCCAGCCAACACCGCCACATGCTCCCCATTGTACTCATCTTCGATCTCTGGTATCAATCGGGCTCGTCGACGTTGCCCAATGGCTCGCGCGTAGGCTCTGTCGATTTCGGAGACTGAGAGGGGATGAGGTCGCGGCGATTCGAAAGGAAGCTCAGGAGGGTCTTCGTTGCGGAGGCTGGCGATAGCCACGTTATGAAGATGCCTGCGATAGGCTGACACAATCTGGCCTCTCTCGATGATGTGCTTGCAAATGCAGATCCGCCTGCGTCGTTCTTCGAACAGGAGGAGTGATGCGCCGGTGGTGACTCCCAGAGAGCCGTACAGCGCAGCTTGTCGGAGGGCCGAGAGAGCGCCATTGGAAGGAGCTCGCGGGGCGGTAGCGGGCATTGGCGGCGAGCGTAGGATAGCACTGACAATTCCTGCTCATGGTGAAGGCCATGGGAGCATGGTATTGGGCGTCAATGGGGGACTGTCGGCGTGGAGATGGAGCGCTGAAGTTTGGGTTGCAGAGGTCGAACCACCGAACGTCTTTACGTCACGTGATAAGAGATCATGAAATCATTCATGTATATATGTCGCGCGCAGTCAAATTTGAATCACAAACTTTAAGAAGTTATAGGTTACATCACGTTCGCTCCTGGGCCTTTGTCTTGTTCATGTCTCATTCGGCTGCGGTAAACTAAAGCCGTAATTTATAAAGTATAGTGTCTTGTTTGAGCTATTAATATTGCCAAATTCATGCTGATTGCCAATGTATTCCAAGAGATAGAGGGCAATGATACAGCCTCTACATCTTTGGCCTCATTTCAAGTAAAAGTCAACCACATCATCGCCATACCACTTGCGGCCCACATCTTCATGACTGCGGATCCACTTTCGAAGTTGAGACTGCCCAAGACTATCCCACCGAGGATCAAGGAAGCTGGCGACGGTATTGCTGTTACTCGCTTCAGTTGACTGCTTTCGCAGTTTTCGAACTGACTCCGGAATATACGTCTGTACTTCTGATACAGTCAGATCGAGGGGGAGCCCCTGGAAAAACGGAATAGAATATCTTGGCTTTGACGACGAAGTAGGGACCTAAAATTGAAAATGTAGAGGAAAAGTCAGTAATTGATCGTCTAATGCGACTGGTCGCTTGACAAAGCAGGGCTACAGACCGACACACGATGGACAGTAGCCTTGACAGCTCCCTCCGTTGCTGCTTCGAAAGCATTCCCGAAGTTCACCACAAAGGTGCCCTCAATAGGCGGAACAGGAACCCAGTCTCCCTTGGCGTTGACAACCTCTAGGCCTTCTTCCTGGCCGACTTGGTACAAGAAAGTCAGCCAGCCACTAGAGTCTTTGTGAGCGCCGACTCCCTGACCTCGAGATTGCCCTGTACTAGGCGGATATTTGATGAGTTTGATACGATGCTGCGGAGGCATGTATTTCCCATTCTCGGCGGAGTGCTGAATGCTCTTAGGTAAGAAGAAGTCGTCGAAAGTTCCAAGCGGTATCCCAAACGCTTCCTCTACAAGATGGACGAAGCGGTACGACAGGGCTTGGAGAGCATCGTGGTAGCTTCTAGGCATCAGTCTCTAAAGTGGCGCGGTGTTTAGGCAGATGCTCTGACTTTGTGAAGGCTTCTCGAAAGCCCGGTATCAAGTCTTCGCGAGGCCACTGATTGGGGCCACGCAGACGCCAATACTTCTTCGTAAAATCTCTACTGCTCTTCTCGTTTGAGGTTTTTGGTTCTACAGTCGCTCGCCATATTACGGGAAGGTCAGTGGCGAGATCGAACTGTTCTCGGAGATCCTTCTTCCCTAGAGTAGATTCCTCCGCAAAGCCGCTGTAGCCCAGGAAATGTGGAGAGTTTAGCTTTGACAAGGCAGCTTTCGCTTCGTCGGGCTGGTCAAACAGCCGTGGAAGTCTTGACACCAGACTCGCTATTGTGTCTTCTGCAACGCCATGGTTTTGAATATAAAGAAAGCCGACATTGAAAAGTGCATCGTGAAGCTGCTTTAAGAGAAGGGGTTTCTTCAACGGATCGTCTGCATAGGAAAGATCTAGGATAGGAATAGAAGAAGCGTGCAGAGAGGATACCTCGCACGTCATGTCTCGATGGATCGTATTGGGATGTCCGAAAATGACTTGATGGACCACATGCAGTCGTGAAAGGACTAGAGAAAGGAGAAAAAAAGAGGGTACAAAGGGTCAGTTGATGGTCCTGGTGCACGTGCCCGAGTAAGACGATTCCAGAAGTCGAGTTGGAAGATTGTGAGGATGCTCGTGGCCCTCGACAAGCAGATGACTTGAGGTACTTGTCAGGCACTGAGGATGTGGCAGTGAATGCGCTAATCCACGGCAAGGCAACCCCTCCATCGATCTGTGTCCTCCGCCTAGGTACCTACAAACTCCAACATCCTCAACACTACAAACACCCCCACCACCACACATCTCGCTACCATGGCCTACAACTTCGTTCGCTCGTACATAGACACCTTCCGCGAGCGCACCGCGCAAATCTCCCACACCTCGACCTTCCGCAACACAGGCCAGATCACACCAGAGGAGTTCGTGCTTGCGGGCGACTTCCTCGTATTCAAGTTCCCCTCCTGGTCGTGGGCCGACGCCTCGCATCCCTCAAAGCGCGTCTCGTACCTCCCCGAGGGCAAGCAGTTCCTGGTCACACGAGGCGTGCCTTGCCATCGCCGGCTTGACGACAACTTCGCTGGAGAAGCAGGCCAGGACGAGACACTCGTGCGGGATGGCTTCGCGGCGGGAGAGGGCGAACCAGACGACGATGGCTGGCTGAGGACTGGGGGCATGGCAGCTAGCCAAGAGGCGAGGGTGCGCGATGTGCGGACGGTCGACGAGAGCGGGAATCTGGGAGAGGCGGGGGAGGAGGACGAGGAGATTCCCGACATGGAGGATGACGACGACGAGGCCATCATCCGAGAGCCGCAGTCTGGCGCCGGGACTTCAGCGTAAGTGGCACTCTGAAAAGAACCTGAGGTTCACCGAAGGTATCTATTCTAACAGCACCCAGGCCGCTCCGAACATACACCCTCTACATATGCTACTCTGCTCACTACCGTACCCCGCGCCTCTACCTCTCCGGCTACGGACCGTCCTCCGAGCCACTCCGACCACAACAGATGATGGAGGATATTGTCGGCGACTACAAGGACAAGACAGTGACCATCGAGGACTTCCCTTTCTTCGAGGCGGCCATCAAGACCGCCTCCGTGCACCCCTGTAAGCATGCGTCGGTCATGAAGGTCCTCCTCGACCGTGCAGATGCTGCCTTGAAGCTCCGACTAGCAAAGCTCAAGGCCGGAAAGGATGTCTCCAAACTGGACAGCGGCATGGAGGGCCTTGTCGACGACACAAAGCTCTTGAAACTGACAGAACGGGCTAAGCATGCGGAAGGCGAGGAAGGCGGCAAAGACAAGATGGGAGACGAATGGGAGGTCCTGGAGGAGGGAGCAGAGGACGACGAGGTTGCCATCCGCGTAGACCAGTACCTCGTCGTATTCCTTAAGTTCATGGCTAGGTACGTTCCACTCCCGTATAACATTTTACAAAATATCCTAACCTCCGTAGTGTCACGCCGGGCATCGAACACGACTTCACTATGGGGGTATAGATTGAGTTCCTAATCTCTAATATTTTGGAAGCGGGCGTTTCAAGGTCACGGCTAGGGGTGACTGGTGTTGTCGTGCTTTACATCTGGCGGCGTTTGCGGAGGTAGGCTGAAAGCGGTCATAGAATGGACACTACCTAGGTAGTCTTTGCGGACAAACACGCTTATAGTAACGCGATACTATAGTTCTGTCCGTCACGATTCTGCTCCGCCCTGTGACCTTGTCATCACATGATGACTAGAGACAGTACTACGACCTTTTTTGCCTACACTTGGATATCACGGTATGAGGCCCTCCAATATAGTTTCAAGAATGTGGACGAAATGTAAGTGAATCGTTTTGGTTGAACGGACGGTCCGGAAAGTCGCTAGGAAATCTCGGACAACCTTACGTCCAAATACTCAACAGGGATAGTAGCGTAATTTCTTCTCCGGGTTCCTAGTTATATGAACCTTCCCACGCAGCATCCACAAAGTGTAGGCAAATTTTGTAACAACATCATACTTTCACAGGACATTCTGCTAAGCTTTGTCACAACTACTGCACTTGTTATACCCGAGTTCAAAGCTCTCCTAGTTAACTCAAAACTTCATTTCTTAACACTCTCCTACGCGCAGCAAATTGTCCCTACCCACATCTCCCCCTTAACCACCCAAACGCAACCCCAAACAAACAAACACATACCCCCTCGCGCCCCAATTCCAATGCCTCATCCCCACAGGCCTTCTCACACGCCCCTCTTGGCCCTCATATGCAAAATCTCGCTCCATTCCTCCCCTATGCCGGGTAAACACTCCTCCCATGATCCCAATTCTATTTGAAGGGCTTAGATTCAGCGATCGTAGGAGCATGGACGGCGCCTCGAGGCTACCGAGGGACAAGTCGCCAGAGGTGTCACGGGACACATTGGGCACGGATGAGTAGAGGCGAGCCAGGGTAAATGGTGGGCTGAAGAATGATTGGAGGCGGGTGGGTGGTGGGTCGAGGTCGTCGTTGGGGTCGTCATCAAGGAGGCCGGGATCTGGGGAGAGTTTGGAGGCGGAGAGGCGGCTGGCTATGTCGCGCTGTGAGGGGTAAGTATGTGCTGGAGGATTGCGTGGGCGTGTCTCAGGCGGGTTGGGAGCATTTGGGATAGCTTGAAGAAGCCTGAAGAATGGGAGAGGTGGCTGAGACGGAACAAGCACGGAAGTTACACAAGAAGCAGACGCCCAAGACGTAATAGGAAAGAGGTTGAGGCCAGACACGACGACAGGAGAGTAGTTTCTACCTCGGACACTCCTTCAGCTCTCATCTGCTCTGCGAGACGCTCGACGTCCGCGGCGGAGGGCGTGATAGGCACGGCAGCAACGTTGACCAGAAACGCGAAGAGGCAGTCCAGAAAGACGGCTATGATGGTATGGCGAGTCATGCTTTCGATACTGCAACTTGTAATGGTCGAGAGAAGAGAGGAAGCGGTATCAAAGTGGTGATAGCTCTACTTGAGAGGACCAGAAATCACGAGCGCGTTTCAGGCTCTCGACAATATCTCTGGTGGAATGAAGAACTCTATCGAGAGAAGTGATATCAAAAGGATAGACAATGGTTGGAAGTATGAACGAAAGTGGAGTCGAGTCCCGGCATTGGGCCGACTAGTAGAGGGCAGAGATCCAGCTACCTTAGTTGCTATATACTTTCGTCTCGTCTGCCATCCCACCACTCCAACTCAGACCATGCACGCTCCGCCGTATCTGTATCCCCAAAAATGATGAGGCGCGACGGGGCGGCGTCCTTGACCTCGCATCCCTTGCAGAACACCCCCGCGACACGCTTGAACACGCCAACCCTCTTATCTCGAGCCCCAAGAGTTTGGAAACTGATTCCTGTTCTTCCCATCGTGCTCAATGGGCCCCTTGTGGCATCTAGAGCCCTCAATTGCATGAAAAACGCGTCGCCTCGTGATGGTGGAACAGGTCTTTCCTTACTGCCGTACATCCCCAACTTCCCTTTCCGGACCCAAGACTTAGCGCTGGGTAAGAGATAAAAGGGCGAAGAGCGCGCTCTTATACAAGCAAAGGAGGCGTCGCACTCACGTCCATGGGTCGTGCTTTAGCGTAACCGTTGCTGCTTGAATAGTACATTGCTCGTCAACGTGGCTGTCTCGCGGAGTCGCTCCGAAGCATTCAGGAAAATACGAAAGCACTATGCCGCGAAGATGTTGAACGGGTGTAGAGAGACGCGTCGACAGGTGAGGAGAACGTGCACAAAATGCACAAGTAATGCACGCCAAGCTTGGAGCTATGACGACTCCAACATTACTCCATTCCCCTCCACCCCTCTTCTTTCACACTTTCCACCGACCTTCTCCATCATCGTATCCTCCAACTTGGTTTGAATCATCACATACAATGAATTGCTATCAGACTCCTCACAGGTTGAAGCCGCCCAACTGGAAGTTTAAACGTCACTTGTTGGATATCAGCTAAAGCTTTCCCTTGCATCCCCTTAGCTAGCATTCACTTCCTTGTGCAACCTTCACACTTACCATGGAGGATATCACGTCCTCACAAACCCTTGCGGACGACGGTCCCGAAAGAGAAGGGGCCGCCCTTGATCTAAGCGCCTTTCCTCCGTTCTTCATTCTAACGTCTCATTTCCAAAAAGAAGATATACGCGTCCTTGAGGAACAGCTAACAGAGTGCGGTGCACGGCTGAGCTACGATCATACAGAGGTCAGGCTTTTCATTGGTAAAGTCGGGACGAAACGGAGAGCCGAGTTCGAGTTGCGAAGTCTGCACGTCTTCACCCAAGACACAACGCCTACATTACGGCATAACAAGGCCCCAGCTGCTCTGGAACCTGCTAGCAAAAAGAGGCGTATCGAAAGCGAGTCTAGACCGGAGACTACAGTCGCCGAAATTCACGATGATTTTACAGTAGAAGGAGAAACGACCGAAGACGAATCCCTTGATATTGCCGAACCGATTGGGACGACAGTTGATTCTGATAAGACCAAGCCTGGATCCCTCGACAATCCGATTGGTATGCTCGATGATGATTCTACCGCGGAGGGAGAGGCTTCATACCCCGAAGATGGGGATCAACGCGGCTATCCTAAAAGAAAACGTGACTCATCGAATCCGCTCCGTGAAATCACGAACATATCCGCCGTCGAATCTATATCCAATGGTATCAAAGACGCTGTCACCGTTATAAAAGTAGAATGGCTTCAAGACTCGATAGCTGCTCGAAATGCCCTACCGTTGGATGGGTACATGGTGTATCAAGGCAAGCTTATCGACCAGAAAACAGCGAGTCCTGCTGTGCAACATCAAGCCTTGCCCGCACTTCGTAAGGCGGTCCCAAGATCTCAACATGCCCTAGCGCGAAGGCCCCATACTGCCCAAAGTATCCTAGAAAGAGCACAAGCTGATGCGGCAATCACGCCTGCTTGCAAGCCGAGGAAAGACCCTTTCAGGTCTCGACGAGAAGGGGCACGCCAGTTTGAAAACACAACTTTTGCATCCCAAAGCCAAAGGCATGGCCTCCTCTCAACCTCTCATGCAGCCCACCTGCTCCAACAAACAACGAGCGAGTACGAAGGCGAAAGCAGCGACATCCCCGAGCCTCCAGCCTGGGTGAAGGCGAAGCTGAAATACGCCTGCCAGCGCCAAACGCCACCCAACCCCCCCAACGACCCCTTCATCGATGAGCTCAAAAAGATCCGAAAAGCACGCCTCCTCACAGGCGACGAGATCGGCGTACGCGCCTATTCAACCAGCATCGCCGCCCTCGCCGCCTACCCCTACCACCTCACCAGCCCCAAAGAGATCCTCTCCCTGCCCGGCTGCGACGTCAAGACCGCCAACCTCTGGGTCGAGTACAAGAACACCGGCCACCTCCAAGCCGCCGACGACGCCGAAAACGACGAAGTCATGCGCGTCCTCGGCCTCTTCTACGATATCTGGGGCGTCGGCGCGCCCACGGCCCGCGAGTTCTACTTCGCTAACCACTGGCGCGACCTCGACGACGTCATCGAGCATGGCTGGAGCTCCCTCACGCGCGTCCAGCAGATCGGCGTGAAGTACTACGACGAGTTCAAAGAAGCCATTCCCCGCGCCGAAGTCGAGGCCATCGCCACGACCATCCACGCCCACGCGATGCGCGTCCGCAACGCCAGGACCACGTGCACGATCGTGGGCGGCTACCGCCGCGGGAACGCGACGTCCGGCGACGTCGACGTGATCCTCTCGCACCCGGACCTCGGCGCCACCGCGAACCTGGTCGCGGACGTCGCGGCGTCGCTCGAGGACGAGGGCTGGATCACCCACACGCTGACGCTGAGCCTCCACGGCACGCACCGCGGGCAGGCGACGCTCCCGTTCCGCGCGAGCGGGCCCGCGGGCCACGGGTTCGACACGCTCGACAAGGCGCTCGTGGTGTGGCAAAACGTCGCGTGGGCGAGCCGGGCGGCGGATCGGGCGGCGAATCCGCGGGCGAAGAACCCGAATGTGCATCGGCGGGTTGATATTATCGTCGCGCCGTGGCGGACGGTGGGGTGCGCGGTTATGGGGTGGAGCGGGGGTACGACGTTCCAGCGGGATCTGAGAAGGTACGCAAAGGCGGTCAAGGGGTGGAAGTTTGACAGTAGTGGTGTGCGGGATCGCAGGACGGGCATGGTGGTGGAGTTGGAGGGGGAGGGGGGCATGGATGGGACGCCGGAGGAGGCGGAGCGGAGGGTGTTTGAGGGGATGGGGTTGGCGTTTGTGGAGCCGGAGATGAGGTGTACGGGGTAGATTTGCGAGTTGTTGCAAATTGGGCCGCGGATTGTTCTGCGTTTAGGTACCTTTGTAACGTGGAGTGGATGGGAATATGATGTCTTGGCCCCCACTATTGAGTTGAGGCACACGAGGGGGAGGTTTCCACGCTTCTGCCGTCTATCATTGGAAATTAGCTTGATGTAAGATGTAGCTTATAGGAATCTTGATACTACATTCGAGTCCGCGAGTCAACCTCAAAAAGCATCTCTAAATCTCCCGAGAACGTCGTCATGCAGCCAGACTTCAACCCTTTTCTTGCTCAGAGTTACAATGCACATTGATTCGAGACTAATATCAACTCCGCCTCCTGGTAGCTAATAGTACAACAATAGAAAAGACTGCATCATCCCAAACAATGCCGACCAAGTCTCGTAGACCAAAAAAATCAAATCCAACCCCTAAAAAGCACCCAAATGCCATGCCCCATCCAGCCAGAGGCTCGAAGCCCCTTGATCGAAAACATGACTCCCAGGATATGCTTCTACAGCAATAACAAGAACTCCACTCAACACCCCCATCCATCCAGACATGCACACGTAGAAACCCCTCTCACTCCCACACATGATCCGTCCGCGCAAGCCCAGTCAACCCCACCCGTCTTCAAATCGTAAACCTACCCCTCCGTCCCCTCTTCTTCGGACTCTCAACCTCCACGCTCTCACTCGCCGTGCGCTCCCTGCTCTCCGTCTCCCGCCTGCTCAACAGCGCCTCCCGCAACCCCCTCCTCCCGCCCTTCCTGATGCTCCGCTCCTCCTCCGGCTCCACAAAGCGGTGGATAGTCCGGTGGTCCAGCACTCGCTCCTCCTTGTCCCACTTACCCTCGCGGTCCGTTTTCGGCCACGCGTAACCATACAGCTTGGAGTGCCGCTCGCAGCGCGGGCACTCGATGCGCGTGTGGTACGCGTCGGCCTGCACAAAGTCCGCGTCGCACGTGCGGCAGCTGACCCAGCGGCTGTACTTGGCGGAGAGGAGCGCCGTGGTGAGGGTGTAGTCGCCGGGGCGGCGCTGGGAGCTCGACACGGAGGCGTCGGAGGCCGAGTCGAGGTCGAGGGGGAGCGGGGTGGCGTTGCGCAGGCTGTCGGTGCGGCGCGAGATGGAGCGGGTGGTGCGGGGGATCAGGGGCGGTTTTTGGGAGACGGAGCGCTTGCGCGCTGTTACTGCTTGCAAGGTGTCGTCGAGTTCGTAGCTTTCTGAGAGTTCGGAGAGCTCGGATTCGGCGTCGGCGTTAAGGAGGGATGAGATGGGGATCGTGGTTGGGGATGGGAGGGATTGGAGGATGGAGGGGACGGCGACTTTGATGGTGTCGAGGGTGGGATCTTGGGTCTCTGTCATGATGGCGTCGTCTTCCTCGGATGTAGCATCAGTTGACTGTGTTGATTTTGGGGATTCCGCGGTTGATGGGGTTCGTGGAGTCGTCTGTCGCGAGCTATCTGCTTCGTCTAGGGCCATCGTGAGCAGCCCATCGCGCTGCTGGGTACGGATTGCTCTCGAGGCGTTCGTCATGGGATCCTCGATGCTCGATATTGGTACTTCCTGTCGAAGTGAAGACATGCTGCGCTCCTTCTTGAGCGCTAGAAACTTCAAAGGCCGCTTCAGTTTTTGTGCGCTGTCCGCGTTCACTGACGGCGCGGGTGATGCTGGCGTTGAGGCCAGAGGACTCTCTACACGACGCCGCTTCCGCTCATCAATGGCAGCTGGAGTGGAGTCCTTGGACGAACTGTCGACCTCCGTGCCATACTTCCTCTTTCGCCTCAACAGATAGGCTCCTTCTTCCGGTACCTCTTCAGGCACAGGTGTAGCCTCGTCGCTCTCATCTTCATTCTTTACAGGTGCCCAGCCATTAGCCAGCTGTCTCTCACATGTCGCGCAAAGACACTCCTGGTTGTCTTCTCCGAAATAGTTATCACCATAAGAAACAGTGATCTCGTCTCCAATCTCAATATTCTTGACCGAAACAATCTGCATACCATGCGGCCCTTTTGTAGAGAGCTTTGCGTTCGCGTCGCAATCATGATTGGCAAACCGCGCCGGGCCTAGAAACAGCGATCGCGTCTTCTTACGGCTCGAGACAACAATGCTGAAATCTAATCGTGAATCGTCCAGGTCGTCCTCCTCCTTCTCCGTGAGCGCAACCTGAATTCCCGTCAGGTACTTGATCTCCTCACCCTTCTTGATCTCCCTCCTCGCTGTGACCGAAGCCTCTTGGGTATCAATTGTGTAGCGGTTCGTAGTGGTGACCTCGAATGGACAGTCCGGCATGTACATGTTGACATACTTGCGCAAGTGGCGCTGGAAGTGCTCTTTCTCGTCCTTGGTAGACAGACGCTGGCTGAAGCTGCGGATACCGGACACCAGTAGCAGTTGCGAGACTGCTTTCGCGGGGTCCTTCTCTAGAATAACGCATTTGCGCAGAATGTCTGCGGGCTCTTCCTCGCGAATTCCGCGCGACGCAGAGTAGCGGCTACGATTCTTGCGAATGGTGGTCCAGAAGTACACCTGTAAGAAGCGGAAAGAATGAGCATCGCTAGTCGCGCAAGATGTGACGGCCATGATAGAACACATGGGCGTGAGATTGGCTTACCCGGTCGACCATCGCATCGGTTATGAGGTCGTCGTATGAGGCCAGCTGGCCAAGGGTAAGTCCCCCCTTCTTGGCGAGCGCTTCCTTGAGCGCCATGGTCGCGTCGCGTCGGCAGCCTCTACACCGAAAGAGTGCGCAGAGCAAATGCAGAGGGGCAAGTCTGCAGATTGGTGGTGTAGGCGCGAAAGGGGGAGGTTGGGGTGACGTAGGAGAGGAAACGAGACACAGATCCAAGAAGGGACACGACACGCATGGAAGTCCGGTGAAAGGAAATAAAGACAACACGACACGAGAGACAATGGAAAGGAAGACCCAAGGAGTGACTGGCACAAGAGGGAATATGGGGCAGAGGCTCGCGGAAGACGCGGTGTAGTTGCAGGCGAGCAGGGCTGAGCCGCTGTCCGAAAGTGGCACAGTGGCACCCTTGCTCGAGTGCAGGCCGGGACCAGGGCTTCGAGTTGCCCTGCGGCGGTGCGACGGCGGAGTTTTGCATCAAGAGCCGCGAATCCCTTCACCCGCCAGACCGCCCATTCCATCCCCAGGCCACCAGGCCCGAGACCATCAGCGTGGACGCCGGGCAGCATGATCCAGCTAAAGGTACGCCGCAGGAACTTCATCGCAGTGGACGGCGCAATGCGCAGCCCCCGTTGAATATCACATCAGCCACTGACCGCTCTATCTCTATCCAGACCCTCGTCAACTGCATCGACAACTCGGGCGCCGCCATTGTCGAGTGTGTAAACGTCCTGCGATCCAAGCGGCCTGCCAAAGTTGGTGTGTGACAGCAGCATTGCCTCCAATCTACCACCAGATCCAACCCTAGCACCATCACCACGTGCGCCTCGATCCAAACCAGATCCCCGCTGACTTGGTATATGCAGGCGACCGGATAGTAGTGGTTGTCCAGAAGCAGCGCAATTTCGGCCCCGAGTCTGGTCCAGGTGGCGCCGTCTCCATCAGCGCAGCGAACAAAGTACGGCGTGGTGACATACGGCATGCGGTCGTGGTTCGGACTGCGAAGAAGTACCAGCGGCCGGACGGGAGCGTTGTCAAGTTCGACGACAATGCGTGCGTGTTAATCAACAAGGCCGGGGAGCCCATCGGGACCAGGTTGAACGGCATCGTGGCTGCCGAGCTGCGGGAGAAGAAGTGGTCGAAGATTCTGTCACTGGCACCGATGCATCTATAGGCGCAAGAGGGGCGTTGAGGAGGATGATCAATTGTATATCAACAGTACTACGAGGATATAAATGCCTTTTCAACAAATCCTTGTCTAGCTTTTCGGTCTTCTATGTGACAGCCAGGGGCGAAGGCACCCAGAGCTCAATATCGTGAAAGTTCCCACCGGGCCACATCGCCCTCGGACTGGGCGAGGCGTCGTGGACCTCGTGCTGCAGCAGCTGCTGATCTAGGGGTATCCGAACCCAGAACTCCGACTCCAAATAAGATTCGTGATTGATCGAAAGATACCAAACTCCGTCCCAATGCCCATTTTTGCACGCCAGCCATGCACGTTCGCCGAATCCATGAAGTCACTGCCACACGTTGCCGCATCCGCAACATACATAGTACAATTTCTGATAGTGAAAGCTGTAAGCAAAATGATGAGGGAACGGGTAAGGAGGTAGATCAGGGTCATACCATTCCGGTTTCGGCAGTCCGCTGCTGAGACTGGAAGAAGACGGCCTCAGGCTCGCCGCAAGCAGGACAGGGCTTCTGGATCCGAGGCAGCTATAGTCGCAAGAAAGAATAGAAGTTAGCCAAGCAAGCCCAAAGTGAGCAAAACAAGCAACGAACGAACGAACGTGCAAGCGAGCTCAAGACTTTGAAGAGTGCTTGTCACCCTCTTGTTTAGAGGTAGACGCAGACTGCTGGTTGTTCTCGGTCATGGACATGGACATGGAGTCGTCGCAGTCATCAGCTTCCATGTAGAAGCCTCCGTCCGACTCTTGCCCACATATTTCGCAGAATATCTCCTGTCCACACATTGTGCAAAAGCCAGGGATGGTGTCGGAAAGAGAGGCGTCGGAAAGAGATTCGGAGAGACCAACCGTTGGGTCCTGGCCGACGTCCTGGGTGATGCCGGCGGTGTCGCCGACCGTCGAGGCAATCTCGTGGCGCATAACGCAGGCGGAGGGGGCGGGTTCGGTGAAAGAGCAGGTGCGGCAGGCGAAGAGCAGGCGGTTGTTCTCCTTGTCTTCCTTGGGGAAGAGGAGGTTCGAGCTGCAGGCGGTTAGCGGCATGCTTGCGCAAGTGAGGCGATGGGAACAACATACCATTCGGAGCAGAAGCGGAAGAGGATCTTCTTGGAGGCTTCTGCGCCCATGTCAGAGGCAGCTGGGGACGCGGCCATGGTTCGGTGACGGCCGGGTTGGAGGTTGTGTGCTTGGGCGGTGGGTTTGGGGTTTGGGGGTTGTCTTGGTGGTGACAGCTTGCAGCACGGGATCTGTGTATGAGACTTTCTGGACTGCGGGTGCTGGAGATTGGGGGTGGAGGAATTCACAAGAGGCAAGAGGAGCAGGAGAAGCAGGAGAAGCAGGGGAAGCAGGGGAAGCAGGGGAAGCAGGAGAAGCAGGAGAAGCAGGACGGCTTTTGAAGAAGGCGAGCCGATCTCCAGGTGACTTCCAGGGCAGCAGGCGCTAGTGCCGCAAGCAGCTTAACGTTCCGTACGATACGCTGACTCATTGTTGTTCCAGGCGACGGGCGCCGCGTGACTGCCCTCACGGCGAAGGCCCAAGGACCCCGCCACCCGCCAAATCGCGCCTGCCCCAGTAACGGCCCCGGATTTCGCAGCCGCCCTGTGAGCCCTCCTCTGTCAACAACGACCTCATCCACGGATCCCTCCGCTCCAGCACCTGCACACTGCCCCCTCTACCCTCGGCCCTCTTCCTTGACCCCCGAGGGATATCTGCACGTGTCGCTGTTGACTCGCAGCAATAATGGTCAGTGGCGGTGCACGCTCTCTGCAGTGCCCACTTGCGGCCGCAGTTCTCGTTTCATTGAAGACTCACACGGGCTCTACAGGAAGCATCGGGGCTGCCACCCGGATGGGAGGTCCGCCGCTCCAACACCAAGAACCTGCCCTACTACTTCTGCCCCGACACCAAGGAATCGCGATGGGAGCCCCCGGCCGACACAGACCCCGAGAAGCTGAAGCTGTTCATGGCCAAGTTCCACAGCTCCAGAAACCTCAATGCGGAGCGGCCGGGAGGGCAGGAGGGCAAGATTCGCGCCGCACATCTGCTGGTGAAACACTACGGCAGCCGACGACCTGCCAGCTGGCGCGAAGCCAAGATTACCCGCACCAAGGAGGAGGCCATGGCTATCATCCTGGGCCATGAGGCCCGCATTCGAGCTGGCGCCGTGTCGCTGGGAGACCTGGCCACGACCGAGTCCGACTGCAGCAGTGCGCGCAAGAGGGGCGACCTGTATGTTGAACCGGGCGCATCGAGACGTTGGGCATCGACATGCTAACAACCGCGTGGTAGGGGCTTCTTCGGCCGTGGGGATATGCAGAAGGAGTTTGAGGATGCCTCGTTCGCGCTCAAGCCGGGCGAGGTCAGCCAGGTGGTCGAGACAGCGTCGGGTCTGCACCTGATAGAGAGGTAAGACGCAGCATATTTGACACTCAATAGCCCCACTCCACGTGGCCGAGCATGCGCTAACGGCCCGTCTCCATATAGGCTCGAGTAGGTCGTCGAGGGGGGTTATTTCTGGCGTCTGGATCATTATGCGCGGTCGTCCAAATCGGTTTGGGGCCATTCTGGGCTCAGATAAAACGCATGGCCCTCGACTGCACGAGGCGAAGAGGTTGGTCGACGTGGCTCGACAAGATAAGCCTGCAAATGGAAGAAGTGTTTCGACATGGGTCGCGGAAAATGAAATGGCTCATCATCTGCACATGCAGTTGCGGAGGCTGCGGCCTCACTGTGACGTTTGTCAAACGATGCTGTTCACTGGCCATCATGATGCTGTCATCTGAATGATGGCGCCAGGCCAATTGTTCCATGGTTTTCTCTGCTGCTACTGCAGAAGCGTAGCCCTTCAATCTCTACTAATGGCCATAGGTACATGTCCAGGGCATGAGCCTCTACGCTTCACGGTCCTCCAGGAGTAGGACAGATCACCACCAAAAGTAGTCGCACTTTCCCCTCATCCTCGCAGCCAATCCTCGTCTACACCATCGATCTCGAAACGCTTCTCGGAGCCTTCCGAGGGCTGGCCTCCCATCTCGCCGGTATTCGCGTCGACCTACCTCAGTGAGGCATCCCGGCGAACTTGCGCCGGAACGCAGTCGATTTGGTTCAGCCCTGGGGCCATTCGCATCACGACCATACGTCTGGCCTCTAAAGTTGGTCTAGACACTCGGCGGTCCCACTCTCCACCGAACCCCGCGCGTTGCCTGCGGCCAAGCCTGCGCAACGCGTCAAATACGGTCAGGCCATATCGGAATTCAAGAAACGCGTCAGGTCATCATCCTTGCCTTTGCAGTTACTGGAGACGCCCGGCAGCAGCTCGAAACACTTAACCGCGAGCCAATCCGCTGCCTGCGCTTCGATCCTTGTCTCCGAGGGAAGCTAAGCCTTGACATTCTTAAGCTGCAGCTCCGATCCCCAGATTCCAGAGCAACCGTCTAGGGAGCTACTCTCTAGCAGCAACTCTACTCACACCTCCTCTTTGCATATCCTCGAGTGTGATTCTGACTTCACCTCTCCGACCCCTCAAACGTGCTACCTGTCGTCAGGGAGCTCTGTTTACGTTCTAGACTGCTCTATTCTCCGACCACCACCCATTGCCCAACGCAGATACCAAAGACGCCATGCCCGCTGTACCCCTTCTCCAAGGCAAAGGCCTTCTCAAGGGCAAAGACATGGTGTACGCCTCTCCTGAAGGATTCAGGGCCCCAGAAAAGCGTGGGCGGAAGCCCATTCGCTGCCTTTCGTTCAACTCTACTATCCCACCAGTCCCTATGGTAGAGGCTCTAAGGACAGCTTGCCCTCGAAACGGCGGTGCCTTCAGTTATAATCCAGTCCATCTATCGGTCTGGTACATGCCTGAAGAGCTGTGGGCCCGCCTCCCCACTCGACTTACCGGGAGTATTGCAGCAGTACAGCACGCCGGTGCAGCCGTCTTCACCGGGTTCGAACGCCTCGAAACACTGGGAGAAGCTCTATCTCCCAGCGAAAATGCCGAGGACGATATCGTGCCCGTCCCCGGCGTCGTCAAGCCCCGCGGTCTCAGCACCATTACCATCTCCTCCAACGACTCGGACGCTTCAGCAACGAGCTCTCTCGCATCCTCAGTGGTGTCCACCCCCCTGTCCACGCCTAATCTCTTCTCAATGCCGGTCTCACCTTTTTCACTGTCACCGTCCAGCTTCGAGAAGACTACTTCAAAGCCCCACCAGCGCCATCACGCACGCTCTTACACGACCCCGATGGAGCCGGACATGGCGTACTACACTCTCGAGCTCTCCCACCTGCGCACCGAATCGCTGCCGTGCCTCCGCCACGCGATCCGCGTCGTCGACCGGGAGTTGAACGAAAGCAAGCGGCTCGTCGAACTTGACGAGGAAACCCTGGGCGAGTTCGAGGCGTGGTGGGTCAAGAAGAAGGCGACGGCGATCGGGCTCGACCAGAAGGGCCTGGCGCTGAGCATCCAGCGGGGCATACCGACCAATGGCCTCGGCTGGTCTGCGTGAGGGCTAGTGAGGAGCAGCTGTGGACAGGTAGAGGAGCCGGACGACGCTTTCCGTACGATTACGACTGGGAAGAAACTGGGGAGGTTAGATTGGGTGGAGGTTGTGGTCAAGAGACAGGATGATCTGGATTCAACATCTGGGGTTTCTAGCAGGGTTATGTTTGTAGGATGTTAAGTTTCTGGAGTTCAGTCATTTATTTCTGTCTGAAGCGTGGGCACGACGATCGGTTTGGAGCGGACCGAGAGATTGTTGACGCGTTGAAAAGCGAGTTTGTTAGCAGTTGTATGGATTTCTGTATTATTTTGTTGTGGGCGAGCTGGTGTTTTGGGAAACTGGGTAGTCTCTTTGTCTGATATCAACACAGCTCAAAGAATGTACCCCCGAAGCTCGCGCTTTCATAACTGTAAATTGGTGTAGTCAATGTACTATCTTCCATTAACCATCGTTCATTAGCCATTATTCATTACATATCCAGTGTTTCCTCACCCTTAATGTACGTCACGTTTCCCACCGCAATCTCAAATGCATTTCCCATCTTCTCACGTTCACATCGCCCATGCCCCATCTCCTCTCCCCACCCGTTCCATCCTCCGTCAAGCTTCAGAGCCCAGCCACACAAAAAAAAAAGCAAAATCTACCTAGCCACCATACCTTTGTACGAGCGATCTCCACGGCCCGCCCCCATACGGCAGCTCCACCCGCGACGGACTTCAACATCTAGCGGGCTGGACTGCAACCGCATCACTTCATGCTTGTCGCGGCTGCTTGAATGTCTCGCGATATTCCACAGTAAACCCTGCTTATAGCGATACGCCTTTCTCCGAAGGGGTCGCATCATAATACAGAGATTATCACTGTATCAAAGGATCGCGTGGGAAGCGATGCGTAAGCCAGCAGCCCCCGCCCCCCCCAAAAAAAAACACCAAGATTAGGGGGTCCAGACTTACCCGCCAATACCAAACAGTACTTCTGGTTAGTGTGATTGTGAGGAGCGGGTCTTGGTGTTGTTGTTGGAGTAGGTAACCGGCTTATTACTGTAGAGGCCATACGAGTCTGGACGGTTGGGGCGAAAGATATTATGGTATGGAAATGGTTGCTATACCCGGATATTATGCTGCCGCGGGTTTCCTGTACACGCGCCGAGGCTACCCGCTGGCCGCCAGGCGCCAGCCCCCGGATTCGGGATGCCCGGATTGAGGTCCCGTACAGCCGGCCGAGATGGGAGCGAGATAGGGTTCGGAGATCCTGGGGGCGTGGTGGGAAGGTGGAGGCTAACGCGGGTATGCGGGCTGGAGTCGAGGTGGATCGTGGTGGAGGTGTTTGTTAATGTTTACTGGTGTTCATTGGGTTAGAGGTTACAAGAGCGGCGAGATCCGGGGAGTTGGAAATGGATGGGAATAGCTGGTTTGGTGGTATGTGTTTCCTTCGCTTAATGGTAGAGGACTTCATAACTGTGGATAGAGGATTTCATAGCTACAGATAGACTCCAATGATAGTGAGTACTACGGCTTTTGATGATGTCTCGGTAATCTTTTAGCCGGATACAAGGAAAGACTGTAGTGAAGCGAGATAGAAGACGTCAACAGAGGTCGCTGCTAGGCTTAGGAGTGGTGGATGAGGTGGGAAGGTGGAGACTAACGCGAGTATGCGGGTTGAAAACAAGGTGGAGCATAGAGAATGTGGTTCCGTGGATAGATGTGTCGGTAATGGGTGTTTCCATCACAGGTGGATAGAGGATGATGGGTCTCATGGCCTATTGTAGCGGTTCTAAGAATAATGCCACCAATAACAGTGAGACGTACGGCATCTGATGATGTCGAAGTGAAATTTTTGCACCGGGTATAAGGAAAGACAGGAGTGAGGCGAGAAGAAAGACGTCAACAGAGGTCGTTACCGGGCTTGGTGTTGGTTACGCTGCTTAGCATGTGTGGCTGCAGTGGATAGCGTCGACGGCATCTCCTAATTGGGAGTATTTCGGGAAAAATGATACGATATTTTTGATAGGAACATCCAGGAATATGACGATAGGCTGATTGGTATGCATACTAACAGGAACAAGGCACAACGCTGCTAGTCACTATGCGGTAGTGCTAGGCGGTAGTTTTGGACCTCCTATGTAGATTAAGATGCTTGAGATGATGCTGAATTGACAACTTCGCAAAACAGGAATGATGGAGTGCCTTTCTGGCTTCGTTTACAATGCTGGTACTAAACGACAGCAATGCTAGGGCCATTAGGGCTTGAAACCTGCATGCGTGGGTTTTATATTGTAATGCTCCAGCCTTACCACTTCCATGGTAAATGCAATTCGTGCGCCCGTTGCGGGATGAGATCCATCCGCACGATCAGAATGCAAATATACCCGCCTATTGTCCTGCCTAGCCAAAAGAGCCATAATTCCTAAGCGCCAGTCCTTCCGTTTTCGACCCGTGGGTTCCAAACTCCAATATGCAGCACCAAAAGACCTTTCAAGTCTCGTGCAGAGGTAAAGCCGCCGTCCTACTCAAGACGGGCCATCGCGTTCGTTGAAAGCCGTTCTCGGGAAATCGCATCGAGGCACAACCAGCAGCATATCGCCTAATCCTCATCTTAAAATCATGTCAACACTCTATCTCTACTGCACCTCGTACACCTCCAGCGCCTTCTCTAAGTCAGCCAGACTCATGCGGTCTCCGTACGAGTCCATGAGGTGCTGGTTCCTTTCCTGCTGCTTGTCCCGCCGCGCGGCCGGCGGCAGGTGGCCGTGGTTGTGCTCCTCGAGTGCGTTCGCGACGGCGAAGCCTGCTCGTGCGTCAGAGGTTGAGGGAGACCCGCGTAGGGGTGAGAGGGGGCTGGAGAGCCAACCGAGGGCGACTAGGGCACATGCGGGAAGATACCTGAGATGAAAAGTTAGTAACATAGAGCTTGGATAGTGATGTAATGGAGCAAAGGCAGAGGAAGCCGGATTAATGGGAACGTGTTTACATACCATCGGCCTATCTTCCCAACTTTCGGCACTGTAGGTGTGGATGTAGGGGTGTGTGTGGGGATATGCGAGGTAGGATTGTATGAGGCATGGAACTGCGGCGGCGCGGGATGGACGCGGGCGGCAGTGGAAATGGGTCGGCGAAATTGGGGAGGAGGCGTAAGAGGCATCTCTGCTGATTCAAAATGGATGATTCAAGAGAAAGATATCTCGTTACGGTGGAAGAGTTGAGGTTCAAGTTCTTTCAATGTCCGAGGCCTCGGTACAGGGGAAGACGGATGTAGCGAAGCACTTGAAAGTGACGACAAGAACTTCAAAAGTGAGTATGTCAAGCGATAGATGCGAGGGGGTTGACGGTGAAGCTTGATATGTGAGTGGCAGAGCGGGACGTATACACGATAGCTTGGTGCGCTGTGTGCGCTGTCCATGTACTATATGAAATACCGTGAGACACAGGCTGGTAGTATGCTCGTACCAGCCGATGTCGATCCGCGGCCGAGCAGGTGATGGAGCATCTGCACACCATGGCACCACCCGCAGCCCAAGCCCCGCATGGATTGGCGTGCCTCCCCGCTCCGAGAGCCTCGGAGGCTATTGGACAGGACTGCGCTGTATCCGTGACGTTTTCGTGTTTTGCCCCATGTTGTTTAGCCTACGAGCCTGCGCCAAAGTAGTGGCCGTCTGTGCCGTTAATCTGTGTCTCCATCCACGGTATTGAAGGTGTTCCATTGGGTTGGAAGCAGCTTCTGTGTAGCAGAGTTGATGGCGCCGCGGATGTGATCGAGTGATCTTTCATCATAATGCGGGGTGGATGTTCGACCGTTGGGTGACGGTGGGGTGAGAAAGGGGCTGTCACCTGGTTGGACAGGGCTGAGTTGTCCGGATCCTACCGACGGCATTGCCGGCTGCTCTGCTAACTTACCCGGCCGCATTTCCGACCGCATTTCCGACCGCTGCAGTTCGGTCACCATGTTTGTTGCACGTGTCTCTCGAGTTCGAAGAGATATAGCAAAAATAGATCCATTACAGACCTGTCTAGTGCCATCATTCGCTAGGAAAGACGTGATGCAGTGGCGGTATTGTGATGCAGTGATTTAGGAAGCCAAAAAGTTGATGGCTTCTGCAAGAGAAAGAACAAAATTGTAGTCCCACTGGGGATCGAACCCAGGACCTTTCGCGTTGCTTTTAGGCAATGTGAGGCGAACTGGACGGAGAATTAGACCGTTTTGATGGAATGGAGGAGGATTCAGCTTACCGTCATACCACTAGACCATAGGACTTTGGTTGATAGCGAAAAATATTCAATATACAAAACTCTGTAGCGTGAAGGCAAAAAGCAATCCGAAGGGCGGTATCATGTGCCCCTTTCGCTTTTGAACACGCCGAACCGCCCTATGGACACCTAATATTGGCGGCGTACCAACGACTTTCCTGACAGAGAAACCAGGCCTAGCCATAAAATGCCATAAAAATGTGGGCTAGCCACCACATTCGCGCTCGATTTTAGAGGAAAACAGCTGAAATCTCGAACAGTAATGATATGTTTTAGTGTAGATATGCACCGAGGCGAGGTATCGAGCAAAACTGCTCTATTATCCCGAAATTCTGGTTTTGGTTGGTTCGGGTTCCCACTCGTTCATCACCATCATCCATCATCAGTGCACACGTAAGGAAAGACTCCCTAGACGTATAACAGTAACCATGCCATTCAAGCTTTTTCACACAAATTTGTTGACGACGGAAGGCCGCCGTGTGAAGTGCTCCCAGACACTGAAAATATCAGAATGTGATGTGAAGTCCCGCGCGTTGTGATTCAGGCTTCCACGCGAGCTGCCTGCCCTCTCACTTTTCACTCTGTCTGAAACCCTCCATATGTTCCAAGAAAACAGCTCACGAGAAAAGTTCATCATGCCATGATCTAGGTAGAACTTGATGCGAGTTTCACATTTGCATCTTCATAAACAGCCTTCAGATGGACGTGGATGCTCTCTAGATTCTCCGGACTCCATAGGCCGACATTCTCAAGCGTCTTTCGCGTGAGAGAAATCGATTGCATTTATGAAAACCAGACAGAGCGGCGACACTAGAATTGCTTTGCAGTCTTGCGCGGCCAATCTCCGAGAAGGGTAGGGCTACTATTTCAGTGCGGCATTCTTGGCTGATACGATTTTGGATATTCCCAACCTTCTGTGCTGTCTCCCCTTGACGATCTCTAGAATCGATAATCTCTAGATTCTCTAGAGACACTAGTCCTACGTCTATGGCAAATAGAGTTATCGTGAATTGGCTGAGTGGTCTCAGAATCACTGGAACATTCAGTGCTTCGATGTCTGAGGGAGAAGCCATAGCTGCAATCGCATCTGACCGGCTCGCCGATATTAAGAAGACCGACTTTAAAGTCTCCAAGCATATCGGAAAGGAGAAGAGTGCTCGCGCCGGACTACTCCAAGCGCCATTGCCATCACAGCGAATCTCAGCGGTACGGAAATTGATATCACACCCCACAAAATAGGGCAAGATTACGCCTCAGACACGCCATGGTCGACACTGGAAAGATAAGAATGTCAAGAGTTTCAACATCGGCAACTTAATCCTTTCGGATGAAGTAATGCTTCCCAACGATCATGATAAGCTATGCATACGGTTAGGGGTAAAGGCCCATTGCAGCAATAGTACTGGGTCACAAGTCCGAGCACACCGATATACATTACTCCAGCCACACTCTTGCTCACTCGACATTACTGAAAGGAGCACCTTAGCTAGGAGGTATTATCGTCGTCAAAGCAGAGTCTAGTTTCCATTACGTTGGCCTTTACATCGTACTTAGAGTTTCAAAAGCCTATCGGGGTACCCCAAGCAGTCGCAGGGAGTGCTCAAACCTATGCCTTGGTAATTTAATTCTTCAAGTCAGCTTCTGCCAGCAAGCGAACTACAACAAGCACCCTCATCTTCGTACTCTCAAAGCGCTCGCCGAAATGTCCCGCCAGAGCAAATTTCAGGAGAAAAGTGCATGCGCGATGCTACTGGGGTCTCTCGAAGTCCGGCGCGTTCCCTTCTCGAAGAAAGCCAATAGTGTCGAAGCTAAGATAGATGGCAAGACGAAAGACACATCTAGAACGATAGCGATGATTGGAAATACTCGACCGAACGGCGTTATTCAGAATGTAGCATCACCAGAGCTAGTTGCGCAAGAAGACGTAGACCAAATCATTGAGGATGTGACCGACGATGAATTGGATCTTGACGACGACGACCCTGGCGCGCAGCCCCCAGGCAATAGAAGTGATCTATGCGCAACGACAGATATTTTTCGGCTGGCAAAGAAACCGCCAACAGGACATGATTCATAAACGAACCACACCACACCACGGAACCCAGAATCTCCCCCATCTCCCACCCCTCCATCCAAACCCTTCCCGCATACAGTATCCCCCCCTGTACGGGCTGCGCAGGTCAGTGCTGGGCAAGGGTCAATTACACTGTAAAAACCCTTGTCCAGCACTGACCTGCGCAGCCCGTACAGGGGGGGATACTGTACCATGCCAACACATGGCCCTCGATCCATCGCACCGTCGGCTACCACACCACAGCACCGAGAACCACGGACGGACCACCCACACAGACCAACCACACGGGAGCGGGCCACCATCCGCACCCGCCAAGCCGGGGAGCAAACCGGGGGGTGGGCGCGGGGGGGCCCTGCATGCCTTGACTCAGCAACCACGAGGGAGTTGACATTGCGCAGTTCGCATTTGGTGCCGGGGGATGTTGGCGGGGGCTCGGGCCGGGGTGCGTGTGCGTTCCGGGGGTGGGCTGGGGATTGGGCGGCTAGTTTCATGCGTCATGCGTAGCGGCATTTTGGAGAGTCAGTTTTTGGGGGCATACGGGGTGGGTACACTATCCACTACCAGAAGCAAGAATGGCGTTGGTGTTCAGTTCAAGAGTTTTAGAGTTTCTGTTGCAAGATGGCGCGGTTGATATTGACTGACATCTGAGACGCATTCTAGCTGCAATTAATTGCTGCTCAATTGAATGACCTAAAAGATTGTCCAAACTCCACTAGTTCCAGGGAATCTGGAACAAGGGATCCGATTGCTCTCTAGGATCATCCGAATAACATCTCCTCGTCGTCTCCCTCTTGAACTTTGCCCTTTCCCTTCACCTTTTTGGCTTCAGATTCGTCGCCGGAGTCCCGACCTCTCTTAGAAGTGATCACCAACTCGTGCACGGCCACCAGCTAATGCACGGTTACCGAGCGCCACCACCACCATCTTCAAAAATTCACAACTTCATCAATTTTCTACTAAATTGCTTCAAACATGGATCAAATGGAAGCCGCGATCGCGGAGCTTCGTATCAGCGATGTCAAGAACATCACAAAGGTTGCTAGGGAACACGGGATTAACCGGAGTACCCTCTCTCGCCACTACCATGGAAAGACAGTATCTCGATCGGATGCGCACGAAAATCAACGAAACCTCAACGCTGCGCAATCGGCTGCGCTTCTTGGCTATATTGAAAGCCTCACAGAGAGAGGATTGCCTCCTACCATCGAAATGCTAAGGAATATAGCTGCCGAGATTATAGGCTATGTACCAGGCAAGAATTGGGCCACCAGGTGGATTTCTACGCACAGTACAGTTGTAATGGAAGAGTGCACGGCAGGGGGCTCGTAGATGGAATTGACGATTTCGTGTATTGAGAGACGAATCCTTAAGGAATCGTGATGCGTGGCCTAGGGCTGTATATACCCCGGCCTAAGCGAGCACGTGACTCGCAGAGGTCTCACAGGCTATACGCCTGCGCAGGCGGCTGCATGATTTGGAGAGGATGTATCTGCATCCTGTCCGGTGGCTATATACTGTAGGTGCTCCGGTCACCTCACAGTATTGCTCAGCAGAAAGAGGATGCACGTGAGAAGGAAGCCCAGCAGGCATTTAGGCAATTGATTGGTGAAAGTAAAGCTAAGAAGCTATTCACACCAATAAAGAAGGGCTTAAGGAAGGCAGAACAAAAGGTGATAATTGATTTGGAGGAGGAAGAGGCCCCCACAGCTTTAGGCCGACCACGGCGTCAAAAGAGGCTTCCTCTTTGATTTGACGATGACGTTGTGTATATAGAATGAAAGAGCAGCCTCAGTTGCCTCACCTCCTTGATTTTTGTGTATATAGGACGTTGCGTTGTGTTGCAAAGCTTCAAGTTGTGATTCGAGTTGATTTTCGGAATCCGTGCATGAGGTGGTGGCCGTGCACGAGTTGGTGATGGTCAAAGCATATTGAGTGTTCCAGACACCTTGCTTAACATGTATGCATAGTATGACTCTTATTAGATAGCTTCCCATGTATGTATGTAAGGTCTAGTCTATCGACGGAGCTACATATATACAACAGTGATTTTTGGCTCCACCAAGCCAACTGCCCCGGTGTTTTCAACATCCCACCATCTACAACCAAGGACCACCCGCGGCAACAACAGGGCCGTCCCCAGTATCCGTCTCCGGGTTGATGCGCAGGCCCTCTACAAGCTTAACATCCACCTCACCCGTCAGAAGGTTGTCGAAGCTCTTGCTGAGCGCCACAAACGCAATACACGGCACGCCTAACGCGATAGTAGCATAATATATGATGCGGAAGCTGCTAATAAACGCCTTCTGCAGTCCCATCACCGCGAGACCAATCTGCTCCGGCTTCAGCGCCGCAAGCGCCGGGCTGGTTGTGATGCCGGCCATGAGGGCTTGGATGACCTGGGGAATGACGGTGGGGTCGACGCCGGCTTCCGCGAGCGGGACGGCGACGTCTGTCGGGAGGAGCTCGGTGAGCTTGTTGGTGAGGATGACGGAGTAGGCAAAGCCGGCGGCGGAGGAGCCGATGACGCGCAAGAAGACGTCGAATTGGAAGGCGGTGCCGAGCCAGCGGTGAGGGACGAGTTGCATATAGGATGTCATGCCCACGACGATTCCGCTGTAGACAATGCCCATGAGGCAGACGATGGCGAGGGAGCCGGAGGACTTGGTGGGAGCTGTGGAATGGTCAGATGGAAGGACTTTCCAATATTTTTTGCGAGAATAGATGAGCGCTTACACAAAGTAGCTTGACAAGCGGACAACAGAGTCAAGGTAAAGACCAGGAATGTGAGGATCCAACGTGAGAATCTCGCGAACTTCTGGAAGATCAAGCCATACAGTGGCGAGAAAAAGATGCCTGCAAGCGGTGCTGCCGAGGTGTACCACCCGGCTATGATGGAGTCCTGAGTATAGAGTAGGTGTACTTGCTGGGGCCAGACAACAGAGGTAGTGTTGAAAACTAGGGCGCAGAAGAGAATCGGGAAGAGGAAGGTGGTGAACTGGCGGTATTGTGCAAAGACCGTGCTGGGGAACATGGCGAATGTGAGTTTGTTTCGCATAATGAAGCCGTACGGGATTGTGCCAATAACCATGCACAGACCAGAAATGAGCGTTCCTAGAGTCTTTGGGTCGTCCCTAGGTGCTAAAATGAGCCATATGTCTCAACGTAATCAAATGGAAGACTTACCAAGGATATTGGAAGAGCCCAAAGGTGACACCGAGAAGAGCGAGACAAGCTCCCATGACCACGAGAACTGCGGCAGTCCAGTCCAAGTTGAGAAGCTGCTGCGAAGCTTTCCTTCCCTCATATCTGACGTATTGATTCATTGGGTGATAGAACAGGAACGTGAGGATGAAAGCCAGAATGTTGATGGCAAAAGGGATCCAGAATATGACAGTCCAGTCGTAATGGATCAAAATGCTTGCAGCTGTAGAGACGTTAGTCGCTGAGCATTGATACAACTGTATTGCGACCCCTAGGGAAGCTCACCAGTGACAGGACCGAAAGCAGCAGCAGGTGCAAGTGCGGCGGCAAATGACCCGATCGCAAACGGTCGCGAGTGTCGAGGTACCATTTCTGAAAGAGCTGGAATAGCAAGCTGGTGCATGGCAGCTCCCATCCCGGTGATAGCACATGCTCCATATAGCCTCGGGATCGTGGACACATTCGCCGATACAATGAGACCGATGAAAGCGAGCACACTTCCCGCGAGGATGAAGTTGCGTCGGCCATAGATGTCGGACAAGTACCCTATCACAGGTGCAGGCACAGTGGCTGTGAAGATGGCCATTTGGCCAACCCATGGGTACTCATTTGTCGGGCCTGGGAAAAAAGATGAGCACTCTTTCTATGACGCACAAAGGAGGAGCCTACCAAGCTTCGCGTTCAAATATGTCATGGAGTTCTGAACTAATACTTGACTATACACGTCCGAAATGAAGCCCAGAAGGAGACCCTAAACATAAATTAGTTTCCAGAAGACTTTGACGACGTGGTATCGACGGCAATGGTATAGGAGGATTAGGAGAAGGCCTAGAAGGGATGTCAACTTACAGAAAGTGCTAGCCATTTTCCTATGGAGAAGTGGAATGGTTCCTCAGTTGTAGCCCGTGTGTCGTAGCGTTCAACGGTTTGATCGAAACCTCCCTTCTCAACATCATGACTGTAAGACTCTGTAGGAGTGGCATTCCCCTCATTAGATGCCTGTGACGACGCCATGATGTGCAAGAGCTTAGAGAAACGTTCTGTGTGACACTCGAATTGAGGAAACCAGGTACAGCCCTTCGAATTCCATCTGAAGGGAAACCCCAGAAATATATAAGAATCTAGAAAACGCCGAGACGGTGCACAACTTCGCCAAGCAAGCATGCAGCCGTTTTCGGGATTGCGAAGGCGGCTGTCTCCGAGAAATCAGAAGATCATCATCGGTACCGTACCTTCAAGGCAAGGGCCAGCATCATTCATGCACAACAAGGGGCGGGGAAGAGCAACCGGGGAACAGAAGGCATTGGCCACCCGGATCAAAGAAGAAATGCTGGGGTGGATCGGACTTTATTCGTCTAGGTCAGATCTACTACTCTCAAGAAAACCGAAATGAAGCAAAAGCGCCGGAGCGTGGAGACATTAGAACCGTTGATTTGGGAAATGAGACTCTCTACACTCTCCCCCCTGTACGGACTGGACACCACCGTGCGTAGAACAGGGGATTTTACATACAAAAACCCATGTTTTGCGCACGGCTGTGTCCAGTCCGTACGGGGGGGGGAGAGTGTATACCATACCATGCATGCAGTATAACGTGCGTTTGTCTCCACCGTCCCCCGGAATGGACACAGACCTCCGAAGTGCGTCGCCAACCGCGTGGGCGTTTCGGGGTGATTGCTAGGTATGGCGCAGTTTCCTAGCCTAGTAAATCCGGGGTCAAGTCTTCGGGACCATCAATTTCTATCTTCCTGGTCACTTCCACGCCCGCTTCCCTCGCAATCACATTTACCAGTCCCGGAACTGCCATGGTATGGGTCATACGAGCCTTGACTGTGGCGTCTGGCGGGCAGCAATAGATGAAAATGAGCGAGCCGGATTCGGAATGATTGTAGAAGGTGAAGCTTGGTTGTGGTGAGACTTTGGACGGAAGCTCAGACGGTAGTGCATGAATCTCGGACAGCCCAAGTGTGATAGTCTCGGTTGGAACGTCGACAAACTAAGAGAAAAATGGTGAGATCCTTGTAGTAGAAGATAGTACTACATATGTACATAGATACACCATGTGGGTCTGAACTTACGAGTTGTACGATACAGTAGATCCTCTCGACATCAAGTTCGTTAGTGCCGCTTTGGCCTCATCTGTTATGGGCATTGTCAGGCGGCGATCACACAGTCTGCAATGGTGTTTGGTGTAACCGAGATCCACGAATCGTGGCATACCCTGCGTCGCGTGCACTACCCTGTTCTCTCCCTCATCCATGTGTTCTGGACTCTCGAATTTGCTTAACGACGCTTCTCTTGACTCCCACGCTCGCCAATCCAGAATGTCGGCAGGCTCCTTGCAGATACATGCATACAAAAGATTTTCGGCGCCTAATTCGGCAGCTACAGCCAACCTTTCGTCCATGATGAGCTTTCGCTGATCCTGAGGGGCCAGAAAAGGAACATAGGTGATGAACACTAGTCTGCCCTGCTCTCTGATGATGACATAAAGTGGAGATCTGGGAGTGATGTAGCCGTCGAGGAGGGAGAGCGAGGCCATCAAGTCTGGTTCCAAGTGTTTCTCGGGTGTAATGGCAGGAAGCGGCTGGAGATCATCAGAGACTTTGATGAGCAGCGCGAAGCACGACTCGTTGCACAAGAAGTCACTGATAGCTTTGTGGACGCGGCCTGCTAGAGCCATGTGAGTGACACTTGGCCATGCATAATGGGGGCCTTGAGTACATACCAGCCATATCGAACTCCTCTTAGCAAATGCCGACCCTCTGACGGCTCTTAGCAAATAGCAGATATCCTTAGATTTCTAGGGGAAAGAATCTCTTATGAATTACTGCCTGTGGTGTTGGCGGACCAAATCACGCCGCGGACGCGCGGAGTTGACGCATATCTCTGCGGAGAACTAGGCAGAGAACTCAGTTGTACAATGATGAAGGAAGCCTGATATAGCGGATGTCTGGTAGCAATACTACAGCATGAATCCAAGGTTGTCAGTCTATCTCTAGTGGTGCTCGTCGTATGTGTGATCTCTTTCGCAGCTATACCGTCCGAGGCAGTCAGGTCGGTTAACATATTGCTCAAAGCTGTTGAAGTATATGTCATCTAGATCTCTGAAGGCGCATCGAAGCGCTTCTGACAGCAGTAAACAAGTGTACACCGATCTATTGAAGCATAATCTACGAGTTCTGGTTTCCGCGCAGGCCGCGGGAGAGCTCCGAAGGAAGTCAAGACACGAGGCTTGGGACGGTGATGGATCAAAGACGACAGAAATGAATGTCGGGTAGCATGATGCACACCGTTCTCTATGGCGAAAGAAGAGATGAATCGAGTTGTTGGGATAGAGGGAGCGGGATTCCGACTCTCTGCCAAGAAGAATCCCACATTTAGATGCAGGAACCACCCGCCTTACGTCACCGACACTTGAGCCGTCCTCCAGTTCACCCGTGTAGGCCATGCTCCACCGTCGCGCATCAGTACCAGCGTACAATTGCCGGCTGACAGTTGACAGCACTATTCCCGCGTGGCCTCTCCCTTGACGCTGGGGCGCGTCCTCCCCGATTCTGCAGCCATTCAACGACGAGCCCTTCACCCGCCTGCGTCTGCGAATACCTCGCCGCCAACGCATACGATCTCCACCCATCACCTCTCGGACTCGGCTATTCGCCATCACATCTCCAACCTTGAACCTCTTCACAGAGCGACTAATATTCGATATCATTGCCTTGCGAGCCCTACCCCCGATATCCAGACAGCAGCTTCCTCAGCATGCGCCCGAAGCCTGCGTTCACCATCGATATCCCGAAGATGGAACCCCAATCCGCCGTCGACGTCTCCTCTCCATCAGCCGCTCCGATCTACGATCGCATTGCATCCCTGGAGGCCCTGCGTCAAGAGCACCTCCGCGCCGCAGCCGAGATTGAGAAGGAGGTCGCCCGCCTCCACGAACTCCTCGCAGACACCAACAGTGATCACACCAAGGCTGTCCCCAAGCCTGCCCACCCTAAACTCACCTTCAAATCACAAGTCCAGTACCATGACGACCCTTCCGAGCCCGTACAGCCCGACAACATCCCCGCTCAGCCGAATTCATCCGCCCTCTCCGTCTTCATTGAGCCCGCCCCGCTGCACTCCCCGCTCCCAAAGGCGAACCTCATGTACGCGGGCCACACGCCACTGCTGCCTGGCTCGCCGTCCCCGGAGCACCGGTCGCCGACGGCTGAGACGACACCGGAGCAATACCTCGACGGGCCACTGACGCTGCCGCTCGCGCCTGGCGACGGCAGCGACGATGGCATAAGTCTGCGCGCACTGGGAGAGAGGCTGGCGGACATCGCGAAAGAGCGGGTCGAGGACACGCTCGAAGGCCAAGTCCGTGTGAAGTCGGAGACGGTGGAGATAGTGCTGAACCGGAAGGAGATTGAGGCGGATGGGATATTGCTGAAGAAGACGCAGCCGATGAACATGGGCGCGCCGATGGGGCAGATTTGAGCCACCATTCTGTGCGGACCCCTGATTTACGACCCCCTGTGACGATATCTACTTGGAGACAATTTGGGACATTCTGGAGGCGTTTTCATTGGCACAGACGGAAGCCGAGGGAGGCATCGGAAAAGGGCTCGGGAAATGGGTGATTTACGACTTGGACGGACCATCTGCATTGGCGGGAAATTTCGGGTTTGGTCAACTGATAGCGGTGTGGCGGGTAGCCCGTACGTAGTGTTCGGATGGACCGTTTGCTACATATGAATTCCGAACAGGATTCATTCATTGGAATGCTGGAGAATCTAGCAGCACCGGCAGCTCAACGCTGCAATTATATAGTGTCTAAAATGGATAAGTGGTCAATCAGAGCATATAAGAATGGTTAGTTTATGCGGTGTGGAAGTGCATGGGCAATCCGAGATGTCTCAGTGCTCGTGCATGACTTTCTTCGAAGTCATCTGCCTTTCAAAAGAGAGGTCCAAAATGAGTAGACATCTACTTCTCAGCAGGGAAACCAAACCTGGCTGCAGCACCCAACTGAAAAGTGTGTTACATCCGAAAACTGCACACAAACGTATGTTTGTACAGAACGAAGGCTTGCCGCCATAAATTAGATATCATAGAGGAAACTCCCAATAGGCCACATGCAAAATATAATATATACGTTTAATACATACGTTTCATACAACTGTTCGCGAATAGCTCCAACAGTGACGGCCAGAGCTATTCAAGCATTATGTAAAATAAACGTTCGAAATCAAGCCATCTTGATGGAAACTACTCATCTTCTCTCAACCTCTTTTGGCCAGCTTACGCGACACTATTGCCTGTTGCCACAGGTGTAGCAGGCGGAAACTTGATGAGTAGCGTTCTGGATTGGGGTAATCGTCGTTGAAGTTGAGTGTGGTAGTGCTGACTGCGAAGAGCCCGACAGCTTTGAATTAGGCCCCGGAGTGCCGATCGTGGGCTCTGATGTAGATGGCAAATGCTTGGGGGCACTTGTATTGTCGAGTGAAGAAGTCGATGTACCTGCGGGCGGTGCTGGTGGATTGAGATTGTAGAGCTCTTCGAAGCGCGCCCCAAGCGCTTCTCTCATCTGCTGCTTTGGAATGCGTGATATATGGTACTGCGTTTCCTCTTTTGTCCTCTTCCATTGCTTATGACGCCTTCTCCATTCGTTTTCCTTCTTTTCCACGAGAAAGGTGGGTGGAGTCTTACTATCATCGAGGCGGATATGAAAACCAGCGACGATACGCTGTGCTATGTGATCGTTGAGCGACATTTCATATGACTTGTAGGCTAAGGGCTCGTCAGGTCCAGCAATGATGCCGTCAAGCAAGCGGCAGCTATTGCAGCCGCAACCAGGACGAATCTCCACGGCATATTCAGGCAGCTAGATGGGTTCTACGGGTACCTTGCGTCCTATATATGTTGCGAGAAGACTCCGTACCATGTCATCGTATAGTTAACGCGTCGTGGCTGGTCCCCTGTATTTCGCCTGGCAGTTGACGACATCCTTTAGGAACGGCACTATACGATTTTCGAAGATCTGTGGGCTAATGGAGTGTGCTTCGGTCCGAATGGTCTCTAGTATCCAGCACGCTTCTTCGTTTAGTCCAAGGAAAATACATTGTTGCATTAGCAACGCAATCCCCGCGAAGTTCAATGAATTTGGTCAAGTAGTTCGGCTTGAGACAGTGCTCCGACCTGTCTTCTGTCGTTTGTTTTGATCGTCCTTCTCTAGGAATGTGATGGTTTCTTTGAGGGATGGGAAAAGAGCTTTGACCGCAAGCTTCGCGGTTTTTTTCCCAAACCCGAACTCATTTTCTTGAGCGGCTTTGTAGATGTTGTTTTTGAAACCTAAAAAAGTTGTCAAGTATGCTTTCCTTCCCTGGAGGCCATTGACGAAAGTGCCCACACATTCAAGGACGACTGTTTCATCGATGCCTATCGATTTGTGAGTGAGCAGCTTTCCAGGCACCCATAGCATACGATCAAAATTCGCCGTCTGCATGCTTGTGTTTAAGACCATCTCTTTACATAAACTCCCTAGCGTTTTAGTGCCGATAAGATTTTTGTCTTTGGCTTTTGATAGGATGTTGATGAGTCCGCCGACCCGGTGACCATCCAGAATGATGTGCGCTCGCTGTGATGGCCAGCTAAACCCGCGGACAAAGTTGGCGAAATATTGGCTAGGAAGATTTCCACGAATCTCTGCATTCATTAATGCCCTGAGCAGGTCCTTCATGAATTCTACTATCCATGGAGAACCAGTTGCATAGGGAAGCAATTCGTTGACGTAGTCAGGAGCTCATTCTCGGGTACCAGTCTCTGTTGGTCAGAAAGAAGGTGCTTGAGCAAGAATATCGCTTGGTTGTCGTGCACAAAGCGTTTCTTTAGTGCTGGGAAAACTCCACGAAAGAACGTAGGCGCGAAATCGGGATAGGGCTTGACTTCCTCGGAGTTGCGACTATACTGAAGACACGCCTCGACGAATTCAAGCGGAACATGCTGGTCTACAATGATGTTCTGCAATCTGTTGCTTGTCAGTACCGTAAAGTAGATAAGTTGACGCTAGTCCCAAGTTTCCATCAGGTCTTGTTGATTCCGCAACAGTGTAGCCCATCTCATGATGTATTTGCAATCGTCTTTTCCCAGTTTACCGCGTCTCGAAAGCGCGAACTTGACGCTATTGTCATACCATCGTAGCGCCATGGTGGGCTCCATCCTAAGGTAGAGCAGTACATGGTTGAAAATGTTTGTGGATATTTTCAATGCATCAGTTGTCTCTCGATACCCATTCATCTTCCACCTGAGCCTGTATAGATAGTCAGTCTTATATGCATTTCAGATGACGTCTAGTATACAGTAGTGAGGGATTACCAAACTAAACGACGTGAAACGAGACGATGTAGTTACGCAGTTAAACATTTATTAGCCCCTTGTTCGGCAATGGTGGCATTTAGTTTTGTACAGCACTCTTCTGAAATCCTGACACATGCAAGCTGCTGCTGACGCGAAAAGACCGAAACATTGGTCATCGAGTGCATAGGATAGTATTCTTTCCACGTCGCTCTCGTGGACTTTCGAAGAACCAGCAATTGCCGCTGCCAAAGCAACCTCACAAATTTTATTTCGATCAGGTTGCGCATTTGTGATGGACCGGTCCAACCAGGTTCGAATCTGATTCGCGTTGAGTTGGCGAAAAATGAATCAAATGACATAGTCCTCGACGAGAAGAGCGGTCTGTGCTGCATGAGTCCTGGACCAAACGGCGGAAGAAGAGAAATTTGATTCACCTTGTCTCGCCAGACGTGTGTTGCAGATCCATGGCGACTTTCGTAATCTGTCTTTTCGTCTGGCTCCCTGTCCTCCCGTGGTGAAGGTACTCTGGATAATGGCCTCCTCCTGGTCTATCACCACGTCACTAGCCAAGACACTACCACCAGGCTCCACGACACATTTGAGGGTTAGTTTGCAATCAGTTTCATCTTCCATGAAGTGATGCGATCCAGGGTCAGAATCGTAGGCGCAAATGCCGTTAACTTCGCGTTCCATATGGGCAAATACGAGTCGAAAGTCAGTCTTTTGGCTGATCTCGTGGAGATTCCGGACTCGAATAGCGTCAAGGCCGGTAAGCGCCGATTGCGTAAGGCTTGCCGCTGCAACGTCTGCTCCGGAATCTAGAACGTAGGTGAATAGTTTGGCTTTAGGTCTTCATCGACGGAAAAGAGAAGTTTCTGCCACTTTTTCATCACCCGAAGAAGCTCCATCTTACTCGCTCCAATAGGAGCCGCTTTCTGTATCGAATTGGGTTTCTGGTATATAGAATGGACCAATAGCATCCGGCGACCAGAAGTCACTGGAGCAAGCTGGACATCGACGTCGGAGAACCACGCGAAATAGGACAAATCAAACGCGGAAGTCTGATCGGTATCGAACGATTTTGTCTCACCGTCGAAATCAAAAGTGATCTGCCCTCCATGGTGTCTAGAGGGCAGGCAAAACGCCAACGTTGCAATCCACTTATCGGGCTTGCAAGGCAACGCTATCGAGGAGCTGTGACTGCAAAGAAGCAGATCTTGATCATAGGTATATGGCGCATTGATTCCTAGCTCTCTAATCACCTGGGAATGTAGGTCGTTGATGTATTTGACCAAGCGGGATCCTGGAAAGTCGTATTTCTCCATGCGTGCTCGCAATGCGTTAGCAGTGGCGCAGGTCTAACGGCATGAGAGGGGCGTGGTCCAAGACTTTCCTTTGAAAGAGGCAATCGTATGTCTCCATAGCCCGGAACAGGTAGTACGATATCCCAATGTGCACCCGAGCAATTTCCTTTCCCGTTCAGGAACCTGAGCTGTGGCTGTGCATCCTGAGCCAAGACTGAGCGCATCTGAGCCGAGACTGAGCAGGGTGAGCGCATCCTGAGCCGAGACTGAGCGCATCGTTGGAACCTAGTTTTGGGCCCTGTATTCGACAGGGGTGTTGAGACAGGGGTCCTCACCCTACCTCGGAAGGCCCATTTCCGGGCCTATAGGCCTGCCAGGTTCCAGTTTCAGGGCCCTAATTCTTAAGTAAACTTACCCTCCGATAGAAAATAGTATAAGGCTAATCTGCGCCACTTTATTATCTATACAAGGGTAGAGCTATAAGTAGCTAATAGGTTCTAATATTGCCTAGGGGGTCTAAAGGCTGTATTATTACCAAATAATTAAAGGTATACTATACTATTTTTATAAAGGCTTTTAAATTAAATCTTCCTAAGTTACTATAGTATATATATTCTATTTTTTTATTTCTATAGGTATAGTAATACTACTTCTAGAAAACCTATACTATATACCTACTAAAGAAATACTTTTCTACTAATAGATTTCTTCCTAAAGGGTTATATTAAGGATTTCTAAACTGCTTATATAAACCTGCGCTGTATAATTACTACTTTATTACTACTATTTTAATTTTTTAATAGCTTTTTCTTATACTTTTACCTTTTTTAGGAACTAGTAGTATAAATAACGCATTTTTCTATAGTAGCTAAAACGTACTATTAAGGTAGAATCTATTACTAATATTATATAAGCCCTAAATAGAGCTAGACTTATACCTTTTTAGGGTTTAAACTACTTACCTAACTAATTTAGGGCAGTATATATAAATCTTTTTCTAAAAATATATAAATAAAAACGCGTTAAAAGTACTTATAAAGGCTTAAATCTACTATTAGCTTTATATAACTCCTAGTTTTATTAGCTTAGCTAGATATTTTTACTAAAAAAGCTAAAGCTATTATTACTTTTATATAACTTCCTATTCTATTAAACTTAGCTTAGGGTTATTACTAGGGTTAAATCTATTAGTAATCTTATACTATTTCTAGTTTATACTAAACTTAGCTATTATAACTAGAGAAATCCTATAAAAGGTAAAAAATACTTAATACTAGGGTATATTTTAGGACCTAGGAACTAACTACTAATACTAAAAATATAAGTTTTTTATATATTAGTTAAATAAGTATAAAGTAGATACCTAAAGGCTAAAGTAAGTACCTAGTAATAATATAACTAGCTGTATATAGATTAGGTGTCCTAATTAGAAAATAGTTAGGTTAGTTTATTAGATAAAACTTTTTTCCTTTTAGTAGTTAGTTTTCTAAAAGCAGTGTTTTTAAACTAAGGTAGATACTATTTAAGGTAAAAAACTGTCTTAATCTAAGGCTTTCTATTAGCTAGGCTTCTACTAGCCTATACTTTAGAGTAAAAGCTACTTTTACTAAAAAAAAGCCTTAAAAAAAGATATAGAAAGCCCTAATAGCTATAGTAGCAGGTATAATAAAGCTAAGGCTAAAGGCGGCTTAGAAATAAGGCTATAATACTATTACTGCCTGCTAAGGTCTTTTTTCTAGGAAAAAAGATACCTTATACCTTAAACTTTTATAAAGCAACTAATAAGGTTAAGTTTATAGCTATAATCTTTTATTAGATAATATATCCTTTCTCCTCTAAATTCTTTCTATAGTATGCCTAAAATTTAGTTATAATACCTTTACTATTTAATTTAAATCTGCTATAGTTATATACCTATACTAAACTAGGAAAAAGTAGTAGTAAAGGTAGAAACTTAGTATACGCGGAATTTTAGCTAGTAGAGCCTTAAAGGTAATAGCTAGAAGCTTACTTATAGGTCGGATAATAAGGTATATACTACTGCCCTAAAAGTCCTTTATATAGAATTAGAGAATAATAAATTAATATAATATAAGCAGGCTTTTATTACTATAATCTAACTTTAGACTAGTTATAAAGGTCCGGATTAGGTTATTAAGTAGGGGAGATTATATAGTATAGACTTAATATAAACTTTAACTATAGTATTCTAAAGTAGTAATAAAATAGTATAAAAAGGCCGGTCTAGTATATATTTTTCTAAACAGCTCGCAGGTATTAATAACTCTATACCCTACCTCCGCGGATTAAACTATACGGCGCAGCTTATTATTACCAGGAGAATCTATAATTAAAGGAATAGATAGTATATTTATTATCTATTAATATTCCTAAAAACTTATAGTATAATAGGGTTTTTTATAATATAGGTTTATATAAGTACTGCTAAATCCTTTAAACTAATCCCTAAATTCTATAGGCTCTAGTACTAGCTACTGGCGGGGATACTTTTACGGGCTTATTTATAGCTCCGACGGCCTATAATCGGGTATAGAAAAAGAAGGTAGTAAACTTAGACCTAAACTAGTTTTTATTGCAGATACTAGGTAGTATTAAGGTTAGGCAGATATATAGACTATAAGTTCCTATAAAAAGATAAGCCTATAAACGCTATCCTATTCTATATAAAAGAATACGCGGTAATATAATATAGACAGAAATTAAAAGGAATATTTCCTAGGTTTCTATAAGTTAAAAAGGTAATAGGAGGTAATTAAGTTAATTTACTAAGCTTAATAGATCTATTTTTATCTAAATTAGTATAAAGTCTAAAAGGCTATATTATTACAGGCTAGGATTTAATCCTGCTTTTTAAGACTAAGAACTAAGTTATATAAAAGTAGCCTTAGACTAATTCCGGGGTAAAGTAGTAATAAGGGCTTTAATTAGCCAAAAATATATCCGAGCTTTATATTAGACTACTAAGGCTATACCGCTCCCTACTGCCTATTTTAACTCTCCTAATATTTATATAAAATATATCTTTTCTCTCCTTCCTCTACTTCTATTAATATAGCTTATAATTATAAGAATTGCTTTAGCTAGCTGTAAACTGGGCGGACCGGTTAATATACCCTAATAGATTAACTAAGCAAGCTATTCTTCTAATATCGGACGTGGGCTAATATATAATTTAATAATGCGCTTTATTCCAACTCTATATATTTTAAGCCTGTGCCTAGATTGCGAATTCTTAATTTATAGTAGATATAGCTAATATTAGCTAAATAAGTTTATAGGTATATTTCCGCCTCTAAGTATATATATAAGGAGCAAGAACGTATATACAGCTGTACAAAGACTATAAGGGAAATAAGGCCGTTTCGCAATAGTTCCTGCACTAGACAGACCTCCTACCCTACCTCTCTATAGCTAGAGAGATGGCAACGGAAAAGCTGGCTATACAGCTAGCCGACTCGTATAGCCACGCCCCAAGAACAGAACTACATGCACGCACGCACATTGCATAACCACAGGCACGCCCGCAACAGGGCAACCCCCCCAATTTCCTATTGTCCTTCAATTCAATACCTTGGCTTTTGAGAAAAAGGGCACGCGCGTACGGCAAGGGCACGCGCGCCCTAACGCGGACCCCGGACCTTACTAACCTTCTGGACAACGTACAACCCTGGAACCTAGGGCCTACGGACACCGGATCGATCCTGGAGAATGCATCAAGATGGCTTACTCCGTGGCGATGCTCACAGAGCTGCCACGCGTCCCCTACAGCCGCGCAGAAACAAAAGGAACGCAAGGCGTTATACACTGTAGAAAACAAGGTTTTCACCCGACCGCTATAGAGCGAACGGTTTCCCCTTGTAAATAAAACCTAGATAGCACTGCCGCATGGACCCTAACGGGAGCTAAATCGGCCTAATAGAACCTAATAATAATATAAGGAGCTCCTAGCTTTATATTAATTTTATTCCCTATGCGCTTTTTATCCCTACACCACCGCTTCTATTAAACTATCTATTTTAATTAAGTTCTTAATAGTTGCGCGCTGCACTCTAATATTAAGGTCTTAAAACTATTTTATATATTTTAAGAAAGAAAGAATAGCACTGTTAATTATAAATAAATATTAATCTACTGCTTAAGCCCTAAGGCTCTAAGCCTCTATTAAGCAAAATAACTAAAAGTATAAATAGCACTATATTAGTAGCTTTATCTATAGGAATAATACTGTCTTTTTTATATATTACTAATTCTCTAGTATACCCTGCTCTATTAATATAAAATAGACTAGTACTGCTGCTATTAGCTGTTCTTTAGCAGTAATATACGCAATCTAACCTTTATAGTATTCCTAGAGCTTCCGTCTATTCTATTCTAGTCTGCTAGGTATAGCACCTCCAGCGCTATTTTATAGTTTATCTCTACTTCTACCTATTAAGCGCGTAGTATTGCAGACTCTATTACTATAGGAAAGTCCAGCTAAAAAATAGTTAAAATAGGGTTAAAAGAAGAATAATATAATTATTAAGCTTAAAGGAACAGGAATAAAATAGAAGGATATTGCGAAGCACTTCCCAGAATAATTAGCTATTTGTCACGGCTTAAACGGTGAAGCTTGCTGCACAGTGTAACACGTGATGTTAGGACCCGGCGAGAGGCCTTATTGCAAGGGCTTATGCGAGCCTTAGCAGGAGTATACCTGCCGACCGCCGCCCTGCCTTCTTGTAGCTCCTTAAGCTACATCTTATTATTTAACCCGCCTGCCTGCCGTGCATTATAGAACACGTAGTGAATTTAGTTATTACTTCTACCTACCTGCCCGAGCTAGCTAGGCCAATCCTGCCGCCCGAGACCGTGACACTATTACTTGCCGACTCTAATACTAGAATTACCTTAAAAAGCGCGCAGTCTAGAATAAAAAGAAAAAAAATAAGCTTGTAAGGCTTTACGCTTAGTAGGTACCTTCTTAACTACCGCCCTTTAAAAAACAAAATATGTATAATACTATAAATATTGCGTTTTATAGCACCTTAAGTCTACCTCCCTACTTTTTTACTACTACTTTACTAATTTATTAAACCCTAACTAATATATTAAATAGATTTAAAAACTAGATATAGTAAAAAGTTGCTTTAGAAATATAAGTTTTTTAGAGGTCTGCTAAAAGTATATACTAGTAGCTAGGCGAGCAAGAAATAAGCGCCCGCGCTAACGCTCCCGTTTTCTAGCTCTACTTTTCTACTACTAGTACTAATATACTTTTACTTTTTAGTAGCTATTCTATAATATTATATTTTATACTAGTAAATATCCCGTAAATATAAAGCCTAGTATTTAGGTAATACTATTAACTATAACTATATCCGCCTTATTACTAACGCTTTAATACTGGGCCTACGCCCTAGAATAGCTTTTTTAAGCCGCTGCCGCTCTATTAGCTTAAGATTATAATTTAGCCTACTACTATAGCTAGGTTTATAACTACTAACTCTATAGCTAGTATCTAAAAGTAATTTAGTAAGTAATAGTAGCGCTAGAACAGCACTAGTATTAGGGCAGAAAAGGAATTAAAAAGGTGTTGGCTTTATTAAACTATATCTTAAAAAAAGGAGGAAGTTTAGGTGTATAAATATAACAAGTAGGCTAAAAAGCTAGGGAATAAGAAATCCGGAGAGTATATTATAGTATAGTAGGACTAAAAGTAGAATAGAAAGTAGAATAGAGGATAGAATAGAAAAGAAAAAGGTAAAGTGAAATTATCTAGCTAGGTTATATATATTCTCCTAGTTTGCATTCTATATCTAAATAGTATATTGCCTTTTAATAACGTAGTTATTCCGTTTCTATTTTACTTTTACAACTTATTATACAGCGTGGAAATATATAGACTATACTTAGTTTTAAGGCGTTAATATATTAGAGGGTTACCTTACTTAAGCGCTAAACTGCCTTTTAATAGCGTTCTTCTAATTATATTTCTATATTAACCCGTTTTAAAATTTATATCTACTTATAAGCTATATATATATACACACCTTCTCCTATTAATAAGGCTATAGATATCCGTTCTTAAAAGTTTCCTATATTAATCCTTTTTAGTATAAAGGGCCCTAGTGCTTTATAATATATATATTCTAAGTTTTATAAGGCTAAATCTTTTTACGCCTTGCTCTAGTTGCTTTCTATATTATTATCTAAATCTATAATACCCTAGGATACTATAAAGCCTAATTAGTTTTAGGCTTTAGTACCTTAAGCCTATATTCTAAAAACATCCTTTTATCTAATTAATATTTAACCTAGCAAAAGCTTAATAAGAGCGCAACTTTCGTCCGGCCAGATATTAGTATTTAGCTCCGCCCCGCCGAAATAATTTGCCGTCTTAAGAAACTATATAGTTTTAAAACCCAGCAGCTTATTTATAATATAGGATAACCTAATATATTGCGGTTTTATTAGTAATAAAGACCTTTATTTTAATAATAAAAAAGCGCCTATTCTAAAAAAGGCACTATTACTACTAAAACTACAATTACTAGTTCTACCTTAATTAGAAAGGGAAAAAGTAGATTAGTTGTAATAGATATACTATATATTATAGAGTAGAGTAGTAGAGAAAACACTACTATAAATTAGCGAAAATTTAAGGAAAAAGTCTAAATAAAGCTAGAAATATAAAGTATATATACTTTAATTAAGGATATTAAAAGCTACTATAGTAGGAATCTATAAGCAGGACGTTTTTATTATAGTATATACTTAGACTTTCCGCAATATAATTACGTAATAGAGGTAGTATAAGGCTTAGCACTGCTTTACTCTACTCCTTCTACCTTATATACTCTTTTAACCTGCTTATTTTTTTTTACCTGCTTAGCTGCGCGCTATATAGTATATAATAACTGAAATTCTTCTTTAATCTACTTAAGCCCCGCTGTAACAACGCCTGTGTTTTTATCTAAGCCCGCTTTATACTATTTTACTTGCTAGTCTTCCTATAACTGCACGCCTTACTACTTAACCCTTAATCTATACTAAAGCCGCGTAACTAAGTAATTGTTTAGAAAGCCTAGGGATATTTATATAAGGTTACTGCACCTATTAAAAACGCAGTAAGAATTAAAACTGCAGGATAAGTTTTAAAATTAAAACCCGCTTTCCTATATTTTAGCTTACTATCCACCTTTTAGAAGTAACTACCGGATTACCTTAAAAGCTAGCCTTTTTTTTTTTTTATACTCCTAAGCACTAATATTCCTATTAAAACTAACTTTATAATACTAATAAGCTGCAGCCTTCTATTCTATTATTACTATGCCTAGACTAATTCCTTTTAACCTAATATATTACAGGCCTTACCACCGGCTTTACCTATTCTAATAGACTATACTTAAATAATAAGTGCTAATATAGGTAGATTATTAGTTAGATAAAGGCTTACTAGATAATAACAGGAATATAGATTGCAGGATGTTAATTCTAAGCCTGTAATTATTAATAAATATATATAAATTGCTATTGCAGTTTTAGCTATAAATAACCGAATAAGCGGCCGGGAGAAGTTTTTTAGGTGTGGCAACTTATATAACTATTTACCTTAAGCATATTCTATACCTTATAAACAGCTCCGGATCTAGTAGAAAGCGCTTAAGCAGGCTAAGCCTTTACGCCCTATTACTCTGCTAATAAGCATTTTTGCTAATACTATATAAAGGAATATATAAAAGGCGCCGCTCCTAATTCCAATTCTTTAGATAATAATAATAAGTTTCCGTTTTACTACCCTTTAAACACTTTTGCAGCCTGCTACTATTTGCGGCAGCAGGCGGTTAGTAGAAGCCTATAACTCTCCCGGTAGTTTATAGCTTATAGAATAATTTACGGATTCTCTTTTTATAGTTTTCTAGCTTTAGCTCTACTTCCTTTCCTCTTTCTTCTTAATAATATTAAGCACACCCGATATAGTACTTTAAGCGTAGCTGCCTTGCGCGCTCTAACGCCGTTTAATATCCCGTTCTTTACGGTGCATGGAGTGGGCAAGAAAGCATAGAGCAGTCTTTGCGCCAGATAAATACCACCTAATACACTTCACAAAAGCCCGCAAGTTTGTCAACGTAAAAGCTACAGTTAATATACAGGGCTTTACCGAAGGCCCTATAACAGACCTAAGAATGCTAGGGGTCCAGGTGGATTCCAAACTTAAATGGGGCCCGCATATTAACACCACGAAGAACAAAGCCACGGCCCAGATGGGGGCCCTTACGAGGCTCACGGCGTCGACCTGGGGCGCAAGCTTCCGGAAGGCACGCACAATATACTCGGCGGTTATTAGGCCTGCCATCACGTACGGATGCACCTCCTGGTATACTACACCGGGCATAAAAGAGCAGATCAGCAAGACAAAGATTAAGCAGCTCGAAACAGCACAGAACCAGTGCCTTTGTGCTATCTTAGGGGCATACAAGACAACAAGTATTAGGGTGATGGAGCACGAGACATTATGCCCTCTACTCCGGCTAAAGCTGGAGGAACTTACGGTGGCCTACGCAGACCGCACACGCGAGGGGCCAGCCCGCGAGCACATCGAAACCTAATGCAGCCGCATAAGAGAAACTGTCCGTGCTAAATACAGGCCGAAAGGAACACCACGGTACGGCCCAAGCAGGCGCGACGAACTCCGCAAGCTCGCGGCGAAGGCATCACGGCCAGCCGCACGATACGAAGGCGAATCGGAAGAATCCTATAGGCGCACGAGGCGTGGCATGATCCAGGATGAATACGAAGAGAAGTGGAAGAAGGAATGGGAAGCCTACCGTAAAGAACTACGCCAAGGACCCCCAACACCAGCACTCGACACTAAATGGAGCAAACGACAAGAGGCACTACACAAAGGACTCACGAAGGTAGAGAGCACAATTATCACGAACCTACGGACGGAGCATATAGGGCTCAACGGTTACCTCCACCGTATGAGAGTGCCCGGCCACCCGACGCCGGCATGCCCTTGCGGGCATAGCCTCTAATCCCCAAGACACATTGTGATGAGTTGCGGAAGACACGTTGAGGGCAGGGGCGAGCTGTTCCAGAAGGCCAAGACGAGGACGTATGAACAGCTCTACAGAAGCCAGAAAGGAAGAAAGGCCGTGGCCCAAT